TTGATCATCTTTTACAGAAAAGAAGGGAAGAGAATATTCTTCTTCAAACGGTGCCCTTGAACTGGTCCCTTTGGACGACGACCATCTCTGGAAGACTGGAACACTCAGGCAAAGGACCGAACGGCTTAAGACCATTGTCGATCACAGCAGGAACCCATGGCCCAAAAGAAATAGCCAAACCTGGTCCAGAACAAGCAATAGCCGATCCCAATCCACTATGAAGCCCACGCCCAGACCCAGAGACCCATTAGCAGAAATCGGATGGACCGTCGCACCTTCAATTGGTCCACAAGAAGATGGGAAAGAGCTGCCCGAGCCCAATGGCACTCGCCCAGAGTCAGAAGAACCAAAAGAAGGCCCAATCATCTATCCACAAGCAAAAGCTCCAGAAGCCCTTCTCACCAGCCCACCATTAGGCCTAACAACACATCTATCAACATAGGAAGGAACCCCAGCCTTTGGAGCCCAAGAATTTGAAAACGAGTTGGTTCCAGCTGTAAACCACTTGGTACGACCGCCTCCTGAGCGCCAACCACGCGTCTGGTTGGCAACTCTCCCCCACCCACGCGATTGATTCACGTGAAACTCACCACAGTTGCATCCTCAATCCCACCTCTGCATGACGACAGAGCCCAGTGAGACCTCCCTCTCTCTGAAACCCCCGACCGCATCCCTCCATTCCTTCCATCTTTGAAACTCAGCTAGGCCCTTCCTCCCCATTGATTCCCACCTCAAACAATCAGATTCCTTAAGCAAGTGTGAACCATCCCCTCCTTCCAAACTGTCCGTCGTTGGGACAAGATCGGGAGGCTTTTCCTCCCACACCACCACTTTATAATAGAACCGATCATCGTGAATGAAGACGACAGGAGGGTAAACTTTACCGTCCGACACTGTGATACGGACCCTTTCAGCATCAACAGCTTCATCAGCATCCACCCAAATAAACCCACCACACAAATCACCGACTGTAACAAACAAGGCATGACTCCATAGGTGAAAAGGAAGACCATACAGCGTTACCATCTTCAACCCTTTACCTTTCATCACTTTGGAACACCCTACCCTAAAACTCCACTTGTCCACTCGTAAAATTGTCGTCCCCCATTCATGGCGACCCTCTTTGAGCACGCGAGAAGCCTCAGTTGGAGAGGGAAAACGAAGGAGCAACAAAGAATCCGACAGAGGTGAGACAACCACTCCGGAGGAAACCTTCCAAGCTCGAGAGGCCCAAGCCGGGATTTGAGCCCTATCACCCACTTCCTTATCAAATTTCCCAACTAAACACGATCGGAGGTCCTCTGTTCTTCTTCCAACCGAATCGTCATCCAAAAAGATCGAAGGACCTCTGTATGTATTTGCAGATCTCGCAGTTCCTTCTTGAAACAAACGAGGCAACCTAGCAACATCCAAGAACGAACGCATACCAAAAGGCGAAAAGAACAGCAATCACAGACAAAATAGACCCAACAAAGAAAGAAAAACACGAAAAGGAAGAGTAGCAGAGGATTTCACCAGAGTTTATGACTCTGGTGACTGGTTGAAGTAATAGACTCCGACCGCATCTCTACCATGACAAAATCTTGCTCCAATGATTTCACGTCTGATTGCATTGTTCGAATAAATATGAATTTCACCTTGCCTCTCTACCTTTAAGCGGACAATCAAGCCATTTTGTATCCAAGGGACATGCTTGAATGATCACTTCATGGTGAACTTTCACACTGAGATGACTATGAGCTCGGTCCTCGTATTTCCAAACCTCGAGATGCTTGATATCATCCTCAAAACTGTTAGTAAGAGAAGTAAAAAGCATTGCACCAAATTCAATCCCAACCAAACAAGTCCTGTTTGCCACAAAATCATTCCGTACATTGCCTAGAGAACCTTCAGAATACGATACCAAAGTATCTTCACTTGCACTTTCTGGAGTAAGAACTTCTTCATCAACAATCGACTCACATAATGATCCTGCACAAACTTAATGCCTAAACTTCTCCACTCCATCTTGGACATGGAATTTGAAAATTTCTTTGACCCGTTCATCATCTAATCCATGTTGTTCATTCTCAATAGCAAACATCCTGTCACCATCCTTTTCTTTTGCCGTATCGAACTCCTTAACTTCATCATCCTCATGTTTCGGAAGCAAAGGGGACTTTTGCATAACCAAGAATTCACCTAAATCACCATATAAGATTTCATCATCCTCTTCCTCAAAATAATAATCATATTTTGGCTTGGCCTCTGGGGTTGCATCATCTTTTTCGATCAAAATCTTTTTTTCATCTTTTCTGCACTCCGTCGATCTATGGCCAGGCTCTCCACACTTGCAACACTTCAGTCCACAGTCTCCACCTTGACTTTGGCCTGCTGGCCCTCCATAATTTTGGAAGTTTTCAACAGTGCCAGCCTGCTCTTTAACCCCATCAACAAGTGCCAGCTGTTGTCCCACATGTTGGGCCTCGTTTCGCACTGTTGTAGAAGCTGATTTTCACTTGAAAGTGCGCTTCAACCTTGTGGAAGTGCTGCTGGAGCGCAAAACCTGCTTGTTTTGTTGTTTCTCCACCACCAAAGCTCCGTTGATAAGCCACCGAAACTGACCAAAATGAATGCGAGAGCAGAACTTCTCGTATGTTGGGTCTTAGTCCGCTAATATAGCGTGCCACAATCTGTTCTTCACTCTCCGATAGGTCTTTGTGTGCTAGCAACTCATAAAATTCTGTAGTGTAATCTTCCACACTACGGCCTCCTTGCCTCACATTATGCAAACGTTGGTGCATCAATTCGACATAATTGAAAGGAAAAAATTGTTTCTTCAACTTTTTCTTCATCTTCTCCCATTCTACAATCTTTGGTTTACTTCTATGCTTTCGGGTAACCCGTAATTTCTCCCACCTTGTCGACGCTTTACCTTTTAAACGAATAGCTACAAGCTTGACCTTCAAGTGCTCTGGTATCTCGTGGTATTCAAAAACTCTTCCAGTGGTATTTATCCAATCGATAAACTCCTTTGCCTTAAGACTCCCGCGAAATTCAGGAATCTCAATTTTGATATTTGCCTCCCAACAATGGTCGATCCGATCGTCGGGTGATCACGCGAAATATAAAACGGATATTTTGCGAAAGTTATGACGTTGGACAGGTCATCCTCCATCGGAAAGTTGTCATCAACCGACGGGTTGATAACATGTTGAGTCCCTTGCTGGTTCAACATCTCAACTTGTCTATGCAGATTCTCGACTTTGTTTGTGACTTGCTGGGGCAAGGGCTTGGCTGGATCTTACATCCTACAATGTTTAGTCGGAAAGCCGCACTTAAAGCTTTGATACCAAACTGATGCCGCCTTACCAAGAGAGAAATTGATACGAATAAATCATCTAAAGCAAGAAAGAAATAAACGAAGAAATTGAAAGACTACTAGAACAAGGAGGAAAAATAAAATAAAAATAAAATTAATCAATCATTGCTGCTAATCTATTTAAAATAAAATTAATCACCATCTCTCCAGTACCCTAGCCACCCTTTATATAGAGTCTCCTAGCAATTCTAGCAATAATTGACTTAATTACAATAAATGAAAGTTACTAAAAATCATAAAATTACAGAAATTAGAAAACCTTCCAAAATCAGAATATGGGTAGTTTCAAAAAATTCAGAAAGCTGCCAGCAGATTTTATTTTGCCACTGGATCATATGCTCTCGACCTTTATGGTATTTCCAAAATCCTCATTCTGACCCTTGTGTTCCCACTCTCTCTTTATGCTATAGTATATAAAAGTGTTTAGTAACATGAACTGTCCCTTTTTTGCACTGATATAGTAAGCCAGCGTCAGCACTAATCCAAAGGTGCCACTTCTTAAGATACATAAATACAGAAATATAATAATACATGCAAGTGCACGGGTGCTCTGAGATGTTTTCAACCTTATGGTATTTCCAAAATCCTTAGTCTCTGGCTCCCACCCTCACTTCTTTAAACTATGGTGTCCAAGGATGTATCCACATTAGGTGTCACTTCTTTTGGGTCAATATACTAAGCTAGCATCAGCACTAATCCAAAGGTGCCAAACAATGTATAACTTTCCTCGAGTCTAAAACTTAAGGTTACTCAGAATAATCAGTTTTGAACCTTAGGATCAGTAATACAAAAAATGGGAAAATAGATGATGATATTTTTTTTGGTAAGTGGGAAAATAGATGATGATATTACCGGTAGGATTGGAGTAGGATGGTCCGAATGGAGACGGGCTAGTGGTATTTATGTGATAGAAAAATACCAAACAAGTAAAAAGCAAAATTTTATAGGATGGTCATTAGACCAGCTATTTATATGGGGCAGAGTGTTGGGCGTTAAAACAGAAACAAAAGCAATGCATTCATGTACTGAAGTGAGGTTGTTGAGGTTGATGATAGGTGTGACTAGAAAAGATAGATGTCCAAATCAAAAGTGTGAGGGAGAGATTAGAAATAGTTCCTATTAATGACAAAATAAGAGAAAATAGACTTAGGTGGTATGGATATGTAGAACATAGATCCGTTGATATGCCATAAGAAAGAAAAGTTTAGTTTGCATAAAAGGTAAGAGCCAGTTGGGCCAACCAAAACTAACATAGAAGAAATTAAAAATAACTTCAAAGAATTAAATATTAGAGGAGACAAGGCCCAAAATAGAATATAATGAAAAAAGAAAATTCATGTGGCCAACCCCATTCTTTTAGGAAAAAGGCAAGAATGATGATGAATCTAAAACTTCAATTGCTGATGCATATAAATTAAGCGCTTTCATGAGTAATAGATCATGACTTGAAATGATGGAGGAATATCCCTCAAATAAAGCGTCCACCACAGATATAGAATAGAATGTATAAGATTCTTCAGCACATGCAATCATCTTCTCCAGGGCCACCCACCAAAAGGTGTGTATAATAGAATAGAATGGAAAAAGAGAATTCATGTGGCTGATCCCATTCTTTTAGTTATACAGATATTTTACAAACCTGTGAAACCTGCTTGGCGACAGAATTTACTATTGATTTCCACCTGGAAACATGAGATGATCCCCGTAAAGCGCTCTTGCCTTTTATCCCATCTGCAAGGAAAGAGAGAGAGAGTGAGAGAGAAATCAGGTTGGCATTATGATACCAGACCAAGAGACATTTCTTTGTGCAAGTGAACTGCATAATTTGTTCTCATTGTTATGCAAAGTGAAGAATCAAGTCTCTTATAACTTACAACTTATATATGTGGATGGCAAGTTACCTGCCCAGACAGGTACCTGTCCCTATTAGAATGGATTTGAGTTTGTGCTAAATAGGGAAAGGGCAGGTTTGGGAGGAGAGTCAAAACCACCCCACCCCGCTTAGTTAAAAATATATATTATAAAATATTATTCCAATTTTTACTTTCTTATTTTCATTCTTTGTCATGATCTTTTAGATTTTCAACTAAAAATTTATGCTATGTTTGGTTGGAAGGAAGGACTGAGGAGGGATGGATGAGGGGGGGATAGATGATGCTTCTCGTGTTTGGTTGGAGGGGAGGGGAGAGAGGGAGGAAGCAAGGAGAGGGATGAAGCATCCCTTCTAGCCTGTTGTTTTTTCATGTCCAAAATTGGGCAGAAGAGAGGAGGGAAAGAAATAATAACTAACCAAAAAAAGTTAATAGCAATTTTAACTTTTGGTTATATACTGAATAACTTGTTAAACCCTATTGAGATTCTCTCACATAATGAGGGTGTATGGTAAAAAAATATAAAAACTCTCTTTCCCTTCCTTCCAACCAATCAGAAAAAAATTATCACTCCATTCATTCTTTCTACCATCCCTTCTATTCTGCCAAACAAAAAGTGAGGGAGACACCATCCCTTCCCTAGGGATGGCGTCATCCATCCCTACCCTCCTCCCTTCCATCCATTTTTCCATCCCTCCAACCAAAAGGAGCATTAAGGAATTTCTGCATATAATTGTTAAGTACTTGCTAATACTTTTAAATTTTTCCTGAAAAAATCTTGCATTGGTTTGGAATTGAATGCAACTTTTTTCAAAATTGTGGGGCAACCCAAACCTGAAACCTGTGCTGAGCCTGAGCCGGGACGGGACGGTCAAGTCAGTGAAAAGCGTTTTCCTTCACGTGATGGTTTTTGTAGAAGTGCCCTATTCCAAGCCAGCCTCATCACAATCCCTATTTGTATGTGCAATATCCTAATGCTATTCAAGAATGTACTTTCTGCTCATATTATAGTTTATTAGTAATTAAGATTCTTAATCACAAAAAATCTGTATTCCTTGTATAAACAGATAAAATATTGAGGAAGTAGAAGTGACACATTTTTCCCCATATTCTTGATTTAATTCAAAAAAAAGCTCTCTCCCAGATATTTTTAGTTGACTACATAAATCATGTTTCATCATTTTGCTCTATCTAAGTCCCTTAGTACAATCTATCAAAAAGCATTCTTTACTATTTCAAAGCGAAGTCAATATTGATCTTTTCCTTTTCCAACACTATCCTTATTCCTTTGTGCAGACAATGCCACTCTTCTTCATTAGTGCAGTTATTTGTCTCCATTATAGGTGTTTAGGTTAGGTTATAGACACAGATATTACATGTAGGATGATGAAGATCCTACGAGACAGAGCTACAGTAATAAATAAATAAATAACAGGAGAATCCTGATGTCTCTAACAACTCCCTCCTTTCTTTAATAGTTCAACTGGGATAGGAGTTATCTGCATCCCCAATGTATAGGAGAACGGAAGTGCAAATGATATATGGAGATGACTACCCACTTCTCAAAGTATCGTGACTAAATAGAAATACTAGCATTTTATAAGAGATTACTCTTAGGAGAGGCGACATGTGCAAGGCGAGATACATCACAAATGAAATATGTGTCCCTGAGGACTTGTCTATTTAGGACTAATCAAGATGACAACTGTGGCAGAGTGTGTGCGAGCGCACACGCGTGCGTGTTCAATATTTTCTACACCTGAGTTTAATAAAAAAAATCAAAACATAGTAAAATGTAGAACTCAGGATAATTATTGTTTTATTATTTTTCAATCATATCAAGATTAAGTCGAATAAAAAAAGTGATAAAACAAATCCATGGCTGTAAAAGTATTACAATAAGATTTACATATGTATTTATTTAAATATCTTCTTTTTTGGGTTTTTTTTTTTTTTTTTTTTTACTTACCAAAAAGTGGATCCCACTAATTTTTATTTTAAACATCAATATATAGTGTTAACAAAGTATGTGTAATTTTATAATTCAATTAGTTCTATATAAAAAAATTATTAATATATAGTTTTAACAAAGTATGCATAATTATATAGTTCAATTAGTTCTATTATATAATTTAAGAAGGAACCTAGATACATAGCATCAGATTATGGCTCACGAGATATAAGACTACTAGCTTTCTTGTTTACTAGGAGAATGAAATGGTGAGCATATTTATCGGATATGTTAATCTAGTTGCACAATATTTCAAAATTTATTATTTAATGAAATAACTAAATGCAATGATGGAAACATTTTCAAATATTTTATACAATGCGAACATTTTTTGTACTCACCCAGTTTGAGATCTCCTTCATCCTTTTGTTCTATTGCATCAACCGTCCCTTCAGAAAGCTTCAACTGTTTCCCGAAATACTCAACACCTTCTAGAAGTTCTGATGTGACCTCCTCCACAGAGCTTGATTCTAGATTTGAATCTAGTTCACGAACTTCAAGCCTTGTTTCAATGTCTACTAACGCACCACCATTATATTCAATGTCAATTTCCAAGGCACATACCCCATTCATGTCCAGGGAAAGAACCCTCATTCCATGGATATAAGGAGGGACATTCCCAGGATTTATGCCGGTACAGGTGATTTCACCTATGTAACTGGGGATCCTCATATTTGACAGCGTTCTCTGTTGCACCCAAAAACATATAATAATAATAAAAATAAAATTTCAAGTCTCAGAGTTATGAGTGGATTCTACAAACTAAAAAACATGTGCCATGCCCACATATGCATTTAACAAATCATAAAAAATGCCCACATATATGCCACTCACTCCTATATAATCATTAAAATATCCACAACCCTTCCCCTCACCCCACCCCACCCCCCCAAAAAAACCCAGTGGACTGTAGCCCATGAAAATGCTTCAACTCTTCTATTCAGCACATATACCAAACTACCAAGGGTGGAATGAATATGAATCAATTTTCAAATTCGTCTGCAGGCTTCTACTCACTCTTGGATATAAAGAGTTCGCCAGAAATGAACATGTAAGAAATCTAGAATGTAGGAGGGTACTGGAGGATAGCCCCAGCACTAGAATACGTGTTAAGCCCACTCCAGCAGGGTTTACTTACGAGAGCACCTACATGAGAACAATCAACATATCTGGTGTATTTTATATAAAAAATTAAAAAACCAAAAAGAACCCATAACCTATTTACTGTTTAGTATGTTTGCCTTGAAGTAGGCAGCTATCCACTCATAGTTTCATATCTGTCCACAGATTAGACAAGTGGTAAAACTAAAACAGCTCCCACATGCCCTAACACACAAAATCTCATATGCCCAAAAATTCCATATAATTAACAGTGTATCATGGGGTTGCTCCCACTGTAAGCCCATGCCCCCTCACAACCTCTCGATCTAACGGCTGAAGATGTGAACTCATTGAGAGTGCCCTCAAGATAGATTTTTCCTATAATTAAATTTCAATGGAAATCAATTAAAAAAAAAATACAAACCTGAATACGTTCTTGCAGGGAACTTCTCATCTCTTCGTTGTTTTTGGCATCAAAAAACAACCGTGATATTAACAGATTCCAACAGAGTGTTCCATCATCAATAAGAATCTTGTCATCAGAATCTGTATCAGAGATGACAGAGACATGACTTCTGCTGCCTGAGTTAGTAAAGGATGACGATAATGAGGAACCAATATTCTCTTGTGCCGAACAGTTAGGTGCCTTCCCTGTTGGAGCAGTCTTTATCAATCCCGTAGCCAAAACAGAATCTTGGAATGGACGAGATTTCTCACCGATCTTTCTCTCTTCACGGTCTGATGTTAAAGTCCAGTTCACCTTATTTTCTACACCAGTCTTAGAAGCCTTCTTCGCAAGTTTTTTCAGAAAGTGGCGAACCTTTGACGAAGAACCGTCAACTTTAATTGACCTGTCTACTTGCTCAGCATTGAAACCCATAGAAGGTTTCATAAATGAAGGATATTCTATGTTTAGGGATGCCAGGTAACCATGAAACTCTGAATTCAACTTGGCAAACCACTTCTCTTTATCATTACATGAAGCAAGACGGAGGGCTTTACACCACAACTCTTTCTCGCCGCACGTGTCAAGATAAATGTAAAAGATTTTACTTCCACGGTATATAACTGAAGTCTTGCTCTCCACTTTAATCGGGTATCTTTTAGCCCTGTAATATTTTTAAAAGTTATATAGTTAGGACCAGTAAAATTATTTTCGTTTCTTTAAACTGAAATATAATTTAGTTCAGGCAGGAACAATAGGCCACATGGTTTCCAAACATCTCCATGGTAACATTTTCGGTAAGATATAGCAGCAGAACAATAAGAAACTGTCTTTTCATTTTTATTTTTTTTAATACATGACATGCAGCCTGATGGACAGATTCTTGAACCAATCACATAATTTTATTATTTTTGTAGTTTTTAAAAATGTTTCAAAATTTTAACTTCCTCATATTTACTAACTGTTCTAATTATTGGCAATAATAATTAAACCACTGCACCCTGATGCACCTTAAGCGCTTTCAAGGTTGGAAGCAGGACTCAAAGGTATTTCTACAACTCAGTGCATGGCAATCAACATGGCCAATGTGAGATACACAGAGATGTCATAGCCCTCTATGCAGTTATTAATAATCAAGCTTCTCTGTCTATCTTGCAGCATGCACACATAACATAGTTCTCTGGGATCCTAGAACTACTTGGCTTGGTGGCTCAAAACCACTGTTCGGTAGAGGTATCTGCACAGACCTTGACCTTGCTTAAAAGAGATGTATAGCATGACTCCTTAAAGACATATGCCCTCTATGACATCTTAACCCTATTACATGTGGCAACCATTCCATTGAACAGCCACAGTAACATGGAGGCATCTCATCTGACTGCAGTGAAGCTTGCTGGGGTGGTTGACAGTATTGGCCTAACTAATATGAGTAGATATTGCATGCGCCGCGCACGCCATTTCGTTAGTGTGTACCCACCCAATCACAATGCACAATTTTAGAAAAAGTTGGCCCACCTACTTATAAAATTACTGATAACGAGATAATATATGCATTGTGATTGGATGGGTACACTCATGACATGGCGCGCACGGTGCACCCAATATCTACTCCACTAATATCCCTAGCATCCCACCAGCCACCCTTTTGACCGCAACACAGCCCTTTACCACATCACAATCATACAACCCAGGTGCAAATGACAATGCCTCCATCGACCGCAAAACATGTTGCATAACTCCAAAAGAAATCGACGTCAACATAAGCACTACCTTTCTCTCATTCTTGAACTATAAAAAGGCCTCTCCCATACACTTAAAATGGACCTTGGAACTCTAAAAGATTATTAGATCCGGCTAAGACCTTAAAATACTTGAAATCTTATGTACACTGGACTAGACCTCTTGAGATCTAGAATAAACCTTCACAAGGCCCCTCACCTCACAAAGTGTATGGTAACTTCGAAACTGCAACTATCTCTGTTTTACAACACAACCTCAACTTCCACCTCATTTAATCCACCTGGGACAGTCACTATATCATGTCTAATACCTCCATCTCCAAGTCTTCCACATGAACCCATACTTCTAGTTATACTGATTTCTCTTTCTAGCGAGAAAACCTTGGACACCCTATACCCTTCATGTACTTCTTATCTTGACTAATCAAAAGGGATCCACACTAAACACCTTTTCTAAGAACACAACAATATAATTAAGAAAAAGGTCATTGCATAGTCTTGATTCCTATTAACAGAGGGTGCTCAGGGAGACAGACTAACTACAGACTTAACTTTTGGCATTATTTGTACAAAGTGGAATGTTTTCCCACACTTCCTCAAACTTTTGTTGCCATCTAATATACTTCTCCAAAAACAACACATCAAGAGCATTTTCCAACGGTGATTGAGAAAAACTAGTACGTACTAAGTCTAATAAGATAAATGCACTCAAAGAAGAATGTCTAGCAAATTCCTCATCACCATTTTCTTGAGGACAAGCTCGTAGCAGAAATAGCTTCTACTAGGCAACCCTTTAACCGAATTTCAGTGTACGAACGATCTGAATCTGTCAGAATAAGTGAGCGATCCTTAATTTTTGCATATTTTCGGACCGGGGTAACCTCCAACTCTTTCTTTCGCTTTTGCTCTCTCGGTACTTTGTCTGCAAGCCAAGTCTTCGGGACTTTCTCAAATTCTAAAATCCAGACAAATCCCTGAGACAACAAAATAATTGAATTAGCCAATGAGAAGAACAGATTAAAAGTTGAAATAAAAATAAAATAAAATAATAATAAAAAAGATTCTGCATCTTTCATATAATAATAGAGCATAATGGAAAAACGGGATTCATGTAGCCGATTCCAAGTAGTTGGGAAAAGTCTTTGTTTTTTGTTCTTCTTGTTATATCTTTCGTTTTTTTTTTTATAAGTAAAATTCGATTAGAAGAGCGTTCAAAAGGGGAACGCGTCCCTAGTAAAGAAAACGAAAATTGAACCTAAGGACCAATAGAGTCCGAAAGATAAATTAAATCATCAGTCGAGGAACAAACGCTTCCTTTTACATAACAGAAAATAGAACGAAGAATATGAATCTTCAAAGTCGCCAAAGACGATTCATTTCCTTTGAAATTTATGCTATTCCTCTCTCTCCCTATGCACCACCAAACACAGTGTGGAATCCTCCAACAGTCACGAGCTTGACTTTTCACTGGGCATCTTCTCCACGCATTAATCAGTCCTATGGAGGACTGAGGCATTACCCAATGTACTCCAAATATGTCGAAAATGAGGTTCCAACAATCATACGCCACAGGACAGTGCATAAGAATATGATCTACAAACTCACCATCTGTTTTGCATAGGCAACACCAATTAACGATAGTGTTACCCCTCTTTCTCAGATTGTCCAACGTCAAAATCTTACGCCATGCCGCCGTCCAAACAAAGAATACGACTCTAAGTGAAGCCTAAGAGCGCCAAATAGTCTATTATGGGAATTCATGACTATCGAAATTTGACATGTAAAGGAACATGGACCGTACACCAAATCTACCATGAGTGGAAGGGGCCCACAAAATGTCATCATTACCTTTACCAACATCCTTTTGCTGATACAACAAATCCAGAAAAAACACATACCTCATCCATCTCTCAATCCTGAAAAGAACGCCTAAAACCCACATCCCACGTAACCCCACTACTATCAAGCCGATAACAGTCAGCTACGTAAGCATGCCTATTTTCGGCAACGCTATAAAGTCTAGGAAAAGAAAAAGACAGCAACTGATCTCCACACCATAAATCCTCCCAAAAGCGGACTCACCTACCATCTTGGACTTTGAATCTGATGTGTGAAGAAAAGACATCCCAACCCTTCCGGATAAATTTCCACACCCCAACACCTCCCGCAAAAGAGACTAGACGGGAGGACCAGCCACCACTCTCCTCCCCAAAACGACACAAGATAATCCTTCTCCACTGACGGTGTCGTTCCCTACCGAATCTCCATAGCCGCTTTCCCAATAAAGCTCTATTAAAAGGAACCAACTTTCGGATACCTAAACCGCCTAACTTCAAAGGTTTGCAAACTTGCTCCTAATTAACAAGATGATACTTAAACTCCTCCCCTTTTCCACCCCATAGAAAGCCTCTTTGAATTTTTTCAATCCTTTCTGTGACAAAACATGGGATTTGAAACAAAGATTAAAAAAAAGTAGGAAGGGACGAGAGAGTACTCTTGATGAGAGTGACCATCCCCCCCTTCGACAAATATAGTTTCTTCCATCCTGCTAACCTCTTCTCATACCTATTGATCACTGGAACCCAAATCCCCACTCTCCTAGAGGAGACCCCCAAAGGCAATCCCAAATAAGGAAGAGAAAAAGTACCAACCCTACACCCAAGAACTACAACTAAGGAAGAAATATCTGGAACGTCCCCTACTAGGACAAGCACATTCTTTCCAACATTGATCTTTAGCCCAGACACCGCCTGGAAACATACAAGAATGCACCTCAAATATCTAAGTTGGGAGACATCGGCATCACAAAAAACCAAGGTATCATCCGCAAACAACAAATGGGAAATATTTATCTGATGTGCTACATCTATGCCGACTCTGAACCCCCTGATGAAACCCAAATCTTCCACTCTCCTCATTAGTCTACTTAAACCCTCCATGACTATAGGGAATAGAAAAGACAACCGGGGGTCTCCTTGTCTCAAACCTCGAGAACTCGCAAAAAAACCAGCAGGAGATCCATTAACAAGAACAGAGAACATGACGAACGAAATACATGTTTCAATCCATTTCCTCCACCTATCTTCGAACCCCATCCGTTGAAGCAAGTAAAGGAGGAACTTCCAATTGACGTGATCATAAGCTTTCTCAATGTCAAGTTTGCATAAAACGCCAGGGACCCAACTCTTCAACCTAGAGTCAACACATTCCCCTGCTATAAGAACATAATCCAGGATCTACCGTCCACCAACAAAAGCGTTCTGGAACTCCGAAATAATACCATACAATACATTGCTCATCCTAAGAACAAGAACCTTGGCAATAAGCTTGTACATGCATCCCACTAAGCTAATTGGCCGGAAGTCCTTAATATCAAAAATGCCACCCTTTTTAGGAATAAGGGCAATAAAAGATGCGTTCAATGACTTCTCGAGTATACCATGAGAATGAAATTCCTGGAAGGTGCCAATCACTTCACTGCGCACCACCTCCCAACTCGCCATGAGAAACCGCATAGTAAACCCATCTGGTCCTGGAGCTTTATCACCATTACAACTCGATAACGCCTTTAGCACTTCCTCTTTAGAAAAGGAAACCTCAAGCCTGTCTTTATCCAGCTCAGAAATGACATCAAAGTGGAGACCATCAAGCTTAGGTCTCCACCCCAATGTCTCAGTGTAAAGCTGCTGGTAAAAAGAAACAATCCCCTCGCGCATCTCATCCTCTCTCACCAACTCCCACCCATTCACACGAATACGCCAATATGATTGCACCTTCTATGAGCATTAGCAAGCCTATGAAAGAATTTTGTATTGCGATCCCCCTCTTTGAGCCACAAAGCCCGAGATTTCTGACGCCACGAAATCTCTTCCATAATAGCGATTTCAGCAAACATCGCTTGACAAGAGGCTCTCCTAGAGCGCAAAGACTCCACATCCTGTCCCAACTCTTCAAGACGATCAAGCTCAGCGATATCAGCAAGAGCTCTATTCTTCTTCCATTCAAGGTTCTCAAACACCTCATTATTCCACCTCTTGAGCTCGGATTTGAGAATCTGAAACTTCCAAGCTAATACAAAGCTAGAAGAAACTATAAATATCGCCTCCTCCCACCAAGACTGGACTTTCCCTTCGAAATCCTCTGATCTCAACCACATATTCTCAAAACAGAACGGGGTGCGCAGAGATCTCAAACGCCCGCAATCAAGAACTAAGGGAACATGATCAGATGCCACCGTTACAAGAGCTGCCTGAATAACATCTGGAAATTTCTCTTCCCACTCCCCAAAAATCATAAATCTATCATATTGTTGTTATATCTTTCGTATAAAGAGTTTTCCATTTCATTACCAAACAAATACAACCAAAGGTACGTGGCTTTAAAAATTATCAAAGAAAGGGAAGAAACATATAATTAACTTATATATATATATATATATATATAGAAAGGAAGGATCCCAAATAATCGATCTTTCTTTTAGTATATGCAAAGAGAAGGAACACATAACATAAGGTAAAACTAACACCAGTTATGACTAAAGGTTGTATATCTCATTTACCTGGCATGAGAGTTTCTGTAAATAACAAATTCAAATGGCTCTGCTAATTGTGTGACGCTGATATGCATTAAGCCATGCCCAATATACAGTGTATCAAGAAGCAATGCCATGGCCCATGAGTTCAATTTCAGTTGGTGTGATACTGTGATGGCATTTCTATTCACAAGCTAATTTATATATGAACTAATAGCATGAACCATTATTTAGTTTAAATTCTACTTAATTTTTAAGTATATAGTTCAGCTGTCGCGAACGTGCGTGGGGCAGGGGGGTGGGGGGTATGTGTGTGTGTGTGGAGAAATGTGACACAATCCATGACTTCAAGCCTTTCTAGTGCAAAGTTTAAGGAAATCAAAATGGCAAAGAGATGGCTATCAGAAGTGTAAAAGTACTTCCCAAACTCAAACCGGTTTGTACATAAATAAACTATTTGGAAATAGATCCAAAAATATATATTTTGCATTATTTGACAATATGATTTTTGTAATTAAAAATTAGCATTAAAAAATTGTTTACACTATAATGGTTTTGTTTCACAAGATATGGTACTTCCTCAGATGCTTTTAGGTTCTTTCAAGTTTCCAAGTTGATTTGGGGCTCTTTTTTGACTCACTAGAATCATATACAACAAATGACAACAAAAACTAATATTAAGAATAATAATTTTCTCTATTTTCTTATACATTTAAAACTGTAAGGTCCATTCTAAGCTATAAGGTTCAAATACCCAAGAAAAGTATGCATGCTGAACCTATATTTATGAAATTATAAGACATTTCCCACCCAAACATAAAATGTTAATTTCTTGTGCTCATAAGCTTGATGATTGTCAGTAGGTTATTCAGCACGAATACATTTTGTTATAATTCCGACAGACATGGGAGTCTTATTTCAATTTCAGATTTCACTTACAAAAGGTTAATTGCTTATCTAAAAACTTTAACTCTTTGTCACCCACTCTCAAGGCCAAATGCAGGGAATCATCTCCATGCTCTGGAATTCTTCCATTAGGCCTGTTCACACCCTAAATCCTCTCCACCTAACAACACCCTTTATGTTGATTGCATTCCCCACCTCTAGCTTAATACCAACAGTACTCTCACCAGTAATCCTGGTTCAGCTATGGAAGGCAGTTGTCTAAGTTTTCTTTGTGACCAACAAAGCAGTGGGATTAAGAGTTCTACATGAGGTATAGAGTGCACTTTAGTCTAATGGCTGAGCTTTCACACGTCAGAAATGTCTGCATATGGCTTCATCATCAGGACTCCAAAAAATGAACCTAGAAACAGATGCCTCTGAAGTTATGCATTTGCTTATTGCCACAGATCCTCTCAGCCATAACATTACACTTGAGTTTCTGCTTGCAGGCTCCTCTTGGGAAGAGATCGAAAATTTCAGGCCCTCCATGCCATTAAACAAATTCAAGTTCATATACTATTACTAGTTCTCTTCATGATCAAGAAGGTAGTTTTGTTATGTTAAGGAGTCCTCCAAGCTATGTAAATGCTCCTGTTCTGGGATGCCCATGGTGTGTATATTCCAATGCTTTGTGAATTAACCAGTATGTGAAGTAAATAAAATCTCCCTTCTGCCCAAAAATGAACCTCTCAAATACTTAGTTCTAAAATAATTACTGTCAAATAACATTTTTAGTATTTCTATATTAGGTAATATTACAGCCACTTCCACTTTGCGTGGTTATTGCCATACCCACAAACAATATGCCAATTTTCCAGTTCCATCCAAATTGGGGGCGAGAACAAAAAAAATAAATAAACATATGTTTCCAAGCCCTTGGTACACGCAATTCTGGTTCACGGACTATACACAATTCAAATAAACTTAAAAAGATAATAAAATCTTCACCCAAAAAAATAAATAAATTAGATATTAGAGAAATAGAGAGAACCCAAAATCAAAATATGTATATGTATATACTTATCAAATATATATATATATATGTTTGTATATGTATATGTATATGTACTTTTATACTGCGTATATCTATGTGTGCACGACAACAATGAAGGCGAATAAAAGAAGCAATGAAGCAACAAAACGAAGTGAACAGTGGACCTGCTTGTTCTGATAAGAAGAAAGATCGAAAGAGAATTTGGGATCAAGGTCGGCATGGAGTTCTCGATGAGATTTCGATGCCGCTTTTGCGTCTGTTTCTTTGATTTTCCGATTCAATCGGTCGATCACAAAGAGGACTCCAAGAGCTTCGACCCCGAGAATCGTCAGAGCCCCAAGAAGGAACCCGAGAAACAGTGTCAACAGAAACATTGTCGTCCCCTTCACTTTCACCACAATCTATGCCTCTTCTAATCACATTCACATCAACTCCAACATATAGTGCTCAGTCGATGATGGTGAAGAAATGGAAGCGAATTTGGTACCATTCGTAAATTAATTATCTGTAAAGTAAAGAATATTCTGCAATTGATCAAATGAAAAGGTATAGTACAGAGATAGGGTTTTGGAGTGAACAAGAAGCATCGGGTGCTTCCTCTTTCTTGATTGTCCTTCCAGTTGTAACAGTGGATTGTAGAGAGAGAGAGAGAGAGAGAGATATTTGAATAGCGCGTGGATTAGGAGAAATTTTTGGATTGTTTTTGCAGTGGGGACCGCGTTTAGTTTAAGGAGGAGCGGTGGGGGGCGGCAACACATGACAGTAAGTCGAGTCTTAATATAAATATCTGAATTATTAATATGTCATGTTTATATTTAACATAACTAGATTTGATTGACTTAACATGCTAAATTGTTAATTGGTTTATAATCTATTTTGTGTTCACACTATACTCTAGTCTGGATTCATTTATTAAATAAAAAAAATATATGTATTGCGTCATTCATTTATTAAATTATGTTGACTGTTCAATAGAGTATGAGTAATATCACTTCATGTTAGTTTGAAAAATAGAAGTGTACGAATATGAGATTATATGTATTTAATTAAAAATAAAATACTTTAAGTTCTGTTTTGTTGTTTGAAAAAACATAAAAGTTAGAAGAAAAAAACATGGTGTTCTTAGATTGCTTTATTTATATTATATACAAAATAACTCCAAAATATTTGTTAAATCATTATTTTTCATCACTTAGAGCATCCGCAGTGGGACTCTTCAAAGGCCAATTTGGGCGAGCAAATGAATTGTATAAAGTGCAGCGGGCTAGCTATAAGTGTTGGGGCCCATTCGCGATCGCGGACCAGCTCGCGGTATTCAGCGAGCCTGCCCGCGATCACTACTTTTTTTTTTTTTTGTTTTTTCTTGGCCCAAAACGGCGCCGTTTTAGGCTGCCACTATTTTGTTTTACTCTCCAATTTATGCATAGTGCGCCAAATAGAATTTTTTAAAAAAAAAAACCTAAAAATAGGTTATTTTTAGCTCCTTTTAGAAAAAATAATAATAATAATAAAATAAAATAAAATTCATTAAATAAAAAAATATATTGTTTAGGCACGGTATATAAAATAAATAAAAATAAAAATAAAAAATTATTTGGGCCAAAAATAAATTTAAAAAGCTTTTTTTTTTTCTTTTTTTTTTTCTTTCCTTAAAATTTGTTTTATTATTATTATTATTTTTTTGCTTTAAATTGTAATCCTTATTTTCTTATTCCAATTCATTATTTTTAATCCTTATTTATTTTGGTCAAAAATAAATAAATAAAATTTTAACAATTTTTGTAAAAAAAATAATTAAAATTACAAATTCATCTCCTTATTCCCATAGAATTTTATAATACTTATTTTCTTAATCCAATTCATTATTTTTAATCTTAAAAAACCATTACATAATAAAAATTCTAGTACACAAAATGTCATAACATCTTTAAAGCAAACAAAATACAACATAAATTAAATAACTTCATCAGCATAGCGGTTCCAAATATAGCCGTTTAGGAAAAGTTAAAAAAAAAAAAAAAAAAAAAAAAAATTAATTTTAATTTTTTATTATTATTTTGTTTGAGAGCGAAAATTTAGAGAACCTGATGGAATACATGTTTCTGGAGAGCGAAAACTGCTGACGTGCAGATGGCCTTATCAAAATATTTGTTATTTTAAAATAAAAATAAAAATACGAATATCAAACTTGATTTAAAAGCACAACCGAGCATACAGAAAAGACGAAGATAAAAACTACTTCTTATTCTTCTTTTTTTCATGGTTAAGTGACAAAAATATATACAAATTAAATTAAATTAGTCAGAAGTTTTTGGGAAAGAGTTTCTTGTTACTTGTTTGGAGTCTCTATTCTCCATTGTGTCTCGTTACTTTTGAATCCCCCCGTTGAATCCCACCTACTTAGGTAACAGTAGTACTCTATTTAAATCGTACTTCGTAAACATATGTTTCATTTTCTCATAAATCATAAGACTGAAACATTGATCATGTTTTACAATCGAGACATAATAATTAAATGATCACCGTATTTAATATAATTCGACTTTCAAACGGAGAAAGAAAATGGTACAAGACTCGAATATAGGATCGAAACATAATAATTAAATGATCGTCATATTTAATATAATTCTACTTCCAAATAGAGGAAGAAAAGAGTGTAAGACTCGAATACAAACATCCGAACATGAGAGCAACCCAACTACGGGTCCACGGCACTTCAGTTTTTAGTTTTGCATTTAGTACAAAAAAAACTTTTTATTTATTTTGTAATATATTTTCTCTAATTCTCGTCTCTCTTGCGGTTGGGCCATGTGAGACATAGAGGACCAAAAAAACAAGGATATCAAATGTCATTAATGAGTAAATGAGCCAGAAACATTTATATGGCAAAATAATTAATTAGAAATTACATGAAATTAGCTGGAAATTTAACTATAAAACGAATGCTAATTGATAGTATAATCAATAGTTTGGTAGGAAAACAGACAATAAATAGTCTAGATGCTGACTAGACTATTTGATATAAAATTCACAAGAGATGACTTCAAAATAGGAGGAACAACAACCCAACCTAACAAAGCAGTTATGATGTTGTTACATGGTCAATGACCTTGAAGAACTAGCTTCTATACAGAAATAACTCACCTAATTAAGAAAAATATATGTCCAAAGATCTTAAATTATATATATTTTGTGTTCGCCAAAGAAAAGTCAACAATTCAAAGTCTAAATATCATCAAATATGTAATTAACCAGAATATTGAACATCAACCATGTCAACAATTCAAGGTCTGAATATCATCAAATTGTTGTTCGATCAATACTCTTTGATGGGAGAAAATTTTGAAGGGTTCAAGATCCTGGGAAAGAGATCAGTAGAGTGAATCAAAGAAGATAATGACTTATAATATAACAATTATTACCAACAGGCCTGTGGCCTAGCGGTACAAGACTCCTACTTCCCAAAAGGAGGTCAAGGGTTCGAACCTCACTGGAGGCAGTGTGTGTGAGTCCCAACTAAGAAAAAAAAAATATATATATATATATGTAACAATTATGAGATGAACTTTAATGAAACAGCCAGCATTGACAACACCATGGAAGCTTTAAATTACAATGTTACCAACAAATTACAAGGGCTGCATTATTATCTAACATGCACGAAGCTGAGGGACAGCATAAAGCCCGTAAATTAAAAAAAAAAAAAGCCAGCATCTGACGGAAAATGAATTATAAAAGATGTATAGAAGTAATACAAGCTAGAGTTCATGCACAAACACCACCAAAATTTCAAGTTTCCTCTTCTTCCTAAACTAATACTCCCTCTCCAACAAAAAGGGAAAAAGAACTCTATGGATTGAACTGTTACTTTGTAACTACATATCCATGGCTATCAAAAAAAAACGCAGTGGGAGAGTCTTTGAACGACAGTCTTTTAACTACTCCTCCCTCTCCATGGAAAAAGGAAGAAGACCTCTATGGATTGAACTGTTACTTTGTAACTACATGTCCATGGCTATAAAAAAAACGCAGCTCTCAGTTTCTAAACATGTTTCATTACTGCAGTGGGAAAATCTTTGAATGGCAGTCTTAAACTACTCCTCCCTCTTCAACGAAAAGGGAAAAAGAACTCTATGGATTGAACTGTTACCTTGAAACTAAATGTCCATGGCTATCAAAAAAATGCAGCTCTCGGTTTCTAAATGCATTCATTACTGCAGCTGGAGAATCTTCGAATGGCAGTCGCCAGAGCAGCGGACAGACCCAAAGGATGTAAGAATTTACAAAGACATACCAATCTCCATGGTAGAGTGCGAAGTAAAATAGTTGAAGTCATGGTGCTGGACACTGAGCTGTTTCAGCCAGGAATCAGCAGCACTATGGAGATACATCAGCCTTTCATGATTCATGATTGGATGTGCCGAGCTTCATCCAATCATCCCCTTGCATCTTGTAAGTAGCCTTCGGGGGAACATGATGGTAAGGAATGTCTTTTGCAATGTCTTCATAATTCTCCAATGCATCATCTGCAGTATCAAACCAAAACACAATGGTAAGTCAGTAGGTAAAAGCAGTCGATGACGATTACAACTATTTGGCTACACATGCTGTTATCATTAATCAATGGTTTCATGAATAAGATTTCTTCATATCAACTCGGTAAGGGAAAAATTTGGACTGCATTTCTGCTCCCTTGACCAAAGCATTCACTAAAAGAACGTAACTCTGATCCCAGGAATATAATTTTAGCACACTGTTTTGTAGGACTTTGTGAAACTAATTTGCCTCCAGCATATTTTGGAAGTTTTCCAACAGACTAACTGGAACCAAAAAAAGAAAGATGGAATATAAACAACATCACTACCCAACATCAACACCAAGACAACAGATAGTTTTCATTAGAGAGTTTGTATATGTCTGCCAATAACTATGATGTTAAGTGCAAGTTGCCAATAACTGTGATGTTAAGTGCAAGTTTCAGAAGTCCCTTCAGGCTTCAAACATCACTGCAAGGTCATGCAACTTAACCCACACTCCTTAATTCAACCATCGCTGCTGCATGTGCAATAGTACCTGTTCTGTTGAGTCTAGAAACTGGCCATAGTGGTCTCATATTAAATATTAGCCACTGAGTAATATGTTGTGCATGGATTATTGCAAATGAAATCATTGAACTTTCACTTTTAACATATTACCCCTGCTAGTAATTTCTAGAAATCCCCTTGAACTTTTATTAATGCACAGTGTTGTGCTATAAATAATGGCTGTTTTCTAATAATCCTTAAAAGATTTACAAATACCTCTCATGCACTCTTTTTTTTTTTTTCTTTTCCCCCCACTGAATATTTCCTATTCATTTTTCTCATTTTTTTTTTAGGACATGTCCATAATTGTCTTTTCCTCACTATATCAAGATAAATATAATGAATCATCGAGTTTACCTGAGAGTGGACATTAGCGCAACAGTAAAGTTGCATTATTTTGACCCAAAGATCATGGGTTCGATACGGGAAACAGCCTCTTCGCATGTGTAAGTAAGGTATCGTACATCTCACCATCTCTAAATCCCCAGTGGCGGGAGCCTTGTGCACTGAGTTGCCATTGAGTTCACCTGAGATATGTTGAGTCCATTCCAAGTTCAGTATACAATATACATATATGGATCAGGTTAATTAGGATTTATAGTTAGGAAAGGCAACAAGGTGGGTCCAAGATAGGTTTCCTTAAATGGTACCCCCATTAACCGTGAAGCTAACGCATACCTGTTCCAAACCTATGATGGAGAGAGAGAGAGAAAGAGTCTATTTTGTATAGTTTTCTGTTTCTGAGAGATAAAAATAAAAAATATATACAAAAAATTGTTTTCAAATAGTTGTCTTTTATAGTTATTTCTAAGCAAAAAATTTCTTTAATGAGATCTTGAGAATTATCTTTAGAAAATTGAACCAAAAAGGCCTAAAATAATCTCATATTCAAAAAAACACAAACCTATGATGGGGAGAGAGAAAGAAAGAGAGAAAGAGTCTATTTTTTATAATTTTCTGTTTCTGAGAGATAAAATAAAAAAAACTATACAAAAAATTGTTTTCAAAGAAATGTCTTTTATAGTTATTTGTAAACAAATTTTTTTTTTTTTAATGAGCTCTTGAGAATTATTTTTAGAAAATTGAACCAAAAAGGCCTAAAATAATCTCATATTCAAAAAACGCACTCACACTAAACTTCGGCTTTCAAGTGTCAAATTAAGAAAAAATTCAGATGTGTTCTATAATAACATCACATGCAACTTCAAACTCATGCTAATAAGGAAATTTATATATAGGAGCAAAACACAACATGTAGAGAGAAATTAAGGAGATATAGAAAGAGATAGAACTAGACAGAGAGGGTACATATTGAGTGGCCATTGAGTAGTCGATCATCAGATAGAAATAACCGCCGGTCCCTTGGTCATCGGAGAATGCCGATCGGAGTGGGCAGTGGGTAGCAAAGTAGAGGTAAGATGAGAGGCGATGGGTGATATGAGGAGTGAGGAACCCTAGGCTTCTAACGTACATATAAGGCTGGATCATTGTTATTTCTAATAAGAACAGGGGTAAAAGTGTAACAACATATAAGGCTGGATCTTTGTTATTTCTAATAAGAATAGGGGTAAAATGGTAATATTGTTACATAATAAACAGTATCATGAGCCCCTCCGAACCCGACTCGGTTTTAATTTTAAAATCCCAGACCCGTCCTTACTTTTAAAAAATATATATATATATATATATATATAGCTTTTCATACTTATCTCATTGGGCAGGGCTGGTCGGACACCCGTTGGGTCAGAAGAAATTGCCATCCTCATTTGTAGTCAACAATTTCTTTATTTGTAAATTTGTTAGCAAAATTCTTTTAGTTTGATATTTAAGAACGAGATAGTATCTAGTCCACTTTAGTTAATATATTTTCTGTTTCTTTAACACATTTAACCCATTTCAATTGTAATTTACGTGGATCCGAATGGTTAGGATAATTATTTTGCTTTATATAATTAAGACTGATACCTTCTTTTCTTTTTCTTTTTTGACAATGATGGTGGTATTGTTGGGCTCTTTTACAATCCCATAATCCATCACCGATCACATGTACTTATTCTTCTGTCCCATATGAACAAGACAATTATTGTAAAAAATTTCTAAGGGAATACGAACTTCCAACTTCCAATATGAGAAGTTGTTCTGTCAACTAGATTTCACATATTCCTCCATGTATATTTTACACTCTCCTTTGGTTTCTTCATGTGTTGAGCATATGCTTCTACCAGTCCCTTTGTTAACAGCTGCTTGAGTCGCAAATTCAGTAGCATAACTCCTTTGTTTTGTGTAATCAAGAGTCGAGAGGTGTGTTTTTTCCTTATTTTCTTTACACACACACACACACACATATATATATATATATATATATTTATTTATTTATTTTACTTTGACAAAAAAACTCACATCCAAGAACACTGGACCTCCTACTTTGAAAAGTGAAAAAGTATCACTTGATTATGCCTTCATGTTAATCGAAAAGTTATTTAGGCCACTACCTTTCATATATGATATATCTTCTCCAAGTTCTACGATCCCCTTTCATTTTCATCTCTTATTGAACACGTGTCTATAACTGTCTTTTCCCACCAATATTGAGTTTAAAATGACAATATTGTCCAAGTTAATTCTAGATGCATTGAGTGTCTATAATTGTCTTTTCCCCCTAATATTGATTTTAAAATTACGATATTGTCCAAGTTCATTCTAGATGCATCGAGTCTATTCTAAGTGCGGTCTACATGGATATGATTAGCTAGGATTTATGATTTACAGTTGTTTTAATTGCAAATTTGTAAGCACAAAATGATAGTGTTGGACCTCTTAAAATACTCAAAATTTACCACTGTGATATTCATCCCTCCCAGATTTCATTTAATTAAGAATTGAGGTTGTTTACTTCACCTAGATTTCATATATTTTCTTCACCAAGTACAATACCAAGCCTCGAACCTTGTTCAAATGGTGGATGAAGTATAATAGACTCTAAACCCAAACAGGTTTGCAAGGATTGGTTTTCAGATATTTTCTTCTTTTTATGGTTTCTTTTGTTTTCTTCGTGTGTACATTAACCATGTGTCCATAACAATTTTCCCTTCTTAGGTCAAATTGAATGTGACAACACCATTGAATTCATTTAAAATGCCAAGTCCATTCCAAGTGTGATTAACATATATTAAGTTAGTTGACAATATTCAAATATTTAGTCATGGAATTTTGTCATCTTCAAAATTTATTTTACAACATGTATTAAAGTCATGCAAAAATCGATCACCCACTAATGATATCTAAGGCGGTGTTTAAAAATCTTAGGTAGTCCTTTAAACCCTACTCGAAGCTTCCCAAACACCACCTCAGTCGCTATTTGTCCCAATAGAAAAATAGAAGAAAAATTTTATTATTTAGGAAAAAAAAAAAAAAATTTAATCATATGATAATATAACATAAATATGAATGCATAATTAAATAAATTAATTAATTAAAGCAATAAATGTCATGTAACCACCGTGCAATCTTGGACTTTTGTCATCACTAGAAAAATATTGTAATAATGTATTAACGTCCTGCAACAGCCTTCCTTACACAAGATAATAAATGACTTCAAGTTATAAATTTATATATAAATAATTAATGACTTGAAGTTATAAATTTATATATATATATATATATATATATATATTTCAGAACATTGTGCAACAACCTTCCTTACAAAAGATAATAAATGACTTAAAAGTTATAAAATTATAGATTTGTATAAGTCGTGCAACAACCTTCCTTACAAAAGAAAATAAATGGCTTATGATATAAATTTGTAGATAGATAATAAATGACTTGAATTTATATATTTATAAATAGACATGATACACTAAACTAAAGTCAATTCAATTTTAATTCCACTAAATCAATCCTCTCCCGCTGTATATATATTTATATATATGAGACACTAAGTAAAGTCAATTCTAAAGTAAAGTCAATTCAAATTTAATCCTGCTGAATCAATCCCTATCCCCCTATTTGGCACAAGGAGTGAAGGTACCAGAACTTGACTCAAGTTAAATGGATAAACACCCTTGGCAAATTTTATTCAAAAAACTGTGCATAACATATAAAATATGGGTGGAATATTGTGCATTGAAATCTAATTACTAAAAAGTAATGTGCAAAATGCGGAATTACTATACAGCAAAATTGAGGCAATAAAAAGTATAAATGAAAAGGACATTAATTAATTCACTGAGAAACATAATAATATTATGTTCGGTTGCATGGAGTTGGTGCCTTAGAATTGGAATTGAAATTTGAGAAAATTTAGTTTAAACTTAACATAATAGATTTTAAGTTATAAATTTAATTATCAAATATATATATATATATATATATATATATATATATATATATATGAATTCTTACAAGTTTGGCACCATGCAGGGATTGAGAAGTCGGATTTAGGCACTCCCAACTTAGGCTGTGTCAGGTCATTAATTGCTTCAAATTAAATCAAAATTTTCTCCGAATATAGTACCGTGATAATTTGACATGCATATTTCTTTGAAATGGTAAAATGCATTAAACGATTAGTATTAATCCATTGGACACGTCATAATCCCAACCCTTTTGCCTCTTAGACGGTAAAATGCATTAAAGTGAAACCTATTGTTTCATATTATAAACTATTTCTAACGTGGATGGAAATACATAAGGTTGTTCGTCATATTAATTCTACGTTGTTTGTTAATTCGTTATTATATATATATATATATATGCTAGTTCTAGATGTATTCTGTCACATGAATTATACAAGACCAAGTCTTGGAAGGTTTTTGAGCACGAGTACTCTTAGTTTTTGTTTAATATATTGCAATATAATACGGAGAACAAGACATATTTTCATTCAACTGTGAGAATTAGAAAAGTTTTTCCCGAAAGAGGTGCTCAGAATAAAAAATGAGAATCTCGTGACAGCACTACTTTTATCTAAATCTCTAAACTCATATATTAGTAATCACATTTTGAATCATTTATAGGTCTACAATTGCTAGTTTAAATTTTTTAAATTTGTAGAAAATTTAAAGTACAAATTTATAGGGCTCCTACTTCTCAAAAGGGAGGTTAGGGGTTCGAGCCTCGGTGGAGGCATGTGTGTGTGAATACCAACTAAGGAGGGAAAAAAAAAAAAAAAAACAAAAAAAAAAAAAAGTTCATAAACACATTTGGATCATTTATAGGTGTACAATTACTAAAGTGGTAAGAACATCCATGAATACTTTGAGGAAAATTTTATGTGGAGAAAAACAAATGCAATAATTTTAAGAAGGAAAATGCATACCTTATTTGCCAACAGCCTTCAAACCAGTCATTTTTTTTCCCCAATAATGGATATGGTTTGTCAGGCCCATTAATTGATTCCTGCAAGGCCCATTAATTCATTCCTGCAACTTTTCTGCTTGAACATGACCTATAATTGGTATTAAAGTATTTCAGTAGAAATTGATTTATATAAAGCACTTCTAGAGTGGAAGCTATCAATAAATCACTGTCTTCACCCATTACCCATACCTCTTTACAATTAACCCATTTGACCAAGGCTCGAAGATAAATCCCTATCTAAATTTGAGTAATTACCATTCTCTATTAAATTGAAAGGTATGTATAAGGCCTGTTTGGTTTGTAACTCTAAAAACAGTCCTCAAAAACTCAGAAAACTGTTCTCAAAGAACAATCTTTTTATAGTTCTCTGAAAACAGGCATTTTTATAACCGAGTTTTCAAAAAATTAAACCAAGCAGAGTTTTTGTAAAGTTTTCTTTTTTCAGTTCTCGAGAATAGAAAATTATTTCCAAAGTTACAAACCAAGCACGCTATAAGAATCCTACCAAACAAGCCCATACCACTCTATCTAATAGGTGTGTAGCATTGAACATACCAAATTTGCAAAATGTAATAGCATACTTGTGAACCTAATTGCATGTAAAATTAAGTCTATTGTCATCGTGTACGCTAACAATCAAAACTCAACGTGAGGCCTATCAATTTGTTATCTTGTGTCATGACCCGCCCCTCTTAGGACCCAGTGTTCACGGTTTTCCTCAAAACACATCTATACAATTAGGGATGTCCACACATATAAGTTTCATCAAACATTTTCCCCATGCGATGTGGGATATCGCAACTTGTGCTTATAACATTTAGTGGCTACTTTTCAGGTATAAAATGAAATGAATTAAATGGTACCAAATTAAGTTAGGCAAGACCCATGGCATACAATGCCAAAAGCATTTTTTCTTTACAAATCACCAAAGGCTTAGTTTAAGTGTTATCTCCTCCTTTCAAATAGAAGGTTGAGAGGTTGAGTTTTTAATGAGGCAAATGGTATATGTGTGATGCACCACCCAAAAAAAAAAAGGGTCAAAAAATCATTTGTGGCATTTTTAGTTTTCCTCAAATTATTTGCTTTTAAACTTGAAGGTGGATTAAACATATTTTAATTTAAACTTTAAATGAACCAGTGACCTTCTAAAAATTAGCATTTATGAGATAACACAACCTTTTATGTATTTGAATTTTTTTTTTTTTGATAAGTCTTCTATGTATTTGATTTGGGTTAAATTTCCATAAAAAATCTTAAATATTTGCATGTATCCTTTGTACTAAATTTTTAACATACAATCACCTTGAAATACAGATATATCAAGAATTTTGCAAAATATCACAACTATTAAAAAAACAAACAGGATAATCATTTGGAGTTTTTGAAAATCACAAAATAATAGAAATCTGTAACTACCGCGTCCTGGAGATAACATGCAAAATTCTTAAACTTTAAAGGGGTTTTATGCAATTAACCTTATGGGAAATTAGTAATTCTCACGAGACATTTAGCAATCACCTAAGGACAATTAGTTTATTGGACCTCCAAACCTTTTATTATTCAGGAGGATTAATGTTATTCCAGGAAGAAAATGTCTGTGTGTGTACACTGTAACAATAGAGACGAATAAAAGATTTGACGCAACAAAGAAGTGAGCAATGACCTACTTGTTGTGATACGAAGAAAGATCGAAAGAGAATTCAGGATCGAGGTCGGCACGGAGTTCTGGATGAGATGATGCGGTGATTCTTCCATTCTTCGATTCAATCGGCCTATTACAAAGAGGACTCCAAGAGCTTCGACCGCAAGACTCGTCAGAGCCCCAAGAAGGAACCCCAAGAAACAGTGTCGACAGAAACATTGTCCCCTTCAGTTTCACCACCGCAAACTATGTCTCTTCTGATCACATTCGCATCAACACCGCCGCATAGCGCTGATGTTGATTGTGGTGGTGGTGGTTATGGATGAATGAAAGCCAATTTGATACCATTTGATTTTGAAGTGTGAGTATTTATGCAAGACACTGTGGCTTTGTTTGGATACACATCTGATTTTTTCCATACTTCATAGTGTACATTAGAAAGAGTATAATATTATACCATTTAACTTTACATTTTAAATGAAATTAAAATAAAATTACATTTTGACTAAAATTAAAACCTAAAATAATCTCAATTTAAAACAATTCAACAAAAATTAAAATATATTACATAACATTCTACTCAAACAAATTATAAAAAATAACAAATAAATTATAAGGAATAACAAATAATATAATTATAGGTTATTAGGGTTAGTATAGCTACTCCTACTTCAAAAATAGATTCAAATCACTTGATTTTCAATTTTTTTTCAAATAATATAATTATATATATGTAATACCCCTAATTTTAAAAAGTATATTCCTGGTATTTAATGGTATTTAATTTATTATTTAAGTACATTTTATTTGATTATGTGTCATTATTTTTTTTATTATGTGCTTAATTGTTTTCTTTTGTGGTGATTTAATTTATTTAAATAATATTTATTTTTAGTTATTTGATTTGAATTACTTGTTAGTGTTTTAATTATTTAAGTGGCATTAATGGTTTAAGTGTAATTGGTTTAGTTATTTGATTGGAATCACTTGTTAGTGTTTTAATTATTTAATTGGCATTAATGGTTTAAGTGTAATTGGTTTAATTATTCTATGTGTGTCTTATTTGGGTTTAATTGGGTTTACTAATTATTATTTTGTTCAATTAGATTATTTGTTAAGTATTTAATGATGAATAGGGTAATTAGGTAAATACATCTAACTAGGGTTTTAATTACAGTATAAATTAGGGTTTTATATTATAGCCGTCGTAGGTCTCTACGTTAATTGGATGGGCCGATTAGGATTGTGAGTTGGACTTAAATGAACCTAGGGTTTAGGAAAACTCTATAAGTATAAGGTAGACGTCTGTGTAGGGTTTTTTTTAAACAAAGCACATGTTTTGTGGAAGTGGGAAGGAAAAATGCAGTTTTTCACATTCTGCCAAGGTTTGATCAAAGCTCCGATCCCGCTTTGTCTGTGGTCCGATCGATCTAAATTTTGGAGGAGAGGTTCACAACTCAATGACGCACAATCTGAACGGTGGAGATCAGAGTTTGACCTCGGGAACAGTGATTCGTACTCGTGAACAGTAACTGGGTCGCACGGGTTTTTTCCATTCTGCCCAGATTTCATCAAACATCCGATCCCGCTTCGTCCGTGGTCCGATCGAGCTGAATTTTGGAGGAGAGGTTCATGACTCAATGACGCACAATCTGAACGGTGAAGATCAAAGTTTGACCTCGGTAACAGTGTTTCGTACCCGTGAACAGTAACCGGGTTTTGGAACTCACCGGGATTTTTTTTAAGAAGACGACGTTGAAACTTTGAACAAAAGTTTCTGAGGCAAGATTCTATCCTGACTCTTTCCCTTAGGCTTCATACTCTTTGCACTCTTAAATGATTCCAGGATTAATGAAGATTAAACCAAACTAAAATGATATCTGTTTTGCTATGAAACTGGTAGTTACAGTAGTGTTGTATGCTTGTTCAACCTAGACTAAGCATGTTTGTGGATGCATTGTGGTTCTGTGGTTCACGTTTTTCCTTACCACTGCTAGTATAAATTATTGGAAGGATGGGTCTAGATGATAGCTATCTTAACTTCTGTAATAGCAACTGTTGAAACTTAAATACTAGGAGGATTTGAGTTTAACACTAGATCAGTTTTGTGGAACACTATAATTTGAGCATGTCTACATACATACTGTGAATATTGTTTTGATGCTTACATTATCACAGTTAGTATCAACTGTGGAGGTTAGGATTTTGTGATACATACCCTACATATCTGTATATCATTTGTAAGGTGTTAAATGGAAGTTTTAATTAATTCTGTCTTTATATCAGACTAAAGGGAACAACTTAAATTGGGCATGTATATGTTGTTGTTGTGACCCTATTTATCAATGCTTATTTTATCACTGCTGACATTGAATGTTGGATGTTGGAATTTAGTTGATATATACTTGATTTATTGGTATTATTGACTACTGGAGGATTAGAAAGTAGGCACCGGTATGGGACGGTGGCATACTAAGGATGGGTTTGGTTTTTAAATCAATACCATTACCCACCTACTTGGAATAAGAATGGGATTAACTAAAAGTTAAGTCTCGTGGATTTGTATTGTCATGGCAACTACTTATTGAGCGGCAATACCAGGGATTTTGGATGAATTTTATATATGTACTGTTATGATGCCTCGGTATGAGCTTGAGCCTCAGGACCGATGGCTAGGGAGCGTATATGCATTGGGATGTGTAGCTGGCTACGATGGTTGGAGGTGTACCCTGTTTATGTATAGATACATATGCCCACTTTGTGTGCGTTTTAGCATGTTACCTCTATTCAAGTTGAGACCGGCCTGTAGTCCAGTGAGAGTTCTTTAGTGTGACTATATATATATTTACGGACTATTAGCTATTGTTGAATTGTTTAGGATGTACATGCGTATCGGGCCTCTGTTTGGATTGTAGTAGTATAGAACTTGCGCGTGGGCCTGACCCACTTCTATTTTTCAGGTACACGACAGTTCCAGGCTTAGACGTGTTCGTGCTGAGCAGAGGTCTCTATTCACTCTTTCGACGATGTAGGGCTCTCTCTATAGTTTTATTTCTGGACGTTTATTACATTTGTTCTATCTTCCGTTTGGATGTTTAATAGGGGTCCACTAGAGATGGATTCCCAAGTTGTAAACTGATGGAGTTTTGGAGTTTGGGTTTGATGGATTTTAATAATTATAATATTTTGCGGATTCTATTTTTAGTTCCTTCCAGTTTTAATTTCATTTCTTAATTTATTTTGTATTCCGTGTTCATTATAAAATATTAATTGTTTGATATTCCCTCGGGTTTGGGCCTGGGCCTGATCAACCCGTGTCTCGGATCCGAGGGGTATCTCAATATATCTGCAATTCTGCATTGTTTCTTATAGTTCTTCTTTGATTTTGGGTCATTTTTTTGGGTTTTTATTCTTTTTTAGGGTTTTGTTCTTTTTGTTGGGGATGTTCTAATTTCAATCAACTGGAACTATGAAGTAAAAATTAAGGAGTAATTTATTAAATAATAGATACATTGTATACGAAAGTTGTATGTATATATTAGAAATATATTGTATGCGGAAATTGCATATATATATTAGAAATATATTGTATGCGAAAGTTGTATGTATATATTAAAATTTTGATAAACATTAATTCAACTCTCAACCGTCAAATATGAATTTAATTCAACTCTTAACCATTGTTTTTTTATCATTCACTGGACTAATCCAGTGAGAGAGTAATTTTTCCTTGTCACTTTGATAGTTGTCTCTTAAATAAGAAAGGTTTAGTGATTTTTAAGAGAAATATGTTACTAAATAAAAAATACATCAAAATGGATAATAAATTTATTTTTATTTCAATCACAAACGGATTTCTTGAATTATTGAATATTTTAGATAGTATTTAAATGCAAGTGTCATTGTGCTTTAGTGATTGGTTATTTCCGTGTTTAGCTTTGGGTTCTTATTTATCCTTTAACCCCTGACCCCTAACATTGTTATCTTAAAAAAATAATAATAATACTAATTAGAATGCAGTTAGATGGTGTTAAGCTTGTACTAAATTAATGTAAGCACTTGGAGTATATAGAAGTTTCAAGTTTAGGTAACAGAAAGGCTTGCAAAAATTTGTGATCTCATGTTTGGTTTGGCTTTCTATTACCTAACCTGTATTTTCTTTCTAATTTCCGCAAGGAAAACTCACTCGTAATATCCACGTCAAGAACCGAACAAAATTGAAGGATTTTTTTAATGAATAACGCATTCAGTTGACGCTCTTGCTTTGTCTATCCTCTCTTTCTTCTTCTTCTTCTTCGTCCAAAACGCAGGCACTGGCACTCTCCGCAAAATTAGGTGCATTCTGGTTTTTTCTTTTGTTTTTAATTTTAATTATATTATATTAATTAGGTACTTATTTGTTAAATCTTTGATTTTTTTATTTTTATTTATTGAAAAGTCTGGTTGTATGTACCCTTTTCTTATGCCCATTACCATTTCTGTGCTTCTGTTTTCTTTTTCTTTTATTTTTTCCTTTTTGGAAATATCTCTTTATTGGGTTTCTGAAATTTATATCGAACATGGAATTTCTCGGTGAATATAGATTTTCTGAATTGTCCATCCATATTGGTTTTTTTGCAAAAAATCAGCCGAAGAATATGAACATTTTTGGCTTCTGGAAATACCAATCTTCCTATATTTGTAGAACAATCCATCAATTAGTCTTTCATTTTTGTTGTAGCTGGTTCTTGAATTAGTTTGGTATTGGGAAGTTTAAGGGCTTTTTTGAATTTTCCATGGAAATTTTACATCAACCCTTTTTTTCTTCTCTTTTCTCCGGTTTATGAATGCTTAATGTATATCATATTAGAATGAAGCTAATGAGACCTTTATTGTAGCTGTTTTATATAAGTTCAAACAAGGTCATACCATGAATTCCCAAAGGATCATTCTCTTAGCCCAAATATTAAGAAACAAAAATTGTGTTAAAAGTGAACTTGTTGTGTATTTTATTACATAATGAACAATTCAATTCCATTCGACATATAAGCCATTTCATATACATATATTTTTGATAAGTAAGTCATTTCATATTTTAGTGAAATGTTTCTTCTTTTCTCTTTTCTGAATTGGTTTATTGTAGATCTGTACCTTTTGGTCTGTAGCTCAACCTACACATGGTAGTGCGGTTAATCCCTTCGTGCCTGTTCTCGTCTCTGCAACCTGGTCAAACAATCTGTCTTCCCAAACAAGTTGCATTTAGAAAGTGTAGGAGAGATATGAAAAGGAGTTGCCTTAGAAGGCCTCAAATATTGCCTTGTGCTAATGAAGAGGCGCTTGGCTCACGGGTGTTTGTGCTCTCGGACTTGCACACAGACTACTCCGAAAACATGACATGGGTGAAGGGGTTATCAACAATTGAACACAAAAAAGACGTTCTTCTTGTGGCAGGTGATGTAGCAGAGACATACAACTACTTTGTTCTGACCATGTCCCTTTTGAAGGATAGATTTGACAATGTTTTCTATGTACCTGGAAATCATGATCTTTGGTGCCGAGAGAAAGATGATTATGTAAGGAAATTTTATTGTTTGCAAAACCTTTTCATGCTTATTTTATATGTTGTAGATATCACCCAATGCATCAAATTCAAATATATATATATATATATATATATATATTATGAAATAGACGTTTGTTTATTTGTTCATTATATCAAGTGTTAGGGGTGTGGAAAACCCGAACCTAAGTCAGGCCATATGTTGAACTGGCGCAGGTTGGTTTGGTTGAACTAGAATTGTTGGCTCAAGTTTGACATGCTCAACTAATCTTTTCAAGCTTGGTTTTTGTTCAAATACTGTAACAACACGGTGCTGTACTATTTAGTATTTGTTCACAGTTGTTCACGAGTTCAATTGTATTTGTTCACTACCCTTGACATTCATATCCATGTTAGGATTCAACTCTCATACTTTTACAAAGCCGAATCAGTGATAATTACATACTCAAAGTGCCTACATATTTCTTTTACACCTTGTTGGACTTATAGGGGCCACTGTCTGATGCAGTGGTAAATTCTTGGACAGCCAAGCATGAGGATTGCAGGTTCTACTACCAATGGGCCAGTGGCCTAGTGGTACCAGGCCCCTACTTTCCAAAGGGAGGGAAGGGGTTCGAACCTCGGTGGAGGCATGTGTGTGTGAGTACCAACTAGGAAAAAAAAAATATATATATTTGCAGGTTCTACTATAAAATCTGTCTTTTCATGCAAAATAAAGGCCAAGGTTAAATTTTATACAGTCTACCCACTTGGCATCCTGCATAGATGAGAGACCATTATCAGATAATGGACCTCACTAAATTTATATTATTCTTCATCTTCATCTTCATCCTCTTTCTTTTAATTTTCCTTCCCACTCCCCCCGCCTCCCCCACGTAAAATTGTTTTTTAAGTAAACTTCTTAAGTGATCGGGTTACTGCAGCTGCACTGCATGTTGCTAACCTCAAATGTTCATGAGCCAAGTGTAGTGGAGCTCTCAATCTGCTCAAGCTTGGCTTTTCAAACAATCAAGGTTGAAAAGTAAGCTAGTTCTTAGCTACTTCAGGATGTTAAACGAACTGTTTAACAGGCCTATCTTAAGCAGTTCATGGATAGCAAGTACCTTCTTCCTTTACTAGCGAAAAGCCCTCACTTACTTACAAATCTTATACCCCCCTCTCTCTAGCCTAAACAAGCCAAGACTGGGTGGTTTGGATTCAGCTGATTGGAAGATTTATTCTTGGACCTAGACTTAAGCTTTACCTATTTGGTTATTTAACAATCCTTAATGAGACTCTAACGCCCGAGCTCTGCTAAGCCATGAAAATTTTTATAGGTACTTGTATCATCTCAAGTAATATATGTTGATTAATTTTCAACTTGTATTTGGTTTACAATGTAACTTGTGTAGCCCATCGTCCAATGTTCTTAATTTGATGCTTCCTTACTAGATATGAAAAATATCTTCTGAACCTATATTTTGCTTTCCTGTTTTCAGCCTGATTCTCTTGAAAAGCTAGATAGATTGCTTGATGCTTGTAGAGGACTTGGAGTGCTAACTAATCCTGTGATTATAGATGGCTTGGGAATCATCCCTTTGTTTTCTTGGTACCATGAGGTGATTTAAGAAATGTATTCCAAATCACTTTCTGCTGTAGTCATATTTCTGGTCATTTAGATTTTGAGCCTGAACCATGTCTATTTTGAGCGAAGTAATGCATTTTTTAATGTATTTTCTCATGAGCTTCAATTTTTTTATTTTTTTTTCCAGAGCTTTGATAGAGAAAAAGACATAACTGGCTTTCGCATTCCATCATTGGAGATGGTGATTCACTCTCTTTTCTCCTAGTAAGGATTTAAAAGTCTTCGATTATGATGGCATCATTGTGACGTTCTCTCACTCATATTTTTTACACTGCAAGCTTAATGACTCAACTGAAATAAATCTCCAATTCGTCATCTTACCTCCTCCTTAATGATTACATAAAAGAAACATTTGCATTCTCTAAAGTGATATGTCATATTCATGAGAATTTAATTGTTTTGTCAAAAATTGGAAGTCTTGATCATGGATTTTACTGGTTCCTTATTAATATTTTTTCATCCTTCAAGCTACAGGTTTCTTTTGTCATTTCTATCTTTCAAGTCATTTTCTTACTGAAGGTGGAAATGAACCTTAATTTAGTTATTTTTACAATGGCAACAGACCAATGACCCCTCAGCTTGACATAAGAATTTTAAGTCTGCCCAATCACAATAAATATCATGGTTTCAAAGAGATGGAAATAATCTTTTTGTTTCTGCTCAAGTCTCATCCTTTTTGTTATTCATGTTATCCAGTGCATGTACATCCTTAATGCTATCCTCTTAATTTTTCTAGTTTGCAGTCTTTAGTGATAATTTCATCCTTTTTATTGATTTATGCATAATTTCATCAGTTTCCTTGATTGAGATTATTGCCAAATGTTTAATTATTAGTTGGAGTCTACCAATTCTGTAAATATTTTAACACACTTAACACCTAAACTATTGTTAATTCTTTGTGCAGGCATGTAAAGACTTCCATGCATGCAAATGGCCTGGAGAACTTTCAAATGGTGACGCTTCCCTTGCTCTATACTTCGACGCAATGAATGACAGAAATCAGAATACCATCAAAGAAATCCAGAGGAGCTGCACCCAAATAATTTCTTTCTCGCACTTTCTTCCTAGGTCAGTCAATTACTTGTTTGAATTTGAACTGTTAGTTTATCACTTTCTCAATTAAACTTGCTTTTCCTTGTGATTTTTTTTTTTAATTTCTGGAGAGGTGTAACCAAAAAGAATTAGATCTTCTTTTAGTTGTTCAATTATTAGGGTTGATGATTGTAGTTGTATAAAATCTGGACAGTGATTATTTCATTGCGTATAAACTTTCTTGTGTTAGAAGGCCTGAAAATAGCAATATTTGTAATGACCAATCTAAAACTTGGATTCAAACTAAGCAGAGATGAGATGTGGAAAAGAATAATCACATAAAGCATACACAGCGATCTTGCACGGGTGGGCGAGGAGAGGCTGTAATGGTGGCTGTTATCCATAACTACCTTTTGTCGCATCTCTCTCACACACACGCATTGTGGGTGTGCCTGTGTCTGTTTTGAATGATCCCACATTGTTGCATAGCTGAAAGTCATCAAAATAAACTAAATTCTCCGAAACTTGAGCTGAGCGGAGGTCAAAATTGTTCCATGAGATTTTAGCACTTAATTTACAAATTAGAATTCATCACAATTGCTACTTATTGCTCAATACTTTGTATTCCATCTCAAATCAAATACCTGTTCTTCAAACTCTTTTTGCAATTTCATTGTGAGTGATTCTCCAAATTATTTTCCAAACTATAAGTGCATATCAGAATATCAGTTTTTATTTGTATCAGTATAATTACCTAATTAGGTTGTGCCGAGCTATGTAAGTTTACAGTTGCTCATATACCATGTTATGCAGGCAAGAGCTATGTCCAGAGAAGAGGATGCTTTTCTATCCTAAACTTCCAAAAATTATTGGCTCCGACTGTCTTGAGGCTCGAATAAGATCTATACATGGTGTTGAAGGAGGTGTATCCATGTGTCACGTGTTTGGTCATACCCATTTTTGCTGGGATGCCGTACTGGACGGTATCAGGTACTGTTTGCCACTTTGGTACACTATTTCAATGTTTTTTCTTGAAACAATTTAATTAGAGGTACTCATTTAGGTAAGCCAGTTACTGGTGTCAATAGCGATGACTGTGTGCAGCTCTATTTTGGGTGTATGATCTTCTTATGGTAGAACCATGATTTGCAATTCTTTGAAGTATAAAAGACCAATCAAATTGATGGGATGCAAGCTAGTAAAATAAAGAAATTACAGTAGGCATAAAAATCAGATCCTGACAAAATCCCGAGCTTTTAACAAAATCAAAGTTCTCAAGCAATGGAATTGAAGAGATAAGTGAGATACGATCTCAATCGTCTTGTGACATAAGATAACATCTAGATCGAAGTTGGCGATGATTCCAGCCCTAATCCTCGACTTCTGGAAATTTTTGGTTTGAACAATCTTCTCTCTTCTTGAAACAATCACATGGAATATAGATTTGAGTTTGTTTTGATTTTAGTGTATTTTTGTAATAAATTCCCAGAAAAGGTATAGACGTATTATATTTGAGGGGAATTTTAGTAGCAATCTCTATGCTTGAGAACTCATTAGTTAACTGCTCTCAAGGATTGAAATTCCTTTATAGAGACTATCCTAATACTAGACTGCATCTTGTAAATATAATTAGTATAAACAAACAATCTAGTTGATGATTACAGGTAATCTGATGATCTTTTAATGATCAGATACCGCATTCCTTGGTTTAGATTGGTGATGATAATCTTCTAAACAATCAAGAAACATGAAACAAGATTTGGATACACTCTGTAAAAAAAGAAACCTTGGTATGCAATCCTTGGTTCCTTACATTAAATGTCTGTACTGCTGATTATGATCTCTCACATGACTAATATGTACATATGCTACGAGGATTGCTAAACATGTTGAAAACTACAAATGCAGATATGTGCAGGCCCCATTGGCTTATCCAAGAGAACGCAAGAGGAGAATGAATGGAGGTGAAGACTGGCTACCCTTTTGCATATATTCTAATGGCGAATTTGCAGACAGGCTTTCTCCTTGTTTCTGGTCTGATTATTACTCTGCAAACCCTAGAACACCTCATATTACTCGGCTCGCACCTTGGGTCGCTAGATTCTATGGCCAACCATCATAAAAACACGCGCAGGGGTGGACCTGCAATGTTCACCCATTGATTTGCCTGTTTGTTCAGTTGTGAGGAAAGGACTGTAACACATGTTGTTGCATTAGGATAAGCAAATATGTCCCATTAGCAATCATTCTCTGCCCAACTGATATTCATTATCTCGTATCTGCTTTCATATTTATGTCAATTGCCTTGAAATTTCTTTACAGATATGGCATCGACTTGATGTCTCAAATGAGCTAGGTTAAATGACCACCAACCATCCGGACTAAAAAAGAACTTTTGTGAGAGAAATTTTCTGGGAGGAGTGAATTTAAGGCAAGTCAAATTCAGTAAATTAATGGCTTATACATGCACATTGTATTGCCATTTGCCAGATTCTGGGCCTGTGCTCAAACACTTGTAGCTTATTTGTGTTTCATGTAAAAAGCGTTTTTAATCTAGCCCAAACAACGCCCTATCCTCCCAGTGATGGTAACTAATTTTTGTAATTTTTGTAAGAGTAATACTAATATGAGGTCCAATGAGCTCTCTTTAAATTAACATAGTAGGAAAAAAATAATAATAATAATAAAGCACCAATTGTATCGTCACATTACCGTCTTACTGTGTAAAAATAGTACAAATAAAGTGAAATTACATGAAACGGTCAAAATTAATAGTGTAAGTCGATTAAATTTGGTCAAATGTGTAAAATTTTAACTGATTTGTGTGATGTACTGTAATGTAATGCTTTTTTCGGTATGAAAGAAGGAAGAGGGGTTAGAAGGAAAATAGAAAGGAATTTTATTAGTTTGATAAGTAGAGACTATAGAGATGTTAATAAGATGAATGAGCCATCATTTTTTTTTTCAAGAATTTTCATCTCTAAATATAAGAGAAAGAGAAAGAGAAAAAGAAAGATAAGTGGTCTTATTATAAAAATTTAAATTACAATATCATAATTTATAAAAAAAAAGATTAGATAAATCTCACAAATAAAATAAATGAGAGATTTAATAGTAAAAATAATTTAAAACTCTTTTCTCCTCTCCCAACAACAAAGCAAATTGTCAGTTTATTTTCTCTTCCTTCGTACCGCATAAAGAATAAATAAATTTTAATCCAACCTACCACATAAAGAATAAATGAATTTTAGTCCAAATTTTTACAATTCTCTTAAACTACGCAGAAAATTGAAGCCGAAGAAATTTTTTTGTATAACTTTGAACTAAACCTTTTTTTTTTTTTTTTTTTTTTTTTAATTTAATTTCACCAATTCACAGCCTTAATGAATTTTAATACAAATTTTTACAATTCTCTTTCAAATATATTGACGTTTCAATATTTATACTTGATTATAACAAAAAGATGGAGATATTCGCGTTACAATGTTTATACTTGATTATACGTTGAGAACTCAAGAAATAGGGCTCTATTACTCATTTCTCACACAGAAATGTAAGTTCGAGTTCCAAATGCCTTGTCATTGGGGCTCCAGTTGGCCATTGGGCCTATATGAAACAACCCAAATTCCCAATAATTAATTAATTTTTTGTTATCACATATGCAGACAGTAACACCACATACTGAAAAATTGTTATATGATTCTGGTGAATTAATTTAAAAAAAACCCTCCATGGTCCTGGTCTATTTTACTCCGATTATGAAACTTTGTAATTTATTAATATACTTTTGTACCCCGATTATGAAACTTTATAATTTATTAATACACTTTTGTAAGCTATTAATACACTTTTGTAAGCCTATTTTTTATTTTCTTAATCAGAGAGTCTGTATATTTAACTGACCCACTAAGTGTTAATGGTCCAAAATCATTTAATAATTTCTCCCATGTAAGGGCTCTTTACGGCTGACCCAATATTCTTGAAATCTCCACACACACACACACACAAAATTCACGGAAAATTCACACACAAAATTAACGGAAAATTCACGGACAATCTCAGTTCCCTAAGTTAAAAAATAAAAAAATTAAATAAATAAAATCTCACTTCCCTACTCAACTATGATAAAAGAAAATGGAATATCGATTAGCCAGAAAGCTACATTATTGTCATTGACCTTATTGTATCATTATTTGGCAGATAACAAACATAAAGACTCTGATACTACACACATAATTAAAGAACAATAAACCAAGCTAAACCAAACACCAAAACACACACATACTTTGATTCACAAAATGACCCAACTAGTAGTCTTCTGGAGCCAAGGGCTGGTGATGGGTATGGTGAGGCACCTCAGCCTGTATAACCCCAAACTCGTACAAGACACCAGCCATTGCTCCTCCAACAAAAGGACCAACCCAGTAGATCCAATGGTTCCTCCACCTCCAACCCACCAGAGCTGGCCCGAACGCCCTTGCCGGGTTCATCGACGCTCCATCGAACAGCCCGCCCACCAGGATATTCGCCCCGACGATGAAGGCAATGGCCAGAGGCGCAATGGTCCCCAAGCTTCCCCTTCTGGGATCAATTGCAGTTGCATACACCACGTACACCAGCCCGAATGTCATCACTATCTCCATTAACAAAGAATTCCACACGCCCACGCCCGCCGATACCGCAAACCCAACCGGTCTCTGTAAAATCATATGCATATAGAAATATACATAGATTTACATGCACATATTATACAATAACCAACTCATCACAATAAATTAATTTTTGTTTATAAAAAAACAAAGGAAAAAAAGAAAGAAATGTTAACATAATAGAAATTTAATTTGAGACAAATGGGCAAGTTCTTTCTAATAATTCTCAGGTAGATATTAGCATTTTTCTTAAAACAAAGTACTCACAATAAATAAGTTTATATATATATATATAAATAACTGTGAAGAACAATATTATAAAGATGGATTCAAGTGCATGGAAAAGGAAAGATATTCATATGGGAGGTGTTTGTGTTTATACCAAGCCATCAGTTGTGAGCCACAACAAGAGAGCAGCAACAACAGCACCCAAGAGCTGAGCAACCCAGTAGAAGACGGCACGCACCAGTGAGATCCTCCCTCCCACAAGCGCACCAAAGGTGACTGCAGGGTTCACATGCCCTCCCGACACGTTCATACTCGCAGACACCGCTGCAAAAAGTGCCAACGTGTGTGCCAGTGCAATAACCACCAGCCCCGGCGCAGCTAAAGCCGTCTCCCTGTACAGCTTATCTGCTCACACACACATATATATACAAGTCACCATATGTATACATAGCTAAAAAAAAAATCATGCATGCATGTGTATGATCAAATAGTGAAATAAGAAAAAGGGATGATAATACCAAGAGCAAGGACGGAGCCTTCGCCAGCATAGACGAAGATTAAAGTGGAGAGGAACTCGGACAAGGTGGCTCTGATGGAGTCCGGGTGGGTGGCGTCTTCCGGCCTCCCGAACGCATATCTTCGCGGTGGCATGACTACGGCCTCTCTCTCTCTCTATATATATATGTATGTGGGTATTTTGTATATTCAGTATATACCTTTCTCACTGTCAATTTGGGGTCAGAAACTTGTAACAAATATGGCCTCTCTCTACTCAAATAGCAAAGTAACTTTTACTTTCTAGATTCTCTCTTTGCTAGCGGTTGATTGTGCCTAGCTAGCTAGCTGTGTGTTCTTCTTTAATATAGAGTAGAATTTATCATAAGGGATTTCAGGAACAGAAGACGAGAAAGGAAGAGGATGATGAGATGGGGTTTGATTCTTGAAGGATTAAGATGAGTTATAACATAAAATTAAGACAAATATTTTTTGGATTGTTATGTGGACACTTGGGAGATGAGTTGCATGAGTAGTGACACGTAAGGATATGTGTTGGCATGCAGTTGAATCCAAAACCATTTATATATCGTTCTTATTGTCTTAGCATTCAAGAAGATTATCCACCTGTTTGGCAGCAGGAGTAAATTCATCCTATGTGCTGAAGAAACGCCAAAAGTTACCCTGGTTTTGGACTTGCTTTTACCAAACTGAATGGGCCCAAGACAGAAATGAATTGTTACATGTGTCATGTGTCCATCTGTCTGGCCCAGGAGTAAAACGCATCGTCGCATCTCCAAGAAACACCGACCCCACCCATCTTGAGCCCAGATCCGCTGCAGTAACACTACTCATCCCTCTCCAAAATCAGGGTACTTTTATAATTATATTATGATTTATGAATCAGTAAATAATGAAACTATTTTTCAATAATGGTAATAATTTCTTACGAATAAAAATAAGATTTAAGACATCAAAATAATACATAAAAATTCTCAAATAAGAATAATTTAAAATGATATTTAAGTAATTGGAATATAATAAATTAAGATTTACTTACTGTATACATAATATTATTGAATATAAAAATAAGTATAAGGACAAAATTATTATTTTTTATTAAACGGGTGGACGATCTTTTCCCATTTCCATTCCGTAACCATGCGAGTTTTCAATCATAACCCGCATTCCCGCCCCAAAATGACCTTTCTTCATTTCCATTCCGTAACCATGCAAGTTTTCAATCATAACCCTCATCCCCACCCCCAAAATCATTTAATCACCTCCATAATTGTTCAGAGCGGAATAGTATGTTCGCTTATATGTGTGAGCTATCACAACGCCTGTTGGATTCAGTACAACACTGCACCACGCCGGATCCTCCCAGCACCATCTTACCATGACCAGGATTTGCTTTTATACTTAAAACACATTCAACATATGAAATTCAGAGGTCTGTTCATGTTCTTTCCATTCACTCTGCATATAAAATTCAATTTGTGATTAATATTACTCCGAGTATAAGTATTTGGATAAAATTATTATTTTTTACTAAACGGGTGGGAGGGCGACCTTTCCCCATTTTTCATTCCGTAATCATGCGAATTTTCAATCATAACCTTCATTCCCGCTCCAAAATAACGTTTTTTCATTTCCATCCCGTAACCACGCTGGTTTTCAATCATAACTCTCATCCCTGCCCCCCCAAAAAAAAAAATCATTTAATGACCCCCATAATCGTTCAGGGATAATATGTTCACATCGCCTATTAAATAGGGTACAACACTGCACCGGATCCTCTCAACACCATTTTACCATGACCAGGATTTGCTTTTATAATTAAAACACATTCAGCATATAAGATTCAATTTGTGATTATATATTACTACATTTCATCACATGGTCAACCTAATCGGCATTGCAACTCAAATCAACCAAGTAATACGAAATAAAAGTGACCATGCCATCAAATTATTATTATCTAGACCAATTGTGTTGAGCATTGCCTAGTCGACTAACTTTCACTGCAAAAAGATTTTTCCTTCTAACGACTGGAAATGGTACAATTGATCCATGCTGTTAATGCAATAATATAAATATGCTTCAAAAACTGGATTGTCATTTGTAACATTTGGATTTTTACAACAAAACATTCACACCACTACTTGGGGGATGCAAGCATACTAAAATTATCAAAATATATGCAGTGCACCAGTACATTCCCCCATATTTTACAATCAATCTTCTTCACTATCAGAACTACCGTATGCTACTAGTAAGCTTTTAACAGGATTTTCTGCCTTGGCTTCATCTTCTGGTTTGTTTGACCTTGATTGAGAACATTCTTTCTCCTTCTCCTGATTAAGCTCAGACTTATGATTTGTGAGAGCGCTTCCACTAGAAACCGGGATGGACTGATTCCCAGAAGAAGGGCTTGAAACCCTCTGGCGCTTGGGTTTAACTTCCACCATCTTTTTCAATAAATCTTGTTGCCTACAAATCAGTAAATTTCCATTAGACCCAGATTTTTGCCTGATATATACTTTGTGAATGCAGAGAGAGAGAGAGAGAGAGAGAGAGAGACCTAATCCCACTCTTTGGCTTTGGCTCAACACGAAGAGGCAGGGGAACTGATACAGGTGATGAATCAGCTCTGTTTGCGGCTTTGTGTCATATAATTAAGGAAAAAGAAGGGGGTGGAAGAAGGAACAATTGCATCATCATAGAAAGGAATCAATCACAAACAATTGCACCATCATAGAAAGGAATCAATCATACTCTATGGCTTTCAAGGGCAACAAGTAGAAGTTGCCCTAGCTAACAAGATATCTTTCCAGCGAGAACAAAATTAAACAAACAGCAATGCGATTTCCTCAGCATTTAAATTCACAAAAACCATCATGAAAAAAAAAAAAAAAAAGGAACAAGGGAAAAGAATACCAATGCCCTTCACAATTATATGATCTAATGCACACAAAAAGGATATTTTAAATGCGGCAAATGCCCGTTTCTCAGTACGTCGTAGAAGGCGCTCTGCATCCTCCTCAGCTTCCATCTGCTCTTTGAGATAGAGCAGATCATCGCTGTCCAAGGCTGCATATTTTAACTTAACCAAAGTTTAAGAACCATCGGGAGATATAACACACATATGATATAAATAAATAAAAAATAGATAATTGAAAGGATGAGGGGGTGAATTTATACCGCCTCGTCCATGCAGGTAGCCTCCACGTTCTCCAGCAACCTCTTGCATCTGTGTGCATCAGCCACCCCGTAAAAGTCAAGATCCCTGCCGGGGCATGTTATAAGAATCCTGTCCAAAATATTCACACAAAAATACAAGGAATAGAAGTAGGGTACGCTAGGCTCAACTACACAACCTCAATGTCTAATGTAGCAAGCATAAAGAATCTATCCCTTATCTCTTATCCTACCAATATCAGTGCTACAGCAGGGAGATTGAAGTAAGGGGTAACAAGAAAAACATGCAACTTTGTCCAAAAGAAAGGAGAGGACTAGTTTTTTGGTTCAAACAAAGGATTTTAGGCTCATGACAAAGTTTAGTTAAGCCCACCATGTTTGGTTCTGAAAATCTCAATTTAGCTCAGCAACCAGTTCGAACTTGGCCAAATACCAAAATCAAGCTCAATTGTGGCACAACACGTTACAGGTCAACCTTGGCAATCCCTCACTTCACCCAAACAGGCAAAGAACATCTAGCATTCAGTCCATTCACCAGGGATCAAACATCCCAGTAATGACCATTACTTCTTATTTCAAAAGCACTTGACCAACAAAAGAGAATAAGCAAAATAGTGAAGTTAATAGCTACTTTTAAAATTATGCAGACTTAACTCTAGTTGATATATGTAAACCACACATTATCATTGAACTTACTAAATTCCACAAGCATAAAGAAAACCCGACTCTATAGGTAATCAAGTACAATAAGATTATAAATAAGATATGTAGCATGCACAACACTCAACCCCTCTTACATCCAGTGGTGATTGCAATTGCCATTCACATGTGTAAGGAATAATCCTTGTTATCATTTTGTGATCTCATGACTTTGATTCCAACTTCACCTTACGAAAGAGTAATATTTCTCACCATGATACATTTTTGTAAAGCACAACAAAATTTGTTTGAGTTTCTAATGTAGTGACAATTTCATATTGTTACATAAAAAGAGCGTTATGAAATCTTCTTACTTCCTTTCTTTTCTTTCTTTCATCCTCTTTCCCAGTTCTTCTTACTGCCACTGCTTGCGTGACGTTATGCGAAAGTAGAAAGGACTAGAATAATTTTCATATTGAAGTGGTACTGGGAAGCCCTCATGTGGGTACCTAAGCATGTTGGAACATGAGTTGCATAGGCGATGTGATTGAAGCAAGCAATTTATAGCTTGAAACAGTTGTTGTTCCACAGTTTTGCAAGAAACGTGTTTTCAATGTAAAGCTCAAGGTAGCTCCTAGTAATCTTACTGTGTGTGCACCATTTGGAAAGTGATTTTAATGTTTAATGGTGTACATCAATGAAAATTGTTGTTGCATTTGACAACATAAAAAAAAAGAAAAAAAGAAAAAAGTGATCTAGGTCTCATCTTTAGCAAGAATCCTTAGTCAAATTAAACTAAATCTTGCTGATTTAAGGAAATAAATACAAAAAATATATATTTCAAATAAATATATAAACACCAATAATAAGAGAGATTAACTGCCAATTTACTGGGGTGCTCAGTTCAGGGAGTGCCAACCAATCAAAACCTGAAATTCCATTTTGTGTCTTTTTTGGGATGGAGAAGTTAAGATATTGTGTTGTTTTTTTAAAAAACTATTTGTACATAATATTTACTTATAAATAGGATATGGTGTTTCTTATCTTCTTCATTTTCTTTCTTTTTCTTTTTATCTCCCATGGGTGGGGGAAGGGAGGGGTGGCCCTTGCCAGGCCCCCCCCCCCCCCCCCCCCCCCTCTTTTTCCCTCGTTCATTGTTCCAGTCACAGCATACTCATTACTAAACTAAACTGAATATGTTACTATTTCTCTCACCATACAACATAAAGTTTAATGAAGATACAGATGCAGTGACAAAAACCAAACAACAATTCATGAGCAGTGCTAAACCAGTAACACATTCTTAATCACAATGGTTCAACTAAAAAGAAACTAGGATTAATCAATTTTGCTTTTTTTTTTTTTCTCAAACTTGAATAAACAGATGTGTGTTTTGGGTTGCTCTTCTGTTCAGATACTTTTCTTAACATGATGGAATGTGTTTCACAGGAAAAGAACAGAGTGGCTTCTGGTATTATTCTTAACTGGGAACATTAAGTAGAAGTTCTTTAAGACGAGTCAATCCTAAACTAGAACGCTTTAAGACTGGAGTCAACTCAATATTCCATTGCAAGATTAGATAAAGTCAACTGAACATATATCGATATTATTTATTTTATTGCTTGCAAGGGTGGAAATTTGACTCATTTCCATGGCCCCAAGGAGGGCAATGATGGAACATGTTTTTTTTGCAAACTAGGTACAAATATTGACTTGATCTTTGTTGAAGATGATTGCTGACAGACAACACCTAGCTAAAGTGTGAATGGGCATGCCTGGTGGCACCTTGCACAAAGGAATGGAACCATGACTAGGGCACATAAAAAGTAAAACCAATGTGGTGTGGCAACATAGCCTTGTCTTGGAGTCTTTCAAGCCCATGGATCAGTTCAAGCTTTCTTGCTACATGCATTTGTGACATTGCTATCAAAGTTGGACCCAAAAACATAGTAATCTCAGCTCTCCATCACGTTATTTTCAACTAATAAAGCAAATGTGGCTTTCTAAAGCTGGTGTTCTGAGTCTTATCTCTTTGACCATCTTCGCAACATAAGTGGCAAAATAATTTCTAGAGCGTTGAAAAATGCAGAACACAATGAATAAGAAAATGCAGATCCACTATTTACGTAGGGCCAATTGAAGATCCGTTTCTAAGAATGACCACGAATATTTAAATAGCCAAAGTCAGGTGCCCTAGAAATGGCATTAATGACCATTAATTGGCTAAGAGAAAAAGTTGCATACGATACAAGAATTCCTGGGGCTCTTCCATAAACAAGGTGACAACCTATTTGGAAAAATATATCAGGCATCTAAGCCGAGCTCTAGAGTCCTATACTAACCTCTGAAGTCTGAAGAAAACCCAATTTAACCATATAAGAGAGCTCTTACAAATTTGTTGATACAAGGAACTATCTGAACCTGCCATGTTAGTCTAATTGTGGTAAAATATTATTTTCTTCTTCTAAGACAAAGCATATGCATTACAGGAATAAACTTCATTAACAACCAAATTCTTCGATATAAAAACTCTTCAATGAGGAAGGTAACGTCCTTTTTGGCATCACCATTATAGAAGGTTTAATTCAAAGAATAGGCTATCAAGAGAGCTCCCTCATGGCAAGTGTAGACACGGAAAATTTAATTAGTGTCAAAATATAATTTGGGCCTTCCCTCAATTCAACCCACATGAAATATGAGTCAATGGGTCAACTCAAATTACCCAATAAGTTCAGACCCACTTTTAAAGTGGGTTACAACTTACAAGATAATTATGTATAACTATCATCAAAGATAATTAAGATAATTATCACAAATAAAGTGGATAATTATCAGAGGTGAAGCAAGTTACAACTCTACCTCTTTATGAAGCCTATAAATAGAGTTAGAGAGGTGGAGAGGGGAGAAAAGATAAAGACTCGGAGAAAATACAAAACCTCTGCCAAACTCAACATTCTCTCAACACCCGAGCCTTGAAGAAGAACAACAAGAACATTTAAAGTCGTGCCGTTCTGCCTCAAATTCAAACTTTGAAGACAAAAAACAACAAGCACGTCCAAAGTCGAGACATTCTTCCTCAAACTCAAGAAATTTGAAGACTTTGAAGGCAAAGAACAACAAGCACATTCACAGTTGTCTTCTTCAAGATTCAACTAGTTTCAAGAATCACCAAATAACACCATTTGAGATCAAGCATCCATAGCTCTCAATCGGAAATCAATTCAAGCCTTCTTCATTCTTCAAAGATTTGAATGAAGTTCATCACAATCAGTTTAAGATCAAGCTTTGAAGCCCTTGCACTGACCAATCAAGGAGATCGAGAATCAGAGGATAAATTCTTTCTTTTGTAACAAATTACAGAGGATAAATTCTTTCTTTTGTAACAAATAGGTCTGTTGAGATAAGTTTGTTGAGAGAATCTCAGATAGGTTTGTTGAAAGAATCTATCCATCTCTCTCTTATTGTTGTAACAACAAACGGATAAGTTCGTTGAGAGAATCTCTCCATATCTCTCTTATTATTGTAACTATAAATACAGAAAAATTTGTCCACTATTTCTATTCTTTTATTTTAGATACAAAGTTTGTGTGCATAACAAGAGCCATGAGCTCTCCACATTTAATCACTGGATTGATACAATTTTTTGAGATCTTTGAGAAGTCAAATGAATCATTTAATATCTTTCAATCCAGTGGTTATTTATGGAGAGCCCATGGCTCTTGTTATGAGGGAGCTCTCTTAATAGCATTACTCTAATTCAAATCATCTATCAATCTACATAAAAGAATCTTTTTGAATCAGATAACGGAACTTAGCTAGAGTAGGATATAATTCTACCCGCCTGCACTAAACACGTGACCCTAAGCTACTACTATATGTATATGTCACCTATAAATAAAATGTGGTATCACCGAGACAGGATAATATCCTACAACTCAAGTAGTCTTTACCCATTCCTTTTTGTTGGCCGAGAAGGTTCTCATTCTTGTGAGAACCCTGATCCCAATAGAGAAAGTGAAAATCAAGATATTTGGGGAAATTAATTGTACTTCCATCAGACAACTACTTATTGTCACCTGAACAGTCAACTTAATGTATTATTTATGCACTTGCAACAGCATACAAACTTTTATATAGTAAAGTACAGATATTTTACCTAATTACATACATGCATATATATATATATATATATTGTTTGAATAATGTATATTGTTATCAATACCCATTTCGTAAAGGAAATTATATTTATCCTTTTATATTAATAAACCAAGAGGCACATAACACTCATGAACTCTTTGAACATCAAATTGCAATTGCCAATACATAAAGCATGTAAAGAAAACAAGAGAAAAATAAGACGGGAGAAGCGGTCCGCTAACCTTGGCTACCATGCGTTGGAAAGTGATGTCTTCATCGTCTATTCTATCCTTCCCTTTCCCCCATTTCTTATCTGCAAGTGTAAACAAATGTAATTAAAAATTATTGACTAATCATCAAAACCATAAGCAAATTAACAAGTATAGTTGAATAAAAAAACATATAAGATGTATATACCTTTAGGATCGGAGAGATTGGTGTATTCTCGAACTTCTTTTCCAGCCATGTGACTGTTGTCGTTTAAAAAATACCAAGAAAAACACCTCCTCTCAACAATCTTCCAATCTTCCGTCAAAATTTACAAAGACAAACCAAATTAATATAGATCGAACTGGCGGTTGAATTGATTGAGGGATTGATAATATAAAAATGACAAGTGTTGATGTGCGAATATAAACCCTAACAGTCTTTCTTCAAGAGAAGCTGAAGTAGAAGACGATAAAGAAATTGAGCTTAGGGTTTCAGTAACAGCCTCAATACACTGCGATTTCCCTCCTCCCTGAAGATTGGGGGCTACCAGTAATAGCATGTGAAGACCACGTACTTGGAATTGGATTTCAACAGTTTTACAGGCCCTACCAACACTTATCAGGGGATGGTTAGCGGGCTGGGCTATCCAGACCACGGGAATGGGCCCGTCGGGCGTAAATATATCGATGGGAATGATCGGCCCGTTTGGGACAAGGAAAACAAAAATACTCCATAATATTAAATAAAAATATATATGCGAAAAGTGTTTTTTTTTTTTTTTTAATCAAAGGTTTAAGATTCAAGTCTCAGAGTTTAAAAAATAACCAATGATATCTCTTCTACCTTTCACAATAGAATATTCAAGTCTCATTGAGAATATATGTAAGTGTGTCAACTAGCTATATAATGGTAAGATAAATGAAAAGAACAAAAAAAAAATTGTTCAAATAGTTGCTCTTTAAATTAATTCATGTGTATTGTTGATTCAATTCACACTTTAAATATATATATATATATATATATATATATATATATATATGCAAATTTATTTTTATTTTTGGTTATCATATAATGCATCACGTCATATCAAGGTTATAAATTATAACTTATAATGTAATATAGGATATTGGTTTTTTAACTATCAAGTATGAGGTGTATATATATTTTCTTGCAGAGGTTGCAATTATTTCTGTAAATTTATTATAATATACTTTCAATTTTGTTAAAAATATTAGTATAAGTTTGGTTCTACCTAATAATAATAACCAGGTAAATAATTACATGATTTCAGTTAACCATCACTAAAGACATAAGTAAAAAAATAAAATAAAATAAACATAAGCTGCCAAGCAATGATTGCACCAAATCGAATCAATTCCATGCACCCTATAATGCTTTAACCTATTATGTGCTTAGACTTGTTTTTAATATAAACTGCAATTTATGTTCGTCGTAGATAATTAAATGTATACTTGTCAAATATATTGAATTTTGATTGGAATATGATCCAAATCCAGATTGAATATTCACGTATGAATTGAATTAAAAGTTCAATAGTTCACGATGATCCGAATCCTTTAAAATTATTAGGAATATAATATACTGTCTTGTTGAGTATTCGCTTCCTTACATCCAATTTTTCAATTTAGAATAATTATGATTCTGGTTGAATAATTTTGGAGCAAAAATAAGAGTCAAGATTAAAAAATGTACTAACTTGTCTCATTATAAATCAAAATGTTTGAATAGTCCGGCGAGTTAGTATCTCCGCTAAAATTCATGTTTCGATTCTATACATTTAACTTCGAACACAACTTATCTTAAAAAAATAATAATAATAAAAAAAAAAAAAATTTGACTCATTATAAGTAATTACGGAGGATGATACTATTTTATTTATTTTAGATTTTAGTATTGTTATCTTCTAAGGTCATCTGCAACGGGCTAGCTGTAGCCCAAATCCAGCGAGCTTCAGCACTGTAGGCCCTCCAGCGGGCTAATTTTGCGATCGCTGAATTTTTTTTTTTTTCCTAATGCAAAACGGTGCCGTTTTGTTTTTTGACCAAACCGTGCTGTACAGCAGCCAAGGCACTGTTTGGCAGATTTATTTATTTTTTTTAAAACCTAAATATAAGTTATTTAGAGCTCTTTTTTTTTGGGAAAAAAAAAAATTCATTAAATAAAAAATATATTGTTTAGGCATTGTTTGTCCAAAAAAAATAAAAATTTTGGGCCAAAAATAAATTAAAAAACTTTTTTTTTTTTTTTTTTTTTTCCCTTAAAATTTGTTTTTTTTTTTTAATTTGTTTTTTTTTTTTTTGTTTTAAATTTTAAATGTGTAGGCCAAATAGTGTATTTGTCCATTAAGGCACTATTTATACAATACCAAATAATGCCTTAACGGCTATAATTTAAAAAAAAAGTTAAAAAATTCAAATTTTACCTTTTTTTTGTTTTTGTTTTTTCCCTTAAAATTTGGTTTTTTATTAAATTTTTTGCTTTAAATTTTAAATGTGTAGGCCAAATAGTGTATTTGGCCGTTAAGGCACTGTTTTTTATAATAACTGTTATAATTTTTTAAAAAAGTTTAAAAATTCAAAATTTTTAACTTTATTAATAAAAAAAATTAATTTAAAATTTTTAATAATTTACAAAAAATATTGTTTGATTGAAAAATATTACCGTTGGGAAAATATAGTCGTTAAAAATATAGCCGTTTAGGAAAAGTTAAAAAAGAAAAAAAAAAAAATTTAATTTTAATTTATTATTATTATTATTTTTAAAGAGTTAAAATTTAAAGAGTCTGATGGAATATATATTTTTGGAGAGTGAAAATCGCACTTTAGAAAATAATGATGTGACTTTTAAAAAAATTGACGTGACGCTTTTAGAGGGTCAGAATCCGGAGAGAAAGGTGCCTAAACAAGAGAAAAAATCAATAATATTCACTGGAGTCCAAATTCAGTTCACCCGTTCTGCCCTTCTCTCATTGCCAGGTTTAAAAAGTAAATAAAAATATTTGTCAGAATACTCATACTTCATAGCTTCAATCTTGAAGACTAATTTGGAATCAAAATGACTAATTTTTTCCTTCTTCGCCATTGACTTAAAAATTATAATATTCATCTTACCTACTTCCACCTTTCATGATTCAACCTACCCACCAACGTTACCTGCTCACTTGGGTTGTTGGATACATCATACACGCATATATGCATATTTACGCAATCACAACACCACCGTCGTCGTTGTTGATAAAGTTATTCGTTGTTTTGGAAGCGTTTAATCACTCCGTTAGTCGGATCTTATTCAGCAAAAAATGTCATCTTCCATCAAAAACCCTAGTGTCGTGACCTGCAAAGGTATAGTAATAATCCCCTTCTCTTTTACACTGTTTCTGTTGATTTCTTCGTTTGGTTTATTGTAATTATTATTATTTTTTCTCAACATATGCATACATATATTTATATGATTTGTTGATATATATATGTGAACATACGTGATAAAAGCTGCGGTGGCATGGGGAGCTGGAGAGCCATTGGTAATGGAGGAGGTGGAAGTAAGTCCGCCCCAACCCATGGAAATACGTATTAAGGTTGTGTGCACATCCCTATGTCGCAGTGACATTACAGCTTGGGAGTCTCAGGTTCTTTTCTGTTTTATGTTATTGTTTTTTTTAATTATCAATTCAATCATTCAAGTGCCAATTCTCTTTTAATATTTGTGGTTTATTAGTTCAATAATTGTGTTTAATTTAGAATGCCTCTTTCATAAATTGCAATCTTAATCACACGCAATCTAAGAAATTATAGCCACTGTTTGTTGACTGATTATTTTTGAAGATATCCTGTTGGCTGGCCTAAAAGCCTGAGATGGTGCCAAATGAAGTTCCATTATTAGCTTTTTAGTATAGACATTAGGTTGTTATGCGATAATTGAAGAATGGTGGTAAAGAGATACCCAATGGTCTATGTAATATATATTATCAAAATATGACATCGAGGAGTGTAAACAGGATACTGACCTCAAAATAAAAGCAAGATGGAGAGGGGAAGTAAAAGTGCTATAGGTTGATACATTGTGGTAAGCATATTATATAAGATGGCTATGAAGCTAACCATGTTGAGTATAGGAAGTTGGGTGATCATGAAACAAGATGCCTAGTAAACTGAGTCCCAATCAACTCACTGTGACACGTGATTTGCTAGATAGGAAAGAAGAACGCAAAATGGTTGATTCTGTGGAAAGAAAACAAGATGGTTGATTTTTGGTAAATAAGTTAGTTAAGATAATTTGCTTATGCGTAATAAAGACCTATGGCTATAGCGGTGATAAAAGACATCCAAGTAGAACAAACACAGACATGGGATACATAGGAATTGACACGAATGTGCCAACATTTTAAATCCTAAAAAGTAGGATACCGAAATTGCGTGGGCACAACTATTATGAACATAAGTTTTTATTTATATACATCTATTAAGTAAGACAATTTTAGAATTTTAATTAACTAATGGTTATTTAGCATCACAGTGATCACACTGAACAATTAAGTTAATGTATTTTTTTCTGATGACTCCTGAATATGGATTTCTGTCTGTTACACTCTTCTTTTTTGGGTTTGCATTGAAATTATTGAAGTTGAGATATTTCAACGGCCTTCCTTTCTGTCCTTTAATTGATTTTTTTTTTTTGGTTAACCTTCACTTCTTATATAGTGTCATTATTATTATTTTATGAAATGGATCCATTAAATTTATTTTTTTGTGGCTTCCTAAGAGTATATATTACATGTCTAACAGCCTATGCTTTTTTGTTCAGGCACACCCCCCTATATATCCTCGGATTTTTGGCCATGAAGCATCAGGGTTACTTCTCTATCTCTCCCCTTTTGATTTGATGGAAAATGATTATAGGGCAATGTCCACAGTTTTCTATAATCTTACAAAATGTATACAATTATTGGCCAGCAATTAGATGGTTAAGGGAGTCTTGGGAAAATAATATCAAGTGGAAACCTAAAAGAAGATCAAGTAATTGGCAAAGCAGTTATCTCTACGAAGGAGCAAGCTGAATTATATTTGGAGGTTTGCTGACGTATTTTGCCCTGCTATTAGATTAATGGAATGTTGTGTGCTTGAAGTCTTAGATAAATGCTTGGTGTAGGGACCTCCCTCTAAAAGTAAATCATCTGTTTGGAACTAGTCAGTCACACAAGCGGGGGTTAAAGGCTTTGTTTTCCAGGTTGGAGATATTGAGTTGGAATGCAAGTTTGATATGGAATTTCCATGATTGAGACTTGAAAGGTGTGTTTTTGTTACTTGAATACATATTTTCTTCCATTGGAAAGATTATCGGTTTGAACCAAAATTAATAATTAAAAAAACAAAAGAGGGCATACTGTTAGCAAGAAAGAAACGACAGTTGTGACCAAATAGATAAGGTTAGAAGAAAGAAGACATACAATTTGAATAAAGAAATTATGCAAAACTTAACTATAACAATGACACTGCCATGGACTAGGAAGCACGGACTTTGGAGACCAAAGACCTAAGAAGCACGGACACTTTTCATAGGGGTGCTGTGCTGGTATTAGCCGTGCCGGACACGTGTCAAACATGGCTAAAACTAGAAGTGTCCTAGAATTTGAATATTTTATTTTTTGGCTAGGACACGACATGGACATGGCAAGGACACGTTTAAGACACTTCCACGATATAACGGGGTGGTCTTGTAATTATTTTTCTTAGAAGAACGGAATTCATTGCAATATAAAGTACATTATGGGTTATTAGAAAAATAATATAAATTTTAGAAAACAAAACCAACAAACATGTAGCTCTAAACTTCAAATTAGTGAGTTCATTCATGATCATATGGATAAAATGAGCAAAAATAATAATAATAATAATAATAATAATAATAATAATAATAATTACTTATCAAATAATAATAATAATAATGATGATGATAATAATCATCATCATTATTATTATTATTTGACGTATCTATGCCATATATGTGTTCTATATATATTTTTTAATTTGCCATATCGCCGTATCCGTATCGTGTCATACCCGTGTCCTATGTCTGTATCTTTGCTTCCTAGCCAAAGATGAACAGAGGAATTCCCCTGCTGGTGTGCATCTCCCTGTTATAATCTTATCCTTAATTCTTCTAGTATATATTATCTTCATTTTAACATCAAAGTTAGTCTTCTAATTTACCAATTTAGATATTTTTCGTGGCCTCTAAATACTTTCTAATTAATGCGTAAGCGATAAGGGACATTACCTAGTTATAGTCCCGCTACAGCAGGGTCTTCAGGAGGGAGGACTCAAGACAAACTTAAGCTTTGGTTTTTCACAAAGTGGTTGCATTGAGGTTTGAAGTTGTGCCAACGGAAAAACTGAAATAACCCAACTAGTTAGTATCTACGGAAACATGGAAAAGTCTTTGCTAAGGCAACTTACTACAAATCGTACGGTACTTTAAAATGTTTCTTACTTTTGAATGTAAACCTATGATTAAATAAAGACTGACAAATATTATTGAAATTAGAATAACTAAATGACTTAAAACTACCACGTACATTTTGTCTTGGATCAAAATAGTTTATTAATTTGCTTGGGGTCCAAAGTCTTAGTTTTGACTTCCAGATTGGGTACATCTTTCCAACCAAGCTGTGGTTACCTCATCAGATTAATATGTATGACATATGGGGTACCAATCAGGAATGAAATTTGTACGATATATGGAGCATTAATGTTTTGCTGAGAGTTGATGATTGTGTAATATGGTGATGGGGGCCTTTGATTAAAATAGTGTTACGTTATGCTGTGGTGTATGTGTGATGCAACATGTCTTACAAATCTGGTTAAAATGATTAGATTAGATCAGATATGGTGAATATTTTCAAATAAGTTTCCTGATTTTACACTGAGGGTGGCCACCCAGTTTCATTATTGTTGTAAACTAAGAATTCTGCTCTTTTTATTATTATTATTTTTTTATTTTTATATTTAACTGCAAAATGAAAGAAGTGCTGAATTTCCTGTAGTGAATTTGCAGTATTGTTGAGAGTGTGGGGCAAGGAGTTACTGAATTTGAAGAAGGGGACCATGTGCTTACATTGTTTATGGGAGAATGCATGAGATGCAGACACTGTACGTCCGGTAAGAGCAACATTTGCCAAGCACTGGGGTTGGAGAGGAGAGGTTTAATGCACAGTGACCAGAAGACACGTTTCTCAGTAAGAGGTGAACCCATTTATCACTATTGTGCGGTTTCAAGTTTCAGTGAGTATACAGTTGTGCACTCTGGATGTGCTGTCAAAGTCGACTCAATTGCGCCACTAGAGAAAATATGCCTTCTTAGTTGTGGAGTTGCAGCAGGTAAAACATTTTCAATATAAACTGGGATCAAGTTGGATGATGCTAATCCCTCTATTTTTGTTTATCTGTGTTGTCTGTATATTATGCCTGCATGTAACATAAACATGGAAATACAAGCAAGCATACTGTATGCATATATTATACCTGCAAAGAAACATGGCACTTAAATGCATTCCTGTTTGCGTAGTGCATATATAAATGTTTAAAACTTTGAGGAAATTATTGTTTTGAAAGTGAATTTGGAGAAAAGCAAGCTGATCCCTACGGTTGAGGACGTGGCTCTCTTGGGTCTTGGCAAGTAATTACGCTCATGGGTTGGCTCTCTTTCAATGGTCACACTTGGGGCCTACTTTTAGGGTAATTTCTTTAAGTGTATTATACTATGTGGGATAGTTGTTAAAGAGTTGAGATTAGTGGATTGAAGAAGTTGGTTATTTAGGGGTGGGGGGTTGACTTTTATTAAGCTTACCCATTTTAGACCTAAAGTTTATCTTATATTAGCTTTCACCATTCTCGTAAGGGTGGCTGAGAAGCTAAAGATGCCCGAGAGACTGTTTATGAGGTGTTCTTGAGAAGTATTTGGATAGATCATAGTCATGAAGTGCGTGCTCCTAGTAAGGTTGATGAGTTTGTTATTAAGAAAGCTTAGTCTTTTCAACAAGGGCTAGCATTTTTAAGATATGCCTTTGAGAAAGGAAGCTTGTGAATGAAAGTGAGAAAATAAAATTTTGGGGACAGATGGGAGGTTTGGTTCACTAAAGAGGGTAGAGGCTTGAATGGGTTAGGCTGCAGAAAGGGAAGGAAAATTTTTTAAAAAGAAAAGAAGACCAAAAAAGAATGGGATAAAGTACTCCCAAGCATATCTCATTTTTACTGGGTAATAGGTGAAGGGTGCTCTTTCGGATTGATACTTAGTTTGGGATATGCATCTGCAATCCATTTTTCTTTACCTTTTCGATATTATTTGGGATGAGATGGTTTGCATCACAGATTGAGGATTCAAATCTAGTGTTATGTGGATGTATACTGCAAGGCTAGGAGCTCTTTCTGAGATAAAAGGTGTAGTTTGCTTTTTCTTGCTTGGTATTTCCTTTCATTCATTTGTAGTTTGGTTGCATCTGTTGCTTTATGTGCACATTTTTATGCAGGGACATAAAGAAAATGTTTAATATTAATACGACTCCAAATTTTTCTTTCAGCTGTGATATCAATTGTTTTTTTTTTTTTTTTATGTCCTTCTATTTCTATATTTAAATCATCGTACTTGATTATGCCATTATGCTTGATTAAAGAAGAACTATTAGTTTGGGGGTGAGCTCACACTTGGGAATATATTAATAGGTCTTGGTGCTGCTTGGAAGGTTGCCGATATATCTGAAGGATCAACAGTTGTCATTTTTGGTCTCGGAACTGTAGGCCTTTCTGTAAGTAGGTGACTCAGAATCAACATGTATCGTCTATATCTTCCCAGGACTCAAGCTGTTTGTTTATAGTAACCGGATTTGTATCATTCATGATTTCTTCTATGATTAGGTTGCACAAGGTGCCAAACTAAGAGGAGCATCTCGAGTAATTGGTGTGGACACTAACCCTGCAAAGAGTGAAAAAGGTATCACAATTTTTGCTCTTTCATATTAGTATATTGTGTGGTTAACAGTTACATAATTAAAGATTTATGGGTTCTTCATGATATCTCTTGTTGATGCAGCAAAGGCTTTTGGAGTAACAGACTATGTTAACCCAAATGACTTCAATGAACCAATTCAACAGGTATTTGATTTCATTCAACTCAGCAGCAGCAGCGGAAAGCTAGAATGATTTATTTATTTAATTAATTTTTCTTGCTGTTGTATAAAAAATTCGTAAGATGATAGGACACAGTAATATAATAATAATAACAAAAAAAAGGCAAATCCAGTGCACGAGGCTCCCGCCGTTGCGGGGTCTGGGGAGGGTTAGATGGACACAGCCTTCATAATAACATAAGGTTGATCGAAGTGGTGCAAGTTCTAATACTATAGAAAGAACTGTCAATAGAATGACCACCAAAGGCTGTAGCCCAGTGGTACTTCCTCGCCTTCCAAGGTAGAAGGTCGAGGGTTCAAGTCCCCGTAGGGGCATGTGGGTGTGGGAGAGTGTTTCTTGCCAATGAAAAAAAAAAAAAAAAACTGTCGACATAATGCATTTGATATGAATTCTAATGTATTTATGTGTTAGTCTTACTGTTTTGAGCTATGATTTGGAGGACACGGCCCTACTGGGGTCAGAATTTCTTTTTTGGTAACTGCATACTCATCAATTTATCTAATGAAAAGGGATTTTAAGCGTAATCCAATTTATAATAACTGTGTAAATGGTGAAATAGGGTTCATGTTGCGGATTCCAAATAATTGTAAAGGCTTTGTTGAGTTGAGTTGCATATTTAACCTAACACTTTGTTGTATTTTGTAAGCCCCTCGCAAAATATTATATTTTTATAGAACCCCTCACTTCTTTTCCATGTCAATACTTGACACCGGAGCCCATATCTGCAAATAATTAAATTTGCGTTACTGGCACATACTCTATATTGCAATAATCTCTCTTCCTAAAGCCATATATATGTATATAATATTTTTTCAGATACTGTGACTTAATTCACACATTTGCAGACTCATTTGAACAAATGAAGTTTGAATAGTGTGTTGATTTTCTTTTTGTTTTGTTTTGTTTTTTTCAGGTTATTAAGCGTATTACTGATGGAGGGGCAGACTACTCATTTGAATGTGTTGGAGATACAGGAATGATAACTACTGCTTTACAGTCATGTTGCGATGTAATTGCTGTCATTTCCCTAATTCATTTTTCTTTATTTGAGGGAATTCTAGTCATTAACCGTGACATAAATTTCTTCTTTTGTAGGGATGGGGTGTGACTGTCACTCTTGGTGTACCAAAAGTGAAGCCAGAGATAACAGCTCACTATGGGTTATTTCTTTCTGGGAGAACATTGAAAGGATCCTTATTTGGAGGATGGAAACCAAAATCTGATCTTCCATCATTAGTAGACATGTACTTAAGGAAGGTAAGAATAATTATGGCAATTACCTGTTATTCTGAGTTCTTTTTTTTTTTTTTAGGTTCCAATTAAATGATTAATATCTGCTTGGTAGACAATCCATCTTAATTTTCTTCAATTCTCGCCCAGTCGCACCACCTAAAAACTTGAGATTTGGATTGGATGGCAAGCACCCGACATGTGACAGACATTATCTATAATTTGTTATGGTGCTTAATTATAGTGGTGCAATGCTATTACCTTGTGACACTTTTGTTTGTTCTGGTTATTCAAGTACCTAGGAGCCCTCTGTTTTACCCTGTTCTTTCAATAACTTTGTCACATTATTCTTCAGAATCAAAATTGTTTCACTAAGAAAAAGCATGGGTGAATTACAGGAATCATAATAAATAATTCATTGCTTTATCCAATGTGACTGCTGGCTTATCTATGGTAACTATAAACTCTAAACTAACTTGAAGCAGAAATATTAATGAAAAAAAGCACGATGCTGTTTGGATTCTTATGTGCGCTGGCATGTCTTCATATGCTCCTGAATCATTTACGTCAATTGATTTTACATTTTTTATATGCAGGAAATCCAGATCGATGAGTTCATTACACATAATCTGCCATTTGAAGATATTAATAAAGCTTTTAATCTCATGAGAGAAGGGAAGTGTTTGCGTTGTGTCATCCACATGCCAAGATAGAGTTGTTTTTGTGCAAATCACACTCCTGGTTGCAGATGAGTGCGTGTTTAGAAGACTGCTTACTTGCTGGTTATACTTCGAGGAAGACAGTCCTTATGAAGGATGATTTGAAGTCAGAATGCTACTTCTTTTAGTTACAATGCCTGTTCGTGCGCACTTGCCCTTGCTGGAGCTATGTGGGATGTTGACTCCGTAATTTTTTTTTTCTTCGGGTGTTCTTTTTCAAATTAAAGACTTGAAAATTTCTAAACTGGTCATGTAAATTCAACGAGTTCACTGTTGTAAAAGACTGAAACAAGGTTTTAACTTTGGCCGTGTGCATTTCACAATACTCCTTTCTCAGAGTGAACTGGTTGTGCTAGAAACTCCAACATTGGCATCGGTGTTCTTTCTGTGAAAGGCAAAAATCATTTGGAACTCTAATGGTTCTGCTTAATTGGTGACTTAGAAGTTTTCTACATAGGTTTTTATTGAAACCATTGGATCCATATCTTGTGTATGACAAACATATCTTAGGAAAGTCCTATTCACACTAGTGAATGAAAATGATCTGTGTTTTGGTCTGATTCTAATGTTCTTGAGCACAATGTGCAAATAAGACGTGCAAGAGAGGCCTCTGTTTATGAAAGCACATTTTCCAAATAAGAATTGAACTTTGTCCACTTCAAATTGTATGCAACACAATTAGTACTTATCAACCAGTCATCGATATTCTTTGTGTTGCAAATGTGGTAGTAATGGAAACTTTGTAAGATCAATGGTGGTCAGATGTTTAAATGTTGGTTATGCAGGTTATGGTGGTGTTGACGATAAAGTTTTTAATTGGAATCGTAACATTCCTTTTTATAGTAGAAATGACAAAAAGGTAGATGTGAGACCCAGGCATTAATGCATCTCCATTGGTCATTCAGGAATGAATTTTACGGGCCAAAAATCATTTGGGCTTAGATTATAGGTTTGAATTGCATTACAATTCTTAATCTTAGTATGGTTATACCATGTTAAATAATCAACTCTTTATAAAAATTTAAAATAATAATTAGAGATATCTCAAACATGATGATTAACACTAATTTTTAAACAATTTCTATTTCTCAAATATTAGTCGAGTGTTGTGTTGTGTTGGGTTGGGCTTGTTGTTGGTTAGGCCTTGCAGGGAGGGCACATCTTCGGAATCTCTGAATTTTCAGTTAAGCTCCAATTCCGATGAGATGGAAAATAAGACAACTAAATTACTCATGTATATTTATGTGTACTTTCAAAAATAAAATTAGAAAAATCAGATTTGATTTTCTGAAAATTATTTCTCTCTAAAGGCTTTATCAAAATAATGAATTTATGTTTCTGAAGCCATACCTCAATAATGAATGAAAGATGATGACACACAGAAGAAAATCAGACTTTGGAGTTTGAGAAACAGGCAAGTATTTCCATTTGTTTAACATTTAACATAACTTTTTGCTTATTGGGTTGCAGTAGTTTTTTTGTTATTGTTTAATTAAACTTAAAAATTATTATCATTAAAAATTGGTTGAGTATTTTTTATGAGGAGGTAGAGGGTTCAAATCTTTATAGAAATATTTTTTGTCAATAAAATAAAATAAAAAACTTGAAACTTTGCTTAGGTACAATGGATTGTTGTAGCATTGATCCAAAAATACTACTTTCTTTGTTTTTATTTCGTTTAAAATTTTCACCCTTTTTGTTAATTGGACCAACATGAGCATGTTGTCACTTAGCAGCAGGGGACTGACCCATGTGACGATGTGAGGGACTCCATTGAAATTTTATAAATTTTTATTTTTGTTTAGAAAATTGTAGGTAATTATATAAATATCCCCATAATTTTATCATTTGCCTCTACTAAAATTTTTACAAATATCCTCATTGATTTTTTTTTTTTCTCTCACTCACGCCATTATTATTGTTTAAACGAATCAGCCCACAAAAACAAATTTAGAACATAAAAGCTCAAAGGCGTCAAAGGCTTAAACCACAACCCAGAGTTATTTGTAGAAAAAAGAAAAAGAAAAGGATGCCGGATCCGGGTCAATTGGATTCTTTTAAATCCCGGGTCAATTGAATTTACACGTCCCATTTTATACAATTCAATTTCGGATTAAACCCGCCTGGAATTGCCGTTGTCGGTTTTATTGTCCTCTGATAAAGAACCGAAGTAACAGAGTCTCTCTCTCTTGTAGGGTTTTCTGTTCACCTCGCTCTCTATATCTCACTGTTAACTAGCTCGCTCGACGGCCCGAATTTAAGTATGTTTCTATCACTTTTTCTCTCTATTTTTTTTCCCCTTTCTCTTTCTAGGGTTTTGAGTGTTTTTCTTCCGTTACTCATTTAAATCATGTAACCCTTAATCCCGTAATCTTCTCTCTTACTTTTTCTTCCCCCAAATTGGGTAATTACTTTTTTAATCTCCTTAAGAAGCTTTGATATGAATTCATGATATATATATATACATCAACTTACATACATATATGCCTTATATATGTATAAGCGGGGACTGTTTAAGTTTCAGCGTGTGAATTTTGATTCAAAGAATGTGAAATTCAGTGTTTTTGACTATTTGGATTCAACATTACGGAGTTTGGAACTTAAAAGAGGAAAAGACTAAAAGAGTCTTTTATGAATTTACGAAGTCAGAAGATGTAATAATTGAATGTGAGCTAAATAGTTTAACCTAATTTAGTAACACTTGTGGACTGATTATTGTTAGTGTTGAAGCAGGAGTTAAGAGTAGTGATGTCTAGCGAAGAAGAATCTATAGAGCAAGCGGCTGCAGCGCGTCGAGAGAGGCTGAGAGCCCTAAGAGCTGCTCAGGACCTTCTTAACACTCCGGATGAGGACTCTGGTCAAGTCGAGGATAATGGAACTAATGATGAAGAAAAGTGAGAACTTTCTTTCGACAGAATTTATTTATTTTTTAAAACAAGAATTGTTCAGTCTTAATTTTGCATAGCCCATGGTATGAATGGTTTTGTTGATTTCTAGTACATGATATTAAATTCTTATTCTTGATTCCTTGAAAGTTGTTTGTGGGTTTGTGAATGGTGATACTCCAAGAAGTTACTTCCATGCAAAATTGGGGGTATGCATTTTTGTAAGTAAATTTTATGGATTATAAAGCTATACTGTACGAAGCTGCACATACTGGCGACTGCATTGTATAGATGTTGACCATGGGAACAAGGAGAATGAAATGACTATTATATTTTATATAAAGTGGGCAAAACATAATAGCCAACATGTGTTTCCCCCTCAAGTGGAAAAAAAAACCGTCTTCAGTGGCTACTTAGTTTGGTAAATTGGGATTTGAATTATATCAAATTTGTTTCCATATATGATAGTGTTGCTGCAATAAGAACACAGTCTTAGGTGCACCCCTTGAAATTTATAAAAGACTTGGGATGCCCCTTTTTGGGAAAGATCAATGAAAAATTAAGCGTACTTCCATGATTTATGGTGAAGGATTAAGCAATGCAATTACATAAAGTGTTTAATGTTGTGGGTTTTTTCTGTCAGCTTGTTTATTTGTGCAGATGTTGGACCTTTTTTTTTTTTTGGGGGGGGGGGGGGGGGGGGCAGGGGAGAGGGATGGGGTGGTAAGAGGAAGCTTTGTTGTCATTTTCATATGATACTGGTGTTGCAATATTTCAATAATTTTACGCGATTTTTGTATGTGGACAAGCATCAACATCATTATTGAATTGTATCCCAACTACGCTGTTTTTACAATTTTAGTCTAAATAAACTGATTTCTTTGGTTTACTTCAATTGAGCTAACGAAAAAAGTAGTTTGTGGTCTATATGGAGGCATGACATGAGTTCAATCCCACCTTATAGTGAGAATACAACTTAGTGTATATGTCACAACTTAGTTTGTGCATGACATGGTCTAATTTTTTTTATTTTCCTTCATTGTTACACTTCCTTTTTATGGAATTAAAGTCACTTCTTTTTAATTTCCAGACATGCTGCTGACATGGCATACACACACACTGGACACGTGTCCAACACGTATATCGCATTGTTAGGGAGTTTTAAGGAAGTTTAAAAAGAAAATTGGGTTAAAGTGTAAATATGATGTCTTCTTTGAATTTTTTTAATAATATGGTGGTCATGACATAAATCATTTAAATTTTTTTGGTTTAAGAAACATTTATAGAGTAGATTCAATTTTGTAGTTCTTTAAATGATAAACGAATTGTCTTCATAGTTCATTAATTATTATGATTTGTGAATTTTTCATTGTTAGGTTGATCAAGAATAATATTATTCTTAAAATACAAGATCATATATATATATATATAAAGATATTTTTAATAGTCACCATGTCCCTGCTGTGTTCGTGTCATGTCGTATCCATATTTGTAGGTTAGGCTTAGGCAGTAGTGAATAAATTAACATTGGTTGACAGTTATATATCTACATTTTTCACGAACAATGTAGATGTTTCTTGTTTGTATTTTCAGTGTTGTTGCTTTGGAATTTCCAAATGCTTGTGTTAAAATGTAGCTCCTAATTCTCTGCAGCAGTCTCAACATGAAATTTCGTAATTATGTTCCTCATGACAAGCAACTTCAGGAAGGTAAGCTCGCCCCACCAGTGCTCCCAAAGTTTGAAGACCCTGTTGCAGCAGCACCTCCACCGGAGGAGAAGAAAGAGGTGCGTGATTACCTCTAATATCTCTTCTTTGTGCTTTTCAGTCATATCTTTTGGTGTTTCCGTGTGTCCTAATATGAGAGAAATGTACAGGATCCATTTGTAAACATTGCTCCAAAAAAACCAAACTGGGACCTTCGGAGGGATGTACAAAAGAAGCTTGATAAGCTTGAGAAACGCACACAGAAGGCGATATTTCAACTAATGGGTATGTTTTCATGTTGCGTAAATACATCAGTATACCCTAGAAATAAAAGAAGAATATTAGGGAATATAAATGTTTATTCACGTTCCTACATCTTTGGGTTGGGATTTGATGAATTTAAGGCTTAGGAACATGCCCACACCCCACGAAATGGCCTTTGTATATCCTTAAAGTATGAAAAGGTTTAGCAGGTTAAATTAAATGGTCTCCAATTTGTTGATCGAAGTACTCATATTACGTAGACCATATAGATAAAACCTGTTAAGTGTTAGGTAAAAACTTCTATTTGAACCATGGCTGCTGCTACTTTTTTTTTTTTAACGAGTGGCTGCTGCTTACTTTTTTTTTAAAAAAAAAAAAAATTGAGTGGCTGCTACTTACTATTGCCCCACATGGGTTTTGGGTGATAAAACCAAGATTTTCAGTAATTCTTATAAGCAAGTGTTATGTATGGCAATTCTAGTTTTATTAGGGCCCCTTATTTATAATATGTAATGCATGACTGGTTATAGTAGGAATAGGGTCTTTGATTTAGGTTCACATCATATAGTAGATATTTGATACCAAAATTTTGAATGATAAAATGAATCTAGACCATGTTTTACCATTATATGAAAATGGATCTTATTGATTTTTGAAATGTCATTTGTATGTCATTGCATATACATTATAATTTGTTTTGTTATTTTCACAACTTATTCTCTATATCTATCTCATGAGTCATGATTGAGTCGACATCTACATAGTCATTGACACTTGCACAGCCTTGAGTCTTGACAATCTTGTTCACGTCATTAAAGGCCTGCCATTGGAAAGAGGGCTTCTTGTTCTTACATAAATTTTGCTATCCTTATGTTGTAATGGTTTTGTTAGATAAGTGATTCTTTTGCCATCAGATCCAAGTGCTTTCTTGACTAAAATTTGGCTGATTCATATGAATTATGACGCAGTAATGGGGAGCACAAGAAGATGACACAAACTTCAATCTTGTATAAAGCTTATTTTCTTAAAGACATAATGGAGAAACTTCTTGCAGGCCACTGAAAGACGTCAAAGGCAAAATTTGCTAACAATCAAGTTTCCCGTTATATTGCTTTCTATTCATGAGAATATAGAACCCTAACCACTGGTAACAAAATCTAGACCCTGCAGTATACCTATGGTAATGCAATATAAAATCCCTCAAAACTTTATGAACAGCTTAGCTTAGCCTCGATGAAATTAAATCCCAGCCACATTTAGAATTGCTTTAGTGCCTTACTGGGATGACTTTTAACATACAAAAAGCACTATTGCAAGTTTGCACCTTGATACTTTCCTGCATATGACATACTAGGTCGGGGGACACTCATCCTAGAGTTAGCTAATCCTTCCACTATAAACATTAGAATGACAATTAATACACTAGACAGAGGTCTTAATTTGTGAAATAATAATCTTGCACAGGTAAAATGGTTTGTGACATGGATCCCCACACCCAGCCATAAGGGAGTATATATTTGCTTGCATCATTGTGTTTTAGTTTTGCATATCGTGTATAATGCGGCACAACTACACAAATAATGCATTATAATACTTGAATGAATTTCTGATTTGCAGAGGAACAAGAAAAGGAAAAACTGGTTGAAGCCAGTGGCAGTAGTGGCGTGGATGATTGAAAGCAGAATTCATGCAAATGAATATAAGTTGAGCAGGTACTATCAGTATGTTAACACCCTATTTGACCTCAAAGAGTGACTTAGAATGCAGTTCATTGGAAGAACCAAATGTTGCAATTGGCTTTACTACTGAATTAGTGAACAATAGAAATACTGGTCATCATTGGGCTTGGTGAAAAGTGCGAGGAAATTTTGGGATGATATCGTGAAAAGTGATTGTTGTTCTGTAACCAAATTGTAATGACTATGTCTTGATGGCATAGATGAATAGATCGGTGTGTGTGGTTAGTCCGTCTTTTTATAAGAGAAATATATATATATTTTCCTTTTTTTTTTTCTGTTTTTTTTTTCCTCACATTTGGTCAGATTCTGAATCTGGAAGAATTTCGTCTCAGGACTTTGGCATGCTTAGGGTTAGAAACTCTTGACCTGGACCCTCTTTGCCACAGCTTACTGGGATCCAACGGGATCTGGCTCATTGCTTCTGCAATTCCCTTGCATGCTTAATGTGTAAAACCAAGTCCCCCAATATAGCTCTGTGGCATTGAACCCTAACTCAGTACCGTCAAGGTCTCTTGCGTTGGTGTGGTAGAGACTCCTATTATCATACTAGCCTCTGCATGCATTACCAAGTCAATATGTTCGATGAGACTCCTATTATTATACTAGCCTCACCTTGCGTTACCAAGCCAATATGTTCAATTTCATACAGGTTTTGCTTTGTCCTACAGTCTTTCCAAGAGAGTTTTATTCTTCTGCTTGCCATTTAGAAGCAGCAGGTAGTAACCAGACAGACTGAAGTAATTGAAATGGTGGAATGTTTTGTGTGTTATGGAGCCACTAAAATTATAGGGTGATATTCTGGTGCCTGGCTCTCACCTCTCAGCTGAAGACGATTTCGTGCCATAAAATAGTTAGGTAGAAAGGATCCTCTCCAGCCAAATCTCTCTCAAGAAACTAAATTGAAGGTTAAAAAACCATTATTAGATGACCTGAAGCTTTTTCAACCGTTTTGTGACAGTTATATTTTGTAATAAACCTGAATGGAATCATCCATTGGTTCTGAAAAGAAATTCAATCATACAAGCCAATAACAAATGCTGCTTTGATTTGGACGATGGGAAGTTCTTGGAGATTCCCTTGCATCCAAACTTTTGGGTGTTTTGAACTTTGAAGGATGTCTTTGCATGCTACCATGGCGTAATGTTGGAATGGAGCAGTCTTGAAATAAAGCTAATACTAAAATTCCGCACAGGGTTATGCATATTTTTTTTTTTAGAGAGAATGATATTTTATAATCCACAATTTTCTCTGAATGTTCTAAAAAATTATTTATTTAGTTTTTCCCATTACTTGTAATTTTTTGGAAAAGGCAAAAAAAAAAAATTAATTCGAGACAAATCGAATTAGATTATTCTTTGATTTAATTTAGAAAAAAAAAAATGACAATTTATTAATTCATTTTTGTAACTTTTATGCTATCCGAACCATTAAACAGATTTTTTATGCAACTTTGTTGCAAAATATTTAGATGATAGAAAGCTTGTTTTTCATTTTTTCACTTCATATTCTATTATTTTACTCATACCAATCCTTTTGTCTTTTAGTTTAGCGGTGACTTCGGCCCTATTTCGTTCAGTTTTTAAAAAATTATTATCAAGATTTCAAAAAACTTTTTAAGAGAATTTAAACAAACAATTATTTTTAAAACTTACTTTTCCATTCTTTTGTCAATCATACCAAGTTTTAAGATGCCACCAAGCACATCTTTCAACCTTCTTAGCGTGATGCAACCTTCCCTCATTCATTTACTACATTTCTCTATTTTCGTGTAACCTTACATTATTAAACTTACAAAATTCATTCATAAATATTTTTTACTTATTTTTATTCATTTTTTGAGATGAAAATTATTTAAATTCATTTTCAAATGTTTTTGTTATTCACATAAATACAAAGACTGGATAGAGAGACTAAAAATAATGAATAATTAATGACGTTTGAAAACTAAAAAAAAAATGTTGTATCCAAAATGAAGAGAGAAAGTCTATCTTTGAACCAAGTAAACGTCTGGTTCAACTTCACAACTATTTAATTTTTATAAAACAATTTTCAAAAACCGTCAAGCAAAAATTTATATATATATATTTTTAATTTTCACTTTTCACTTATTATTATTATTATTATTTTTTTCGGGTTCCTCCTAACTTAAAAGGTAAGAGCAACCCCAGCGCATCAATGAAGTGTACAATATGTGTGTTGTGTGTAATGAATTGCTCTCCTGGATTACACACTAGTGGGGCCCAACTCATATTACACACTCAGCCCTTCACATGTAAGGATTGAAGTGGCGCCTGGCAGTGAGCAGAAAGCCACAGACGCAGGTCTTGTGTGGGCCATGTGTGAGATAATGATATAAAATGATATTGTATGATGGTGTGTAAAATAATTATTGTATATGTATTGAATTAATTAATTAATGAAAAGGTAGCTAAATTTTAATTAATTAAAAAAGGTCATTTTTGTAAATAAATAAAAAGAGTCATATAATTTGCATAATTATTTTTTTTTTTTTTAAAAGTTTGTACTCTTTGACTTATCAATTTTATTTATTTATTTATTACATAATAATTTAATTAATTTGCATAATAATATAACAAATAAAATTTTATTCGATTAATAAATTTAAACATCTTCACCACGTACTAATTTAATTAATTCGCATAATAATATAAAAATTATATTTTATTCGATTACACCAAATTTAAACATCTTCATTATCAAATTGATTACACAAATGTTCCATTAGATGTCTCCTGAGATCAGCATTATTCGCTCTATTACGAATTCTTCTAAAACGACCGAAAATGTGTGCCGCCAACATTGAGAATATAGTTGTTGAAGAAAAAACAAACATAATATATCCGTTAACAAAAAGACAAACATAATATAGCCGTTAGAATAAAACAAACATAATATAGCCGTTGGGAATATAGCCGTTAGGAAAAAGACAAAATGAAATTATGACCCGTTATGCAAAAAGGGGCAATTAATTATAATGTTTACTAATTTATTATTATTTTTTTCATGTGTGGAAGTATTAATGTATTTATTTTTTTTTTTCCTTAGTTGTATTTTTTATTTTATTTGTAAGAAGTTATGTAATGTACTTTTTTTTTATTTCTTATTTTTATTTTTTTAATATATATATATATATATATATGTAATATTATTGTTTTTTAGTATATATATATTTTTAGAAGCTTGTATCTAAATCGGAGCAAACAATTATAGCCGTTAGTATTATAGTTGTTGAGAATAAAATTGTTAAGAAAATAATAATAATAATAATAAATTATTTTATTATTTAAAAAATAATAATATAATAAAATGTAAAGTGGAACTTAGAGACTTTAAAATAAGTATATAATCAAATACTGACGTAAATGTACATTTTATATAAAGTTGATGACGTGCCTACACACTTTATATAAAGTGTGGAATGGGAAACAATGTGTGCAGTTGCTCTAAGGGACACCGTCGTCTTTTCGGCAACCCATTTGAAGAGCAGAGTATTTCCCTCCTGTCCTCGCCCTTTTCGTGCTGTCTCTGAAAAACTAAAATCAGTCAGTCTAGGGTTCTTACTCTTCAACCAGCTTACGTCTCCGACTACCAATTAAAGAAGGTTTTCAACTGCAACCATACAGGTTCGATCTTTAACTTGGTTCATATCTACACATTGAACAAATAGTCTTTTTCTTCTCTCTATTTGATCGGAAAATATCATCAGCTGTGGTTAAGATTCCGTTCCAATTTATTGCCAATCTTAATAGTTCATCAACGCAACATTGAATGATAAAGAATCAAGTTTCTCTGCCAATCAATCTATATACTGAACCATACGTATTATTATTTTTAGGGTTAGTAGGGCCATAATTTGCTTTCCTTCCCAACAAAATATGTACTATATATAGGAGGAGGAAGACGTTTTGGTGTCTATCGAATTACTTATCATTGTAATTATCAGATAAATAGAAAAGAGTATTTCCATTTTGGTTTTTACATGACTATCATTATATTGTTTTTTTGTTTTTTTTTTTTGGCTATCTGGACTTATTTTTGGTAAAATTAAGGTAGATTCACGTAGATTGACTTCATTCAGTTTCAGGAAAGGAGCCTTTTTGCATTATTTTTTGAAATGTAAAGCAACCCTTACCCATCTGTTCACCCCATGCTACAAAACTGCAGTTATTTTTTCTTCTTTTTTCCCTGTACATATTTATCTGCTATTTGTGTTTGTGCTGGTCAGTTACTATATTTGAAGAGATTCTCATTCACTGTCGTCTGTACGACATGTGTGACATTACATGGGTGCAATTTTTTTTTTAGCCACTCTCATTCCACTTTTCTCATATCAGTTGATAATGCTCTTCAATTTTATGATTTGAAAATCTTGAAGAATTTATTTGTTAATGCTTGTTCCTTGTCAAAATTACATGCTGGAGAAGCTCAATAGCATGAACCTTAGGAGGTGACAGCAAAAAACACACTTTTATCCATACTGTGCTAAATTTAGATTGTGATGCAATGTTATTGAGCTGCAAGAATTCGACATTCGACTTCTTATTTCGCCAATTTGCTCTCCTTCCCAACCAAATATGTACTATATATAGGAGGAGGAAGACGTGTTGGTGTCTATCGAATTACTTATCGTTATAATTATCAGATAAATGGAAAAGAGTATTTCTATCTGGACTTATTCTTGGTAAAATTAAGGTAGATTCACGTAGATCGACTTCATTCCATTTCAGGAAAGGAGCCTTTTTGCATTATTTTTTGAAATGTAAAGCAACCCTTACCCATCTGTTCACCCCATGCTACAAAACTGCAGTTATTTTTTCTTTTTTTTCCCCTGTACATATGTATCTGCTGTTTGTGTTTGTGCTGGTCAGTTACTATTTTTTTTTTTTTAGCCACTCTCATTCCACTTCTCTCATATCAGTTGATCTATTATGTTGTCAATGCTCCTGTTTTCAATTTTATGATTTGAAAATCTTGAAGAATTTATTTGTTAATGCTTGTTCCTTGTCACAATTACAAGCTGGAGAAGCTCAATAGGATGAACCTTAGGAGGTGACAACAAAAAACACACTTTTATCCATACTGTGCTAAATTTAGATTGTGATGCAATGTATTTAGACTAAGCATTTTTTTTTTTTTTTTAAGCAGTAATTCTATTTATCAAATTTAAGGATTTCGAAATTATTCAGTCTTTTGGTTCGTTGTACAGTTTCATTACGAAAAGCATGGAGCAAAGGAAATGTGAGGAAAGGGAACAAAATGTCTTTGATTGCAAGAGTCAAAATATTATACCTGGGGTCGAGAAGTCAAGTACTTTGTCTCCTGGATCTGTGCCAAGACCTGGAATTGTTGGAACCCAGCATTTGGAAACTGGAATTGCATCTCTTACACCAGAGAAGACAAATAAGCCTTCACATATTAAGCAAAGAGAAGAAGTTGCCGAACTTCCAGAGAAGTGGGTCCTTCTGTTGACGCATTTGTCTTTACAAAGTAATTTATATTCAATAATAATACATATCTTCCTATATATATCTCCAGATACAGGACAATAGCTGAGCTTTTTGATCGTATGACTTGTTCGTTGAGGCTGCTCAGTCTACGCAAAAAGTCGCCTACCTTTGGAAATATTTCTACTCAGGTGGAACTTCTGACAGGAAGGTAGTTAGAATTGCAGATTTTTTATTGTAATTTTATGCTCTCTGTCATCTTGTTGATATGTAACATAATTTGTTCTTGTTTTTGGTTCTGCAATTATGTAAAAGATCATATGAGGAAGAAGGGAAAAAAAAAAAAAATAGAGATTAAAGAGATAAAGGGAAAAAAAAGTTGGGGGTGATTTGTTATTTATTTTTTTATTTATCAAATATTAAATTGAAGCAAAATTTCCCCCTTACATGATAAAATTTCATTTTTGCTTTATTTTTCATATAAATGATTATTAGAATGCTTTTATTTTATTTTATTTTATTTTTATTTTTTTTTATGAAGAAAGATATTGTGATCCCCACTGAATTCATGCATGTTAATGTGTTGAAACATAGATGTCTTAGTCTAAGTTCAGAAAAAATGTTGCGGCAGTCTTGATAAATGACCAACAGTTAGTCTAAGAAACTCCATAAGAATTCCTATTCACTCACCTGCAAAAACACTACAGTTGCAGTTGTAAACTGCATTGTGCCAGCATATTCCATGGTATCTCTTTTATCATTTCCATGATTACTTTACTCCCTTTTAACTGAATCTTGGGCTGCATTTTTTTTTTTTCTTTGCAGAAATTTCTCTTACAAGCATCTCGCGCAGATAAAATATATACTTCCTGAAGCTGTAGAGACTGCTAAGATCCTCATATATGATGAGAAAACTCTCTGCATGAAGCCCGACATAAAAATTACCTTGCTATTTGATGTAGTTGACGGTCATCATGAATTCTCTACTTTTATGGCTCTGCACCGAGTGTTTGCTTCTAGGCTATTGATTTTCTCTAGAACACATCCTGAGGTAATTCTCTGTCTATTATTTTGTAAAGCTGTTTTTGAAAACACTAAGAGATCATCTCGACACAACTATGATAGAATTGCACAAAAAGCTGTGGTTCAAGAATATTCAATCATATGGTTAGAGAAAATATTCTTATTACTCTCTGAAAGGATGGAATCACTTTTTACTACTAGCAAAAATAAGAAAATAGCATTAGTACAGTTGATGGCCCAGTTCATGTATGGGAGGGTTCTTGCCATGTATTATCTCAACAAATTACTTTATATGATCTATATAATCAGTGGTGGTTGATGCAGAATATGAAAATAAGTTATTGTGTAGATGGATGACCATTAGGATACTGCATGGATCTATCTGCAAAGATGAATTGATTATTGAACAATAGGATGGGGTTACACTAAGTTTTACTCTCTCTCTCTCTCTCTCTCTATATATATATATATATATATATATATATATATATATATATAAGCATGTTTATATATAAGCATGTTAAAGGGGTATGACGGATCAGATGGTCAACTCTCTCAGATGGCCCATCTTAGTTCAGACACAGCTATATGTACCCGTGCTCATGAATTGGTTTAGCTTAGCTAATATACTTTGATCTTGTTGATGGACTAATCAAATAGATTGATTAGAATATAACTTTTTTTTTTTCGGTACCAGGGCTGTGAAATCCCGGAGGCCATATTGCCAGAACTTTTTAACCAAAGAAGTGATGCCATCTCGAAAGTTGAATTGCCTGTGGATTCATCAACGGAATCTCAATCAATTTCCACTGAAACCGGGCTGTTGTTAAGCTCATCCCATCTAAATCCGTCCTTCAGTAGACACTTCTCTCTGAAGGCTGTTGCTGTAGAAACAGATAAGAGCCAGCTTGTAGCATCTCCTGTCCCTCTTTCATCTGTCACATATGACTGGTTGACTAATCAAGATATGGGAAGTGGGAAACAGAAAAAGTCACCTGATTTATCTTTATCTTCCAAATCCACCCTCATATTGAACCCTCTCCAACTGACTTATACTCAATGCTGTGTTAGTTCCACTGCAAGTGAAAGCACTCCAATGAAGCTTGCCTCAGAAGATGATAGTTTAGTGGTGGAAACACCAGCACAACTAACACCAAAGAGATCAATGCCCAGTTGTGATGACAAGGTCAAGACCACTGCAGTTCAGAAAGGGACAGCGTGCCATATGTCTGCCAAGAGGTCTTTACATTTTTCACTTCCTGAAGGTGAAGAAAGTGCTTCGAACCTCACCACTGATGAGATAGAGCAGTGCAAAATACGCAATACTATCCCTCAAACAGTGAAAACAAAGGGGACCTTTGTGGAAGAGAATATTACCTGTTCTGCTACCCTTCTCCAAAAGGTACAAGTTTAAACCAATCATGTTATCATAGCCTGAAGCTAACTAACATTTCTTGCAATTGGTCAGATCCTTCCTGAAAGGTTTTGTGCTATTCCACACCGGTCTTATAATTTTAGGATGGCGTTGATATCATTATTCTTGACTTGGGGCTCAGTTTGAACTATCAATGATAATAAATAGTTCCGGCTTTGAAGTACTGCATACTCATTATAAGTTTCTGCTGAACAAGTTGTAGAATTTATTGCAAGAGAACTCCAACACAGGTGAGGAGTCCCAAGCCTATAAAACTATAGTGAGCTTTGACCTGAAGAAATTGCCATACAAAGTTAAAGATGGATAATTGTTCCCCGCCATTCTACTACCTATTATCCACTATTCTAATAACCAGTGTTGCAGAAACCTAACCTTATAAATTTCCATGCATTTCCTTTCAAAAACTTCTGGAATTTTTTTTCTTCAAGAAGCTTCACATAGGTGGAAAAGAGTGCTTCCAATGCTGCTGTCAGGCCTCAGTCTACTAACATAGAAAACACACAGTAGGAGGCAAAAATCAAGAAACCCTAAAACAGAAGTATTCATGAGACCGGATCATAGAAACCAAAATTGCATTAAATGATGTGTAAGTTCAGTGAACATCGAACATAGTGGAACTTTATACAGTGATGTTGGACAAAATTACCGAGCCTTTAACTCAAGTAGTATCTCCTCCTCTTTCCAAGAAGGTTGAGGTTTCAAGTTGTCATGAGGGCAATGGGGTGTGGATGAATAATTTGCCAACCCAAAAAAAAAAAAAAGGAAAAAGAAAAAGATATTTAGACAAAATTACACCTATTTATTTCAACGTTCTGCTAAGGGGGCATTACTTAGTTTTATGTTAAAAGTTTGGGCTAATGACCACATCTTACTATACTATTAGTTTTTACTTAAGAATGGCAATTTTGGGTTCGATCCATGGATTTTACACTTTTAAAGTTCCAAGTTTATGATCTTAATAAATGATCCGTTAACTTTTATGAACATGTAGAGAAAACTAGGAACCTGATGACACTGCTTTAAACAATACTGATTATCTCTTTTTTCTTTGTTTTATTACATTTCTAATAAGATCAGTTTTTTTCATTTGGTTCATGAAATCTCCTCAACAAAAGTTGCTTTTTTTTTTTGGCCTAATTATGTGCATGTTCTTGCTGGCATGTCATTTGCATTTTGTCCCTCAACCTCTTCTAATCGCTTACTTAAGCTTTTTGTATTTTACTACTTTGTGTTTCTACCAGTAACTGTAGAATTCACTGTGATAGGTAGAGGAGGAGAGCAATGGTTGCACTTTTAAGGATCACAAGATGAATCAAACTGGTTCGATGTCACACCAGCAAATGTCTGCTTGCTTGTCTGACCTTGTTGCTTTAATTCATAATATATTTCAGTCTGTCAACTGCTCTTCAATCACAAGAGAGGAGCTTATGCACAAGATTATTATGAAGAACTGTGATATTGTTGAAAGCAGTATGTAGAATGGTCTAATCATTTTAGATTATATAATAATATATTTTATATGCCGGGGAGTTTTAAATAACTTGTCTTGTGGATATAGGAGAGGTTGAGGAACAAATAGAGCTCCTTGAGAAGCTGGTTCCAGATTGGATTTGCAAGAAGTTGGCACCTAGTGGAGATGTTCTGTACAAGTAAGTTTATCATTTTTCCTTTTAGTGATGAAATGCTGACACTTTTTCTCTCAAATATTGGTCAAACATGTTTATGCTGACACTTTTCTGATAGTACGCTTTGTGCAAACCTCTTCTCTCAATTATTGGTCAAATATGTTTGTGGAAGAACCGAAGAACTATATTACATTATCATTGGCGTAATAAAACAAAGAAAGGAGGGACAGTTATATGGTTCATGTCTATTTATACATATAATATAATATAAAATGAACTCTAGGAAATCTATTGGGGCAGCAAGTATTCTTTGTTGGAATTATATATTGGGGGATATATAGCTTGTGCATCATAAGTTGGGACCTGGGGAGGGGGTATGAAATATGCAAAGCCTGGGTGGTATTCACTGGATTGCCCAACTCAACTCATGAAAGGCTTATACTAATGAATGGGGGCCACCTACACGTCTTGAACCTTTTACATCTTGCCTTTACTAGGATGAATACTTATTTATTTTATTTTTTTTGACTCATAGCAATTGTTTCTGCTCTAATTTTATTGACTTACTATTTTTTGCTGTTCCTTTTTTCTTTTAGTGCCTTGAACCTGAAACATTTCTGTGCTGTACATGATTAAATCATTTTTACAACTGTCTTTGACTCTCTTTCTCTGATTGATGTCAACAAATCAATCTGCGCAACTTTATCTGATCCTGTCCTCTTATTGCTACCTTTAATTTCTTAGGAATGTTCATTTTCATTAAGTTAATCTTGTGTTATTTTTTGCATGAATGACCCTTTACATCATCCTTATTTCATCCACACTAATTTATGTACACAAACATTTTTCTGGAGTGCCCAACTTTTCTGATGTGATGTAATAAGAACATAATTTCATGCTTTTATTGTATGACATCATCTGCTCTATATGTTAGGCCATTGAAAATTAATATTATAGGTTTCTTCTTATTTCCCAAAAATGAAATAACAAAAGAAAACAATGATATTACCACTCATGCTGTACAACGTAGACTCGTAGTATAAGTTTCTTCTAAACGTAGGGAGATTTTATTTTCAAAAAAATTGCTTGAATCTTTTCAAGCCGAACGTTTTATAAATCAGAAGCCATTGAAACGAGATGAATAAAAAATCCTCGGATCCTGTGACCTTAGTAATTACGAGTCAGATTGAATAGCTTCTCAAATAACTGGTTCATTTGTATTTCTGAACTATGTACATTTTTCGAAAAATTATTTTTGCTCCTATACTCGAGTTCCTTACCATCTCTCAACATTCTCTGGCTGAAAACAGTATCAAGAAAGTGTCTGATTTGAACTCGATTCGTGAAAGGCTCATTAGCATGTGATGAAATTGCTCAAGGTAATGCTTTCCTGTTGTTTTGGTATGGATGCTTTGTATTCTTTGTGACTGATATTAGCTTTCTATCTAACTTGCCATGTATTCTGGTGCGTGCAGTGGGGTTAAACTTTTGGCAGGAAGATTTGGTCGTTGAGTTTGCCTTGTATGTGATGCATGATGTATTATTCCAGTACTCTCTGTATTTAAGTCTATTTTCTCAGCAGTTTCCTCCCTTAACCTTATGATGGCTGTTAGAGACTACCTCTCCTGGATTGACCATCGACTGACCAATCATTTCTACATTGAATTCACTTGTACTGAGTTTGAATGGTCACATTCACTTATGACTTTATTTATCTTCTTGAAGGAAGGCATTTTTTTAATTAAAGTAGCTTTCTAGAAAATATGTGTAAAATGTTGGATTTTGTCATTTCAAGAAAACCTCAAATTGAAGAGCATGAAGAAATATGGTTCAAATCTTATTATTATTATTATTATTTATGTGTGTCTCAGATGGCCAACTCCATTAATACTCCATTAATATGAGATTGAGAGAATGATGGTGGTCTCACATGACATTACTCTATTATTATGTATTAGTTACCTGTTCTCATTATTCGGTCCTCAAGTTTTGTACTTTAAAAATAATTATTCTCGACACAAACACACGGATCATGATTAGTATTAGACATCTTATTATACTTCATACTTCGTTGTGCATTGAAAGATGTTTTGGGGAAGGAAAGTTATTCATTTATTGCAACGAATTGTCATATCTATATTTTTTAATTAGTCCCCAAATAAGAAAGTGGGATCCGCATAAATAGCCAATAATTTTTTTTTGATTAAGAATGTAATGCCTATTCAAAAAAAAAAAAAAAAAAACGAATGTAATGCCCGTTGCTTTAAAATAAAGGTGTTGCATTCTGGTGGGTGAGTGGTACACAGGTTTAAGTGGTGTGTATCGCCTTTTCAAAACAAATGAGTGTTCCATTCTCAAAATAACAAGTGTGCACATTTTTGAAGAATAACAGAACACGTTAAGACACCTTGTATTAAAATTACATGTTATATGTGTTAGTATTTAATTGGTCTGCAATACTATGCTATTTTTCTTCTTAAAATCGAAAGGTTTTAAGGTCCCAATATCATAAAAAATTATCCGTAGTGAATTAATATTTTTTATTATTAAAAAATAATGAGTGTTTATTGTCTAATAATGTAGAGTTTTACACCTAGCATTAATTAAAACATCAATAACGTTACATAACCCAAATTAGTGCATGTGAATGCTCTTAACAATGGATCGAATTTTAATCCAAATTTTGATTTTTTTTTTTTTTTTTCACTTCTCCTCCCCCCTATTTTGTCTCTCCTTATTGTTTTTATTTTAACAAAAAAAATCCAAAAACAGATCCAAGCAGAGGTAAATTTGGAAAATTGATTTTTCGTTCTGTGAGTTGCAAACCAAACAAGACCTCAGTTTTCTGAATTTATATTTGCTTAGATCTGTTTTTGGAAAAGAGTGAGATATTTAGGACCTGCTTAGTTTGTAAGTATAGAAACAGTTAAAATTGAAACTTGTACAAAAATTCTGTCAGTTTTCTGAAAATTATTTTCTAAAAATTTGACTAAAATAATGTGAGAATTATAAAAGATTGTTCTCTAATAATAATTTTTTGGTTGAGAACTATTTTCTGTTTTTTTTTTCTTGCTCGAACTCATCTCTCTTTTTTCCTTATCATTGTAATAATTTTATTAATAAAAAATTACATCTTTTTCGGATCGGATTATATTGAATGGTAACAAATAACTCTTATCGGATCGGATAAGACTGATTCAATTCGAATTAAGAGTATTTTACTTAAGAAGTCAATACTAACCCGACCTATTTAATAATTGTGTCAAGAACCTTCAATACTAACCCGACATGTCAAGAACCTTCAATACTAACCCGACATGTTTATTAAACGTGTTAATTTGTTTAATTTGTTTAATGACATATTTACCAAAAACGAACATTATATTATTTATAAAAAAATATACATTAATTAAAGAACTAATGTATATATTTGTTAGGACTTATGTTAAAATGACCTAATTATCTATAATAATTGAGTCTAAACAGGTAATAAATTACATGAGTAATATTAATATGACTATAAAACTCTTATTTAAACGAGTTACACGTATTGAGCCCCTCAACTTTAACATGGCAGTATTAATTAAACGACAAACACAATTAAAGTAAACCCATAACCGTTTAAAATAGGAAAAATTACATATAAATGAAGTTAAAGTTTCATATTTACTTAGAGGCTGAGTCAAAGTTCCATATTTCTCTAAAATGGATTGCTGAGGTGGCACATGGTTTTTTACTGTTTAAAAATTGTGGTGCCTAAAATACCCTTCCGCGAAGGTACTACTTTTTTTCAAAGGTACTACTTTTTTGAACTGAAGGTATTACTTTTTGGCGTCCAGGTACCATGTTTTTTAAACACCCGCGAAGGTACTACTTTTTCTCCGAAGATACTACTTTTTTGAACGGGAGGTACTACTTTTTTGTTAGGGAAGGGCATTTTAGGCACCACAATTTTTTAAACAGTAAAAAATCATGTGCCACCTCAGCAATCCATTTTAGATAAATATGAAACTTTGACTCAGTCTCTAAGTAAATATGAAACTTTGACTCCATTTATATGTAATTTTCCCTTTAAAATAAACACAAACTCGTTTATTTCTCTCTTTTCGAGCCGCGCTGGCTGTTGGTGAATTTTGCCACCCTCGTAGAGTATGGAAACCTCCGAAAGACCCAAGCACTGGACTTTTTTCTGCATGCCGCAGTGGGGTTATAGCTAACTCAGCCCAATTGTGTGTTGCGAGGGTGTTCATTGTATAGAGATGAACCAGAAACTTTTCCTATTGCTACGATACAAATGGGGAAACGTTGAGAAGGTCAAGCAAATCCAGGCACATGCCATAACAACGGGACTCTGCAATCACCAACACTTCGCCTGTAAATTAATCAACACCTACTCAAAAATGGACAAACCACTTGAAGCTCAAAGTGTATTCAATCAGATTCAAAACCCAGACGTTGTGTCATGGACATGTCTCATCTCTCTCTACATTCGCATTGAACGTCCCAGCAAGGCCTTCTCTCTCTTCTCCGATTTGATCCTCACCGGCCTCAGGCCTGATGAGTTTTCGATTGTCGCAGGTCTCTCGGCTTGTGCGCGTGGGAGGGACCTGATTAGTGGGAAGGTAGTTCATGGGATGGTTTTCAGATATGGATGTGGGTCTGACACGATTGTGGGTAATGCTTTGATTGATATGTACAGTCGAAATGGACGGATTGAATTGGCTCAGTTGGTGTTCCGGGACATGGTGGAGAAAGATGTATCTTCATGGACCAGTATGCTTAATGGGTTCGTCATGTGCAGTGATTTTGAATCTGCTCGTTGCGTGTTTGATGAAATGCCGAAGAGGAATTCGATCTCTTGGACTGCGATGATCTCTGGCTATGTCTGTGCTAAGACCCCAATTCGGGCATTAGAGCTCTTTCGGGATATGAGAGCAGAAGATGAAGACCATCCTACAACAATTACTATTGTGTCTGTTGTCTCGGCTTGCGCTGATATTGGAGCTCTTGATCTTGGCAGATCAATCCACGGTTATATCAACAAAGTCAATCTAATTACGGATGTTACAGTTGACAATGCTCTAATAGATATGTACTCAAAGAGTGGAGCTCTTGCATTTGCTATGGTGATATTTGGTGATATGCCAAAAAGGAATGTTTTTTCATGGACCACCATGATATCTGGATTGGCGCTTCATGGTAAAGGAAGCCGTGCACTGGAGCTTTTTTCCAACATGTTGGAGTCATGTGTGACCCCAAATGAGGTCACTTTTGTTTCTGTGCTATCGGCTTGTAGTCATGCAGGATTGGTCATCGAGGGGCAGATGTTGTTTAACAGAATGATCCAGTGCTATGGTTTGAAACCCAAGATTGAGCATTATGGGTGTATGGTAGATCTTCTTGGTCGAGTGGGACTTTTAGATGAAGCAGTAGAGTTTATTGAAAAAATGCCCATTAAGCCAGATGCTGTGATCTGGAGATCGCTTCTAAGTGCTTGCATAGGGCGTGGGAGTTTGAAAGTAGCTGAATTGGCAGGAAAGAAGGTACTTGAATTGGAACCCGGTGATGATGGGGTGCGTATTCTGCTATGGAATATATATTGTTCCACAAGTAGGTGGGATGACGCCTTGAAGACAAGGAAGATGATGAGAGAACAAAAGATCAAGAAAAAACCTGGGTGTAGTTGGGTTGAGGTGAATGGTGTTGTTCATGAATTCCTTGCCGAAGATGCAACATTTCATGCCATTGCAGATGTACACATTCTTTTAGAAGCAATTGCTAAGCAATCAAAACTGGATTTTGATCTGACTAGTTTAGAATAAATATTTAAAGGTAAATTTATGCAAATTTAATGGAGACTATGTTATCAAATTAGTATGATTATTTTCATTATTTGTTTAAATAAGAAAAATAGATCAAGTGTAATTGAATAAAAAGAGCATTATGGTCATTTAATGAAATATAGTATAAGTATTGGGGTATTTTGCAACAATATGTGATAGTTTTAGAGATATTATGCATAATATATAGTTCAGGGGAGTTATCTGCAAATTCAAATATAGTTCAGGTGTTTTTTTGCACTTTACCCAATATATATATAAAAAAGGTGTATTTGGTGAAAATATATATAAAAAAACTTCCATGTTTGCCTACCTGCATTATGCCTTCTTAAGTTCTGAAACAGTGTGTTTTGGGTGTATTATCATCACGGTTCTGCATCTTGCAGAAAGATGTGTAATTGAAGAAGCATGGCCAAAAGCCAAAAGGTGGTATAAATTAAGCAAGTTGTCTAGCCAAAAATACAGAGCAGTTAACCAAATTCCAGGGGCTCATTTCAAAATATTGTTTAAACATATCATGGTAGTATTAGAGACTACAAAAACAACTTGTCTAGCAAAAAAAAAACAGAGCACTCAACCAAATTCCAAAGGCTCACTTCAAAATATCGTTTAAACATCATTCTTTTATTAGAACTACAAAAACAACTTGTCTAGCCAGTAGCCTCTCCTCTTCTTCCGCTCTCTGATCAATGTCCATCACCTAAAGCCTGTAGAAAATGTTGCAAAAAAAATTGGTGACATTATTACTTAAGAGATTGGTGAATACCCCATTTAGGCAGTGGCAAAAATATTACTCCGTATGGTCTAGGATGGGACGCACATAGTCAGAGACATACAATATAATGTAAGCATTATATCCAGTTTCCTAACCATGAAAGAGGACTTCACTTCTACATATTATAGAAATATAAAAACTTCACCTCTAAACACAAATGGGAATTATAGGGGCACTTTTTCACACCCAAAAAAACAAATGAATTCAAACCATCTAGACACTTGACATGAGTAATATTCTTATCAAAATCATAAAATATAATAAAATAAATCCTCTTTAATAGTCCTAATACCTTTCAACTCCTGGCTCCCTCCTTGTCTCTAAATAATCGATCTCTAAGGACTCAATATATTTGGACTGCTCATCAATCCATGATTCCCCATCATTTGAATTGGGTAAAATGATTCACCCTCCAAGAAACTTGTCAGAGCATTAGGCTTACCAACGATTGAAAGAAGACATATTCTACGTTTTTAACCCAAATCTGATTAGCCAAATACACCTTCTTCTTCTTTTTTTTTAATAGCTAACTAGAAAATATCACAGTAACTATTACAATAACAATGGCAGCAGTAACAACAGGACAATGACAACAAAAGCTAGCTATCTATATATATTCTGCTTGTTCAGGAAAGAAATGACCACCATGTGTTCTATTTGCTACTTCATTTATAAATGAAAATGGTATTTCATTTTTGCAGAATCGAAACATAAATGGGAGCACATTTTTGCAAAATCAGACTCACAAACAGCACCAGAAAACTTAAAAAAAAAAAAAAAAAACAAAACAAAAATGAGTTTCAATCCCAACCACTTTTGACATGAGTAATTTGCATATAAAAATAACATCCTTCCACACAGTCCTACCGACTACCAATAAGTTCACTTGGCCGACCTTATACACTCTAAAATTATCCAGTCATATAAATCATAAGAAATGGTAATCAATTTCTTTGAATCGGGTAAAAATAAACACCCCACCAAGAAGAGAATTAGGTTTACTAACAATTTTAAATAAATCATCCAACATTCAGACCTCTAATCCCATATCTGTGGCAGGGGTTCATACAATATATCAAAAACAAATTAAAGATAATCCCCAACATCGTGTAGAATGCTCATCAATTCAATTCAAAGATGTAAGATATATAAGACATTATACCTGTCAAACGCTAGGAGGATCAGTACTGACAACCACAGTTCCACTTTGTTTCAATCTTCAAACCTCCATAAACGTGACCTTGGTTCCTTGCTTCTCATCGATCAGTTCGTCCTTAGTGAAACAGTCAGTGACAACCACCACCGTAAGTCCCATAGCTGTTGTACTGCAGCCGTAAGCTCCGGCTTCCATAGCCACCTTCTTAATCGATTTCCAACCCGGGATTACAGAAACCTTCATCGGACCATCATACGATATAGCTTTACCAAACCCTACAGGATCACTTGCCAAGATTGAAGACACACAAGATGAAATTGCAACTTCTTCACCAAGCATTTTGTAGTCCAAATACTCCGACAAATTCTCAGTAATTTCCGTCCCATAGACGTCAAATTCCAAATAGAGAATCACAAAGAACAGATGATTTTTCGATGGGTATTTTAACGACTTATATACTAACAGATTACCTCCAACAATAACAAATCCACCCAAAATGACTGCAGCAACATTATAACTGTAATTTAAAACTTTGGACTCCGAATCGATTATCAGAGGCACTAGGTCACTCCTTAGTAGTGGGGTGCCGAATAACTCATTAATAGCCACACCGGCGGCAGCGGCCATGGCTGTTGTCAACCCCGGATCGGCTCTTATTAGCACACCTTTTTCTATTGTAATAGATAAACCAATGGACTTGATGTTAAGTAACTGCACCACAGCCAACGCCGCAAAGGCGGCTGAGTAGCTCAAAGGCTCTTTGAGCTTGTACAGGTCTTTAACTCCCATACTAACCATATTGGTGACGAAAACCGCTGCTAAAGATAATGCAACCGATCAACTCAAATCCGCTGCCAAAGTTGCCAAGGGTGGGAAGGGCAGTGCATGTCATAAACTTATAGAAAGGTGTCGGCTCAGTTTGGCTTTTAGAAGCCAAACAGACGACGCAAGGTGGAGCGAAGGTCTTCATGGAAAGAAATTTGGGTGGAGAAGAAGGAAAGCTTACTTTAAAGTTCGGAATAAAAAGGTGGCGTTTCAATGGCGCCAGAAATTTTTTAATTTTGGACAAGTCAGTGGAAGGTACTATAATAGTAGAGACATTAGCGTAAAGAGAAATCGTTGTTACAGACCGTAGTTGCAGAGAGATCGAGATTGCAGTGAGAGGAAGTGGAATGAAAAGACGTGGTCTGCTAATGTGTTTTAAAGAGGGATCAATGCGCACCCAATAACTGTTCGTACGGTTGAAGGTCGCATGCTCTGCAAAACACCCACTGAAATAAGACATTTCAGTGGGCTCTGCACAGTACGTGCTGTAATAATTCAATTTAAAGATGTAAGATATATAAGACATTATACTTGTCAAACGCTAGGAGGATCAGTATTGACAACCACAGTTCCATTTTGTTTCAATCTTCGAACCTCCATAAACGTGACCGTGGTTCCTTGCTTCTCACACTCTTTCGACATCTTCTCACCAATTAGTTCACCCTTAGGGAAACAGTCGGTGACAACTACCACCGTAAGTCCCATAGCTGCTGTACTGCAGCCATAAGCTCCCGCTTCCATCGCCACCTTTTTAATCAATTTCTAACCCGGGATTACAGAAACCTTCATTAGACCTTCATACGATATAGCTTTACCAAACCCCACAAGATCACTGGCCAAGATTGAAGACACACAAGATGAAATTGTAACTTTTTCACCAAGTATTTTGTAGTCCGAATACTCCGACAAACTCTAAGTAATTTTCGTCCCATAGACGTCAAATTCCAAACAGAGAATCACAAAGTACAGATGATTTTTCGGTAGGTATTTAAAAAGCTTATATACCAACGGATTACCTCCAACAATAACATATCCACCCAAAATGGCTGCTGCAACGTTATAACTGTAATTTGAAACTTTGGTCTCCGAATTGATTATCAAAGGCACTAGGTCACTCCTTGGTAGTGGGGCGCCGAACAACTTATTAACAGCCACATCGGCGGCAGCGGCCATGGCTGTTGTTAACCCCAGATCGGCTCTTGTTGGCACACCTTTTTCTATTGTAATAGATAGACCAATGGACTTGACGTTAAGTAACTACATCACTGCCAATGCCGCAAAGGCGGTTGAGTAGCTCAAAGGCTCTTTAAGCTTGTGCATGTCTTTCACTCCTATACTAACTATATTGGTGATGAAAACCTTTCTGCCTTTTGACAACTGGATTCACAGTCACCGTAACCATGTCGCCGCTGCCAGAGATGTTCTGATCAACTCAAATCCGCTACCAAAGTTGGCAAGGGTGGGAGGGACAGTACACGTCATAGACTTATAGAGAGGTGCCGGCTCAGTTTGGCATTTAGAAGCCAAACAGACGAAGCTAGGTGGAGCGAAGGTCTTCATGGAAGAAAATTTAGGTAGAGAAGAAGGAAGGCTTACTTTCAAGTTCAGAATAAAGAGGTGGCCGTTTGAATGCCGCTCGAGATTTTTTGACTTTGGATAATTCGGTGGAAGGTACTGTCATGGTAGAGACATCAGCATAAAGAGAAATCGCCATTACAGACCGGAGTTGCAGAGAGATCGGGATTACAGTGAAAGGAAGTGGAATAAAGAGACGTGATTTGCTAATGTGTCTCAAGGAGGGATCGATGCACACCCAATAACTGTTCGTACGGTTTAAGGTTGCAGGCTCTGCAAAGCACTCGTTGTAATAAAACATTACAGTGGGCTTTGCAAAGCACCCGCTGTAATAATTTAATACAAAGATGTAACATATATAAGACATTATACCTGTCAAATGCTAGGGAGATCAATATTGACAACCACAGTTCTACTTTGTTTCAATTTTCGAACCTCTATAAACGTGACCTTGGTTCTTTACTTTTTACACCCTTTCGACATCTTCTCACCTATCAGTTCGTCTTTAGCGAAACAGTTGGTGATAGCCACTACCGTAAGTCCCATAGTTGCTGTACTCCAGCCGTAAGCTCCCGCTTCCATCGTCACCTTCTTAATCGATTTACAACCCGGGATTACAGAAACCTTCATCGGACCATCATACGATATAGCTTTACCAAACCCCACAGGATCACTCGCCAAGATTGAAGACACACAAGATGAAATTGTAACTTCTTCACCAAGCATTTTGTAGTCCAAATACTCCAATAAACTCTTAGTAATTTCCATCCTAAAGACGTCAAATTCCAAACAGAAAATCACAATGTAGAGATGAATTTTCGTTGGGTATTTTAACAGCTTATATACCAATGAATTACCTTCAACAATAACAAATCCACACAATATGGTTGCTGCAACGTTATAATTGTAATTTGAAACTCTGGTCTGCGAATCGATTATTTGAGGCACTAGTTCACTCTTTGGTAGTGGGGAGCCGAACAACTCATTAATAGCCACATTAACGGCAGTGGCCATGGCTGCTGTCGACCCTAGATTGGCTCCTACCGGCACACATTTTTCTATTATAATAGACAGACCAATGGATTTGACGTTAAGTAACTGTATTATAGCTAACGTCGCAAAAGCGGTTGAGTAGCTCAAAGGCTTTTTGAGCTTGTACAGGTCTTTTACTCCCATACTAATTATATTGGTGACGAAAACTTTTTTGCCATTGACAACTAGATTCACAGTCACCGTAACTATATCGTTGTTGCCAGAGAAGGTGCAGTCAATCAACTTAAATCTGCTGTAAAAGTTGGCAAGGGTAGGAGGGGCAGTGCACGTTATAGACTTATAAAGATGTGCCGGCTCAGTTTGGCTTTTAGAAGCCAAACAGACGAAGCTAGGTGGATCGAAGGTCTTCATGGAAGGAAATTTGGGTAGAGAAGAAAGAAAACTTACTTTAAAGTTTGGAATAAAGAGGTGGCGTTTGAATGGCACAGGAGAATTTTCAATTTTGGATAGGTCGGTGGAAGGTATTGTCACAGTAGAGACATTAACGTAAAGAAAAATTGCCATTACAAACCGGATTTGCACAGAGATCAAGATTGCAGTGAGATGAAGTAGCATGAAGAGACATGGTCTGCTAATGTGTCTTAAGGAGGGATTGATGCGCACCCAATAATTGTTCGTACAGTTGAAGGTCGTAGGCTCTACAAAACACCCGTTGTAATAAGACGTTACAGCAGGCTTTGCAAAGCACCCGCTGTAATAATTCAATTCAAAGATGTAAGATATATGAGACATTATACCTATCAAACGCTAGGAGGATCATCATTGATAACCACAGTTCCATTTTGTTTCAATGTTCGAACCTCCTTAAATGTGACCTTGGTTCCTTGCTTCTCACACTCTTTCGACATCTTCATACCGATCAGTTCACCCTTAGCAAAACAGTCGGTGACAGCCACCATCATAAGTCCCATAGCTGCTGTACTGCAGCCGTAAGCTTCTGCTTTTATCGCCACCTTCTTAATCGATTTCCAACCCGGGATTACAAAAACCTTCACCGGACTATCATACAATATAGTTTTACCAAACCCCACATGATCGTTTGCTAAGATTGAAGACACACAAAATGAAATTACAACTTCTTCAGTCCGAATACTCCGACAAACTCTTAGTAATTTATGTCCCATAAATGTCAAATTCCAAACAGAGAATTACAAAGTACAAATGATTTTTTGGTGGGTATTTTAACGGATTATATACCAACGGATTACCTCCAACAATAACAAATCCACCCGAAATACTTGCTGCAACATTATAACTGTAATTTGAAACTTTGGTCTCCGAACCGATTATCAGAGGCACTAACTCACTCCTTGGTAGTGGGGCGCTGAATAACTCATTAACAGCCACACTGGAAACACGACCATGGTTGCTGTTGACCCCAGATCGGCTCCTATCAACACACATTTTTCTATTTTAATAGATAGACCAATGGACGCAAAGGCGGTTAAGTAGTTTAAAGGCTCTTTGAGCATGTGCAGGTCTTTTACTTCTATACTAACAATATTGGTGACGAAAACCTTTCCGCCTTTGACAACTGGAACAATATTGGTGACGAAAACCTTTCCGCTTTTGATAATTGCTGTCACCGTAACCATGTCGCTGCTGCCAGAAAAGATGCAGCCAATCAACTCAAATCCACTGCCAAAGTTGGCAAGGGAGGGAGAGGCAATACACGTCACCAACTTATACAGAGGTGCTGGCTCAGTTTGACTTGTAGAAGCCAAGCGGACGAAGCTAGGTGGAGTGGAAGGAAATTTGGGTGGAGAAGAAGAAAAACTTACTTTAAAGTTCAGAATAAAGAGGTGGCGTTTGAATGGCGCAGGAGAATTTTTGATTTTGGACAGGTCGGTGGAAGGTACTGTCATGGTATAGACATTAACATAAAGAGAAATCGCCATTACAGACCGGAGTTGTACAAAGATCGAGATTGCAGCGAGAGGAAGTAGAATGAAGAGACGTGGTCTGCTAATGTGTCTTAAGGAGGGATCGATGCGCACCCAATAGCTGTTCGTACAGTTGAAGGTAAAGCACCCGTTGTAATAGGACATTACAGCGGGCTCTGCAAAGAACCCGCTGTAATAATTCAATTGAAATATGTAAGATATATAAGACATTATACCTGTCAAATGCTAGGGGGATCAATATTGAAAACCACAGTTCCACTTTGTTTCAATTTTTGAACCTCCATAAACGTGAACTTGGTTCCTTGCTTCTTACACTCTTTCAATATCTTCTCACCAATTAGTTCGCCCTTAGTGAAACAGTCGGTGGTAGCCACCACCGTAAGTCCCATAACTGCTGTACTGCAGTCGTAATCTCTCGCTTCTATCGTCACCTTTTTAATCGATTTCCAACCCGAGATTACAGAAACATTCATCGGACCATCATAAGATATACTTTTACCAAACCCCACAGGATCACTCGCCAAGATTGAAGACACACAAGATGAAATTGTAACTTCTTCCCCAAGTATTTTGTAGTCCGAATACTCCAATAAACTATCATTAATTTCCATCCCATAGACGTCAAATTCCAAACAGAGAATCACAAAGTATAGATGATTTTTTGGTGGGTATTTTAATGGTTAATATACCAACGAATTACCTCCAACAATAACAAATCCACCCAAAATGTCTGCTGCAACGTTATAACTGTAATTTGAAACTTTGGTCTCCAAATTGATTATCATAGGCACTAGGTCACTCCTTGGTAGTGGGGCGCCGAACAACTCATTAACAGTCACACCGGCGATAGCGGCCATGGTTATTGTTGACCCCAGATCGGCTCTTGTCGGCACACATTTTTCTATTATAATAGACAGATAAATGGACTTGACGTTAAATAACTGCAACACAGCTAACGTCGCAAAGGCAGCTGAGTAGCTCAAAGGCTTTTTGAGCTTGTGTAGGTCTTTCATTCCTATACTAACCATATTGGTGACGAAAACCTTTCCACCTTTGACAACTGGATTCACTGTTACCGTAACCATGTCGCCGGTGCCAGAGATAGCGCAGCCGATCAACTCAAATCCGCTTCCAAAGTTGGCAAGGGTGGAAGGGGCAGTGCATGTCACAGACTTATAGAGAGGTGTCGGCTCAGTTTGGCTTTTAAAAGCCAAACAGACGAACTAAGTGGAGGGAAGGTCTTCATAGAAGGAAATTTGGGTGGAGAAGAAGGAAAGCTTATTTTAAAGTTTAGAATAAAGAGGTGGCGCTTGAATGGTGCTGGGGAATTTTTTATTTTAGACATGTTAGTGGAAGGTACTGTCATGGTAGAGACATTAGCGTAAACTTAAATCGCCATTATAGACCGGAGTTGTAAAGAGATCGAGATTGCAGCGAGATGAAGTGGAATGAAGAGACGTGGTCTGCTAATGTGTCTTAAGGAGGGATTACGCACCCAATAACTGTACTTACGGTTGAAGGTCACGGGTTCTTCAAAGCACCCGTTGTAATAAGACATTACAGCAGGCTCTATAAAGCACCTGCTGTAATTATTTAATTCAAATATATAAGATATTATATCTGTCAAATGCTAAGAGGATCAGTATTGACAATGACAGTTATACTTTGTTTCAATCTTCGAACCTCCATAAACGTGACCCTGGTTCTATGCTTCTCAAATTATTTCAACATCTTCTCACCGATCAGTTCGCCCTTAGCGAAACAACAGGTGACTCCCACCGGCGTAAGTCCCATAACTGCTGTATTGCAGCCGTAAACTTTCGCTTCTATCGCCACCTTCTTAATCGATTTCCAACCCGGGATTATAGAAACCTTCATCGGACCATCATACGATGTAATCTTATCAAACCACACACGATCACTCGTTAAGATTGAAGACACACAAGATGAAATTATAACTTCTTCACTAAGCATTTTGTAGTCCAAATACTTCGACAAACTCTCAATAATTAAATCCCAAAGACGTCAAATTCCAAACAGAGAATCATAAAGTACAGATGATTTTTCAGTGGGTATTTTAACGGCTTATATACCAACGGATTACCTCCAACAATAACTAATCCACCCAAAATGGTTGCTGCAACGTTATAACTGTAATTTGAAACTTTGGTCAGCGAATCGATTATCAGAGGCACTAGCTCACTCCTTGGTAGTGGGGCGCGGGACAACTCATTAACAACCATACCGGCAGCAGTGACCATGGCTACTGTCGACCCTAGATCTGCTTTTGTTGCCACACCTTTTTCTATTGTAATAGACAGACCAATGGACTTGACATTAAGTAATTGCATCACAGCCAACGCCGTAAAGGCGGTTGAGTAGGTCAAAGGCTCTTTGAGCTTGTGTAGGTCTTTCACTCCCACACTAACCATATTGGTGATGAAATCCTTTTCGACTTTGACAACTGGATTCACAGTCACCGTAACCATGTCGTTGCTGCCAGAGATAGTGCAACCGATCAACTCAAATCCACTGCCAAAGTTGGCAAGGGTGGGAGGGGCAGTGCACGTCACAGATTTGTAGAGAAGTGCCCTCTCAGTTTGGCTTTAAGAAGCCAAACAGACGAAGCTAGGTGGAAGAAAGGTCTTCATGGAAGGAAATTTGGGTGGAGAAGAAGGAAAGCTTACTTTAAAGTTTGGAATAAAGTGGTGGCGTTTGAATGGCGTTGAAGAATTTTTAATTTTGGACAGGTCGGTTGAAGGTGCTGTCATAGTAGAGACATTAGTGTAAAGAGAAATCGCCATTACAAACCAGAGTTGCAGAGAGATTGAGATTGCAACGAGATGATGTGTAATGAAGAAACGTGGTCTGCTAATGTGTCTCAATGAGGGATCGATGTGCACCCAATAACTGTTCGTACGGTTGACGGTCGCGGGCTCTGCAAGTACCCACTGTAATAAGACACTACAACGGGCTCTGCAAAGCACCTGCAGTAATAATGTAATTCAAAAATTTAAGATATATAAGACATTATACCTGTCAAATGTTAGGAGGATCAGTATTGACAGCCACAGTTCCACTTTGTTTCAATCTTCGAACGTCTATAAACGTAACCGTGGTTCCTTGCTTCTCACATTCGTTCGACATCTTCTCACCGATCAGTTCGCCCTTTGCGAAACAGTCGGTGACAACCACCACTGTAAGTCTTATAGCTGCTGTACTGTAGCCGTAAGCTCCCGCTTCCATCGCCACCTTCTTAATCGATTTCCAACCTGGGATTACAGAAACTTTCATCGGACCATCATACAATATAGCTTTACCAAACCCCACAGGATCACTCGCCAAGATTGAAGACACACAAGATGAAATTGCAACTTCTTCACCAAGTATTTTGTAGTCCGAATACTCTAACAAACTCTCAGTAATTTCCGTTCCATAGACATCAAATTCCAAACACAGAATCTGTAACGACCCACTCCACCACATGGTATGATATTGTCTGCTATGAGCCGAATCCCGCACGGTTTTGCTCCTGGGCTTCACCCCAAAAGGCCTTATACCAATTGCACACCTGTGGGTGGGTGTGCAGTGGGCGGGTGCGAGAGACACTGTCAGGCTACCACATTGGCGAGTTACGGGTGCACAAGTCCCACATCGCCTGGGTAGAGGAAAGGTGAAGTGCTTATATGTAAGTGCATCATCTCCAATTGGTATAAGGCCTTTTGGGGTGAAGCCCAAAAGCAAAACCGTGCGGGTTCAGGCCCAAAGCGGATAATATCATACCATGTGGTGGAGCAGGTCGTTACAAATGGTATCAGAGCCTGACCCAGCCGGAAGTGTACCGACGAGGACGTCGAGCCTCCAAGGGGGGTGGATTGTGATGACCCTGTGGGTGGGTGTGCAGTGGGCAGGTGCGAGAGACACTGTCAAGCTACCACATTGGCGAGCTACGGGTGCACAAGTCCCACATCACCTGGTAGAGGAAAGGTGAAGTACTTATATGTAAGTGCATCATCTCCAATTGGTATGAGGCCCAAAACGGACAATATCATACCATGTGGTGGAGTGGGTCGTTACAAATGGTATCAGAGCCTGACCCAGCTGGAAGTGTGCCGACGAGGACGTCGGGCCTTCAAGGGGGGTAGATTGTGATGACCCTGTGGGCGGGTGTGCAGTGGGCGGGTGCGAGAGACACTGTCAGGCTACCACACTGGCGAGCTACGGGTGCACAAGTCCCACATCGCCTGGGTAGAGGAAAGGTGAAGTGCTTATATGTAAGTGCATCATCTCCAATTGGTATGAGGTCTTTTGGGGTGAAGCCCACGAGCAAAACCGTACGGGCTCAGGCCCAAAGCGGACAATATCATACCATGTGATGGAGTGGGTCGTTACAGAATCACAAAGTATAGATGATTTTCCCGGTAGATATTTTAACGGCTTATATACCAATGGATTACCTCCAACAATAACAAATCCACCCAAAATGGCTGCTGTAACGTTATAACTGTAATTTGAAGCTTTGGTCTCCGAATCGATTATCAGAGGCACTAGGTCAATCCTTGGTAGAGGGGCGCCGAACAACTCATTAACAGCCACACCGGCGGCAGCGGCCATAGATACTGTCGACCCTAGATCGGCTCCTATCGACACACATTTTTTTATTGTAATAGACAGACCAATGGACTTGACGTTAAGTAACTGCATCACAGCCAACGCCGAAAAGGCGGCTAAGTAGTTCAAAGGCTTTTTGAGCTTGTGCAGGTCTTTTACTCCTAACTAACCATATTGGTGACGAAAACCTTTCCGCCTTTGACAACTTAATTCACAGTCACCGTAACGATGTCACCGCTGCCAGAGATGGCGCAACTGATCAACTCAAATCCGCTGCCAAAGTTGGCAAGGATGAGAGGGGCAGTGCACGTCACAGACTTATAGAGAGGTACTGGCTCAGTTTGGCTTTTAGAAGCCAAGCAAAAAGAAGCTAGGTAGAGCGAAGGTCTTCATGGAAGGAAATTTTGGTGGCAAAGATGGAATAGCGTCGGAGAATTTTTGATTTTGGACAGGTCAGTGGAAGGTAATGTCATGATAGAGACATTACCAGAAAGTGAAATCTCCATTACAAATCGGAGTTGCAGAGAGATCAAGATTGCAGCAAGATAAAGTGGAATGAAGAGACGTGGTCTGCTAATGTGTCTCAAGGAGGGATCGATGCGCACCCAAAACCTGTTTGTACGGTTAAAGGTCACAGGCTCTGCAAAGCACTCGCAGTAATATGACATTACACCGGGCTCTGCAAAGCACCCGTTGTAATTATTCAATTCAAAGATGTAAGATATATAAGACATTATACTTGTCAAACGTCAAGAGGATCAGTATTGAAATACACAGTTCCACTTTGTTTCAATCTTCAAACCTTTATAAACGTGACTCTGGTTCCTTACTTCTCACACTCTTTCGACATCTTCACACCGATCAGTTTGCCCTTAGCGAAACAGTTGGTGACAGCCACCATCGCAAGTCCCAAAACTACTGTACTGCAGTTGTTAGCTCTCGCTTCTATCGCCACCTTTTTAATTGATTTCCAACCTGGGATTACAGAAACCTTCATCGGACCATTATACGATATAGCTTTACCAAACCCCACAGGATCAGTCTCCAAGATTGAAGACACACAAAATGAAATTGCAACTTCTTCACCAAGCATTTTGTAGTCCGAATTCTCCGACAAACTTTCAGTAATTTCTGTCCCATAGACTTCAAATTCCAAACACAGAATCACAGTGTACAGATGATTTTTTGGTGGGTATTTTTATGGCTTTTTTACCAACGAATTACCTCCAACAATAATAAATCCACCTAAAATGTCTGCTGCAACGTTATAACTGTAATTTGAAACTTTGGTCTCCGAATCGATTATCAGAGGCACTAGGTCACTCCTTGGTAGTGGGGCGCCGAATAACTCATTAACAGCCATACTGGCGGCAGCGGCCATGGCTGCTGTCGACCCCAGATCGGCTCTTGTCGCTATACTTTTTTCTATTGTAATATACAAACCAATGGACTTAACGTTAAGTAACTGCATCATAGCCAACGCCGCAAAGGTGGCTGAGTAGCTCAAAGGCTCTTTGAGTTTGTGTAGGTTTTTCAATTTCATACTAACCATATTGGTGACGAAAACCTTTCTGCCTTTGACAAATGGATTCACAATCACCGTAACCATGTCACCGCTACCAGAGATGGCGCAGCTGATCAACTCAAATCTGCTACCAAAGTTGGCAAGGGTGGGAGGGGCAGTGCATGTTACAGACTTATAGAGAGGTGCCGGCTCAGTTTGGTTTTTAGAAGCCAAGCAGATGAAGCTAGGTGGTGCGAAAGTCTTTATGGAAGGAAATTTGGGTGGAGAAAAAGGAAAGCTTACTTTAAAGTTTGGAATAAAGAGGTAGCGTTTGAATGGCAACGGAGAATTTTTAATTTTGGATAGGTTGGTGGAAGGTACTGTCATGGTAGAGACATTAGCGTAAAGAGAAATCGCCATTACAGATCGAAGTTGCAGAGAGAATAAGATTGCAGTGAGAGGAAGTAGAATGTAGAGACGTGGTCTGCTAATGTGTCTCAAGGAGGGATCGATGCACACCCAATAATTGTTCGTATAGTTGAAGGTCGCGGGCTCTGCAAAGCACCCGCTGTAATAAGACATTACAGCGGGCTCTGCAAAGCACCCTCTATAATAATTCAATTCAAAGAGTAAGATATATAAGATATTATACCTGTCAAACGCTAGGAGGATCAGTATTGACAACCACAGATAATAAATGGATAAAACATGATTATTTTCAGTTGTAACTGCAACTTAACTCTTCAAAATATATCATTTAAGATTTTATCAGTTTTAATGGCAAACCAGTTTAGAAATGTGAGTTATTTATTCTTTTTATTTTCTTTTCGTACTCTGTGCTTGTTTGAAATACTTTAATTGTTTGATATCCTTTAATTTTGTGCGCGGACTTGATCAACTCGTGTTTCGAAATCAAGGGGTATCATAGTTGGTGCGAGATAGAGTAGCTAACTGAATTGTGGGACGTTATTACTTCTACACTCAGTATTGTTCAGGGAGGATGAACTTAGTTACAGATATTCTCAAACGTCAACACAATACAAAATGGTTAGTCTGTTGAGAAGTTATCTGGTTTAGGTATAGTGGGAACGCTGATACACCAGTGATTACTCACAAGGAAACTGTGGGTCAACTTGGAAATAAAGAGTTGACTTTCGAAGGAATTGTTTTTACTTAGTAGAATCCGACAGGGTATGGCTTATAAGGAATGACTAACAGGTCTTCGTGATAATTTTAAGGAAAGTAGTGTTGACTGAGGAACTTAATTCTCAGTTCTCGATTATTTAGGAGGGCAGAAGAAAATTATGGAGTTAATGTAACCACTTCATCTACTAATGTGGATGTAAGAGGGTACTTTCATGCAATATAGCATGGGAGTACCGACGTTGTGATGCGATTTTTATTTTCATAGGGATCATAAATGATAGTTTGACTAAGATTGGTTGAGAGCATTAAATAAAGCTTTCAGAGTTGCCTATTAGTATGGCTTTGCTTAAGGATTTGTATGAATGATCTTTTAAACTTTTTAATTCGTGCATCGTTGTTTAAAAGGAGTTGACTTATGAGTCCTATATTAATTAAGGATATATTTATGGAGATTAATTACTTTGATTAGAGTTATGTTGTGCGCTGCCAGAATAGGCGAACTAGTTCGGTTATCATAAACTCGTCTAATAGAGTTTGAAAATGGGAGGCGGGTTATTACCTAAAGCATTTTTCCGTGACGAGTATAACGTGGTTTAGCAATAAAGAGAAGGTTATTACGTTATTATGTGGGTTATTCATACTTTGTTTGATTAGGCAAAAGCCTGTTGTTGGCGATGTTATTTATTTCGCGTCATGTATGTAATGTGGTTTATTTGTTTCGTCGCAAGAAAAATGCAGTAATGGGGATGTGTCTCACGTATATAAGTTGGTGATGTTAGGTTACAAATAAATGCGATAAGTATGGATTAGCTTAGCATCGTTTTAATAAATTACGAGATAAGTTTGCTAATTATGAGTAGGTGTGGATGGGTTAATTCCACACGAAAAAAAAAGCAAAAAAAAAACCAGAGTTTCATGTCATGGATTCGTGAATTCTGATGACGGAATTCCTTTCGTTAGGGGGGAAGAATGTAATACCCCTATATTTTAAAGGTATTATTTATTGGGATTAATGATTTTTATTTTTATTTAAATAATTTATTTGATTTATTTGGGATTACTTGTTTTTATTTTTATTTTTAAATGATTTGTTTTAGTTAATCGAGTGTTATGATTTAATTGTCTTATTTTTATTAATTTTATATTTTGTGATTATATATAATGATTATTTGTTTGTGTGCTTAATTATTGATTGAATTGTTGTCGTGTTGATTTTATTGGTATGGTGTGACTTGGTTGTAATTTCTTATTTGTTTATATGCGTTATATAATTAGTTATTTAATTTAAGTGTTTAATAATTATTTAATTTATTTAAATTAATTGGATTTGGACTTAAGGGAAGTTGGACCAAAGGATGTGGTCTTGGGCTTGAAGGAAACCTTGTTGGGTTAATTAATAAAGGCCCATGGACATGAAGATATTTAAATAATTATCTTTGTATAATTAAATATATATATATATATATATAATTATATGCATATAAAAATAATTAATTAATAATTATTATGGAGGGGTATATATGTCAATATGTATATATATTGATATATATAGGTATATATAATTTTTTTAACTAATGATTATATATGTAAGGTAATATACATATATATCTTAGAATATATGTGTGTATATATATTATTTAAAAGATAAATATTATTTCTTTTATATAGTAATCATAATTGGAAAAGGATTATGGTATTAACGTGGTTATATATACACATAGGATTAATTTATTAAAAATATTTTTCACGTTAGAAAAAAAATAAGAGAGGCAGAGAGAGAAGAAGAAGAGGAGGCTGACAAAGAGGAGGCCGGATCGGAGAAAGAAGATGCCGGAATTGGAAAAGACGATCAAAGCTTGAAGCGTCGGTTTCGTTTCGAAACCTTCAGGCAAGTTCTTATCTAACTCTCCTCTTAGAACCCATAAGTTTATCACCTTGAGTATCAGAATTTTAGACTAAATTTATTTGTTTAAAATCATGGTTAGATCGGAATAACTAAAATGATAAATTATTATATTTTTATTTTTGGATTATTAGATTTTAAATTGTATATATAAGTGTTGTATATATTTTTGAAATCAATTTATAGGTTGATCTTTGACCTAATAGGGTTAATTATGGTTTCTAGAGTTTCTGGTATTTTCTGGAAATTTTCTAGGATTTTTCGGGACTTGTTTTATATTTTTTTGATATTATTATAATATTTGTAAAATTATTCTGGTCAATTATTGTATATAATATTTATATTTTATACACCGGAGGATTCTGTAGCATTCGGCATATCATCATAGGAGTTTAATCCTGTGCGGCGCGGTGTAGGATATATGGGTGTACGCGCCAATCAGGGCCATTAGATTTGTTATACTAAAGGAGATTGATCAGGTATGATTCGGCACATGGAGCTTCAGTGCACCACTAATTTGGGCGCTTGATGTAGTCAAGTCAACGGAGAGCTGATATGGTGCATCTCAGTACATGGAGTTATGGTACATGTGGGTTTTTAAACCCTTGATGAGGTCTGGTCAATAGGATTAGGATCCGATGCGGCGCGATTCACCAGAGCTTGGAGAAGCAGCCAACCAGAGCAAGCCAGCACGTGTTGAGAGTACATCAGGTGCGTGAGGGCGCATGCAGGCGCGTGGACGTGCCTGCCAGTGAATGATGGTGAGTGGAAGCGCGTGCAGAGAGTGTGGGAGCGTGTGGCGGCGCGTGAGGGAGCGTAGGAATGCGTGTGAGGTCCTAGAAAGCTCTTGTGGGGTTCGGTGAGTTCTCAGAGTTGATATTTTAGCCGTTAAGGTTGAAAGCAATCATTAGAAGAGGTATTCTTGGTGTTCTGAGAGCCTTAGAGTACTATTACGGTATTAGTAGCATTTAATTGGCGTATACATAATTAATTAATATTTTTGTGATGGAAGGAAAGGTGGATATATATATATATATATATATATATATATATATATATATATTATATGGAAGGTATTATACATATATATATTGTATAATATAGTGGTATATGTATATATCACTTAAGATGATTAAATTATTAGTCTTATTTGGTATATATGGATAGGCTGTTATTAAATTAATTATATGCATGTGATATGCATGGAATGCCTAGGTATGTGTTGTTTTGTTGATAAGTTAATTTGCCTATGTATGAATTGTTTGGTTGGTAAATTAACTTCTAAAGTTTGGTACATGGTTGAATTGTAGGCATGGATAAGTTGCCAAAGGCGTAAATATATTGCCTAAGTAGATGGAAGAATAAAAATAAATAGGAAGCATGAATGAGTTGCTAAGTTAAAAGTATAAATATATATACTTAAGGAGACATGGTTGAATTGCCAAGGTATAAATAAATATACTTTCAGGAGGCATGGTTGAATTGCCAATATATAAATAAATATATTTATAATGGCATGGTTGATTTGCTAAAGTGTAATTATATTGCTATATGTTTGATGATTAAAATATATCATTTATGGTATGTATAAGTTGGATTAGGATTAGATATTCGTAAATTAAATTATACTTACATGTTAGTGTATTATTTTATACATATTAATAAAATAATACTGGTGGTGACATGGATGATTTGTCAAAGCCTAGATATTGGCTGTGTGATTTAAATACTTAAAATCATTATTTGTTTTGGAATTAAATATAACGTTCTTTTAATTATATTTTATTGTTTAAATTATTAAATTGCTGTCTAGGATAGAATTAAGGTTGGAGGAGTTTCTTTATATGGAAATTGTGGATTGGACTAGGTATGATTATAATTTAATCATTGATAATGGTTTTGGAATTAATGCACCTAGTTATAGATGTTATTGTTATACTGTATATAATTATTTATATATATGTATATCATGGCATATTAAAGATAAACTTTATTAGGTTTAGTTTTGATCAGAGATGGTTTACTTATCGGTTTTCAGAGGTCTGGTAGAGAGAACTTGCTCGTAGAGTTTAACCCACGATTTATTTTTCAGGTTATTAGAAGTTCCAGTCTCGAGGTTGAGGATCCGTAACTGAGAGACTGTCATTCATCTATTCAGTTTGTATATTTTTAAGTAGTGTTGGATTATTGGATAATGTTTTTAGGGGTCCTTGAGTTACGGGATTTCTGAGTTGTAATTGTTGGGAAATTATAAATTAATAGTTATTAATGAAAATTGTTACTCATTAGTTTTCCTTCAGCGAGTTATTTATTCTTTTTATTTTCTTTTTGTACTCTGTGCTTGTTTGAAATACTTTAATTGTTTTGATATCCCTTAATTTTGTGGGTGGATTTGATCAACCCGTGTTTCGAAATCAAGGCGTATCACAAGGGACGAGCTGAGTAAAACTCGTAAAGCTCAATTCCCTTATTAAAGGAGTGAAGCTCATACAATTTATTCCCTTATCAAAGGAAAAGTACTGTTCCCTCGGGT